CAATCTCACAAAGGCAGCGCAACGCCTCCGATGCTTAAGAGAATGGCCCGCGGAAGCGGATATCACAGAGCTGCCTCTGAGATCCCTTCTTCAAGTGACGCTCCGGTGCGCGCGCGCGCGCACACACACACACGGCTTGCTCGACCATAATCCTTAAGGAACATCGATTTTGGTTTGCTGTTGTTGAAAGCGAGTCGACAACTTTGCGTACAAAATGACGATAACAAACGGCAACCTATGTAAAGTCACCCTTTTCGTTTTATAACGTTTCCAATAAATAATTGGTTGTGTAAACGGAGCACCCCCCCCCCCAACCCACAGACCCCCCTTTTTTTCTCTGCTGACCGAGATCACTTTATTTTTGTGTATTCCGTGGAACCGCTCGGGCCAAACGTCGGGGTGGCCTGACGGTCTCTGACCGCTCGCGCCCGGACGACGTTGGTGGTGCATCATCGGGCAGAACGTCTGACGCGTTTAGCGAGATAGGGGGTGGTGGGGGGGGCAATGACACCAGCGTGGGGATGTTTGTTCCGTTGGAGGGACATATGACAGTTGTGCAATGCAAGCACGGCAAATATTGATGACATGACCCAGTACGGGGACTCCTCCACTTAGCAACATTGGACTTACGAACCTATAGAGATACGAACAAACCTGGTCCGAATGTCATGTAGATGCCACGTGAACCGGCGGCATCTACATCTGGAGAACGTGAAGAACCAGTGGCATCTACATATGTAGAATATGAAGAATCATTGGCATTTACATCTGCAGAACATAAAGCACCAGTGGCATCTACAGCTTATGAAGAATTGGTGGCATCTACATGTGCAGAATATGAAGAACCAGTGGAATCTACATCTGCAGAACGTGAAGAACCAGTGGCATCTACATCTGTAGAACATGAAGAACCGGTGGCAACTACATCTGCAGAACATGAAGACCCAGTGGTATCTATATCTACAGAACATGAAGAATCGGTGACATCTACATCTGCAAAACATGAAGAACCGGTGGCATCAATATCTGTAAAAAATGAAGAACCTGTAGCATCTACATGTGCAGAACATAAAGAACCAGTAGCATCTATAGAACATGAAGAACCGGTGGCTTCTACATCTACAGAACATGAATAAACAGCGGCATATGCATAACGCGAAGAACCGGTGGTATCTATGTCAACAGGAGATTATACAACTTTTCAAGCCATTCTCCATGTATAGTGTAGATGCCGAACAACATCACTGGACTTACAAACAAATCGATTTACGTACATACCTCTGGAACCTAACCCATTCGTAAGTAGAGGAGTCCCTGTAGAATATCTACAGGGGTTGATAGCACCCCATAGCAACACACAAACCTTTTTCACTCCCAAAATAACAATACTTCTGAGGGAGAAAAAAAAGGTAAGTTAAACTTCACATTCACGAGGCGAAGTCATTTGGCAATAATTGTTTGGGAGGATGTTAAATTGAATTAAAAAAAGCTTCAAAAATAATTATGACATGATTGATTTGTAGCAGGAAACCTCCTTGTTAATAGCACCTTTGATTGGTTCAAAGAGATCATATGATACAGTTCTGGCTGTCAATTGGCCAAAGTTTCACAGTTCAGCCAATCACGTTCTGCTCCTTATTGTCGTAGGCTGTAAACTGAAATTACAGGCCGTAAAAAAAGAAAATATGGCAAAACTTATTTTCTACCACAAACACAATTATTACAACAAACACGCTTAATATTAAAAGCAACTGGCAACATATCAAATTCACGAACAACTGATAGCGGCGAATGTACACGCAACTAATCCTCTGGGTCCAGAAAGCAAGCTCATTCGGCGTACAAATATGGATCGCGGAATGAAAAAAAATCTACGTCGTTAATGGTTAAGCTTCGGTAAAAAGTAAAAAAAATAACTGAAGAGTTTGTGCTGTCAATTCTAAACTGACGCTTCTCCATGATCACAAGTGGAGGTAGATCATTCCTTACATTGTCATCAACAGCACCGTGAATCCAACCGATTAACTTACAACCCTAAACATGGCTCAATAATTACTTCTTACTGACAACAGCAACTCGCCCGTATCCGTATAGAGAACTGCGAGCCGTGGCAAAGCTACTGCACTCAAATCCTCTTTGAAATAAAATATATATTACGTTATACTTTTCAATAATGCCTGAATATCAACAATCCAGTGAACGCGGAACGTAAGGCCAGCGGTGGGGCCAAAGGTTCCAACCGCGCGCCAATGCTCGCACCAACGTTAACGCAACGTTGCGCCAACGTTGGCCCAACGTTAACCTTAACGTCAACCCAACGTTGCTCATGCTCACTGGGAAAGGAGCTCAGTGTTTTACATATTCCGCGTAAGAACGATTCACCAGGTCCGAACGGTGCGTCATCGTGGCTCGAATTCAATCGATTCATTTTGTCTTCCGTGACCCCACCCCCACCCCGATTGCGCCACCTCGTTTTGCGCGCTGCATCTCACTGTCTGTCCCCCATGCTGTTTGTATCGTTTGGGTGCTCTCAAATCGATACCCCGAACCTTGCACGGCTGGACGCTGGAAATCCAGCACTTGTGTGTGTGTGTGCATGGAGGCGGGTGCGAGGGTTGGTGCATCACGAACGCAGCCTTGTAAGACTCCCTCGACGGGAGTACGGAGGCGGTACAGCAAGCGGGTTTTCTATTCTGGAGCGTGACCTCCTCGTTCTCGCATGCGTCGGTTTTCTCCGGGCACTCCAATTACCTCCCACGTGCATCAACACCCGTTAAATGGGGCTGGTCCAATAATCCAAATGTAGGAGAACAGAGCTTGGCCAAGTGTTGGTATCACTGATCTTGGCCATCCTCTCTCTCTCGCATGCGCTCTCTGTCTCCGAGAGTGAACGAAAACTGCCCGTTTCGAAGTCCACACCATAACTGTTGACAGCAAATTGCGAGTTAAGTATTCGTTTGTCACCACTGCCGATAAGTGCATCGTGAAAATTAAGATGTCTGTGTTTTTTTTAAATCGAAGAATCGGTGAATCGTTGCCACGCCGAGTCTGTTAAGCGCGCGAGTCCCCTTTTTTTCTGTTGCTCACGATAAAAATAAACGTACTATTGCACATTGCTAATTTGATATTACTCATATAATTATACTTAATGACGCAACAGAATCATAACTGTGAGCACCACACGGCGTTACCAAATAAATAACTATGTACATTTCTTTCTGGCAAAAAACAATAAAGAACATTGAGCGTGATGATGCCATTGAACTGACTCTGGACCCTTCAAGATTCGGGCCAATACAGTAGAACCCCTGTTAACGACTAACGTTTACCGATGGGCCTCCATAGAGCCCAATTTGTAGTGTACAGTGTAGTGTATAGTAGTGTGTAGTGTATAGTGTAGTCTATAGTAGTGCAGTATATAATAGTGCAGTGTATAGTAGTGTAGTGTACAGTAGTGTATAGTGTTTAACAAGTAGGCTTTCGCGACCAATATCATACATAATACAGTTTTTTTTGGGTTAGATCGCGTAAAAATAAACCCGTTACCACCCGACACAGCCAATTAGTCAGTTTTGTCATGTAAACATTCCAATTATTTACTAGTACAGCACACGGGTGTGTTGGAGAGCCAAGCCACAACATTTACAATCTGAGTACGACGTTTCACCTGTAATTACAGCTAGCTTCATCAGGTGACAGCCTGATTTGTGGAGAGGTCCACCAAAATAACGAATTGGCATGTTCTGTTTACGTGAAAAACCTTACTAATTGGCTGTCGGGTGGTAGAGGGTTTAACCCCCCCAAAAAACTATATTATGTATAGTGGTGTATTGTATAGTAGTGTAGGGTAGAATTCCTCTTAACGACCACCCCTGTTAACGACTAATCGCTTAACGACGGGCCTCCATAGAGCCCAATGTGTTCGCTTACCGACCATTCCCCCGTTAACGATGTGCGGCTGTTGTAGGTACAGTAGAATGATGGTACAGTAGAAGAGGGCTTCTATAGTACCGTCGTTAAAATGGGTTCAATTGTACCGTCGTTAAGAGTCCTACTGTACCGTCATTAAGAGGGCCTCTACTGTACCGCCGTTAAGATGGGTCAAACTGTACCATCGTTAAGAGGGCTTCTACTGTACCATCATTAAGAGAACCTCTACTGTACCGTTGTTTCGAGGGGTGTTACTGTACTGTTAAGGGGGGTCTTGCTGTACCATTGTTAACAGGGGTCTTATTTTACCGTCATTAAGAGGGGCCTTACTGTACCATAGTTGAGAGGGGTCTTACTGTACCTTCGTTAACAGGGCTTCTACTATACCATCGTTAAAAGGGCTTCTACTCTACCATCATTAAGAGGCCTTCTACTGTACCATCGTTAAGAGGGCTGCTATTGTACCGTTGTTAAAAGGGCTTCTACTGTACCATCATTAAGAGGGCTTCTACTGTACCATCGTTAAGAGGGCTTCTACTGCAATGGCAAATTCTAAACCGTCACGTGCACACAAACGGGGATTCGTCGTACTTGTAGGTTTGTGAAGGCCTGACCCATTTAGATCGCGAATGATTATTTAAGGGTATTTGGTCGCTGACGCTGCTGCCGCTATAAATTTCCTCATGATGATAAGGCACTTCGTTGAGCTTCGTTTGCGATAGCCAGATCGCTCCTGAAAAAGAGCTACATAGCTCAGTGGGCACTTATTTGGTAAAACCTGGTTTGTTTAGCTTAAAAAATTGGAATCGCAAAATGGGATATCACCCTCGGTTGGTACTAAACATTGAATATCTGAAACATCTGGACTGGGCTCGGCACGCAAATAAAACAATCAACTATTTTTATTTCACCAGGTAAGGCTCCACTGAGCTACGTAGCTCTTTTTCAGAAGCGACCTGGCCATCACAAATGATAGCTCAACGAATTGGCTTATCATCGTGTGGAAATTTATAGCAGTAGCCAAATACTCTAAACGCGTTGTGACGTCGATTCTAAATGTGGAGGGAGAAACCGGAGGACCCAGAGAAAAATCCACGCAACCCCGGGGGAGAGAGAACATGCAACCTCCAAATATACAGCGGGCATTAGCGTCGGGATCAAACCCACGAACTCCTGCCCACCAGGCGAGGGAGGAAGCATCTCTCCACCGCAGCCGCTGCTACCATGATAGTCACCGGTGACTTTCAGGGGGCCTGGCAACGTAAGTGCTCTGGCCACACCAACAATTTCACCGGACCATTGGAAGGGGGGGTCTACCCACCCCCCCCCCACAAAAAAAAGACGCGAATTGGTGCGTTCCAAAACCCCGAAGGGTTAAAGATTTTGTCGATATGAATTTTCGCACCGGCGCTTTCAATTTGTATGCCACGGATTGCCGAGTAAGCGCATAAGGTTGGCGTCAGCAGGGCTCCCCGCAGAGAACTTACATGAATAATTGCGTCGTTAAAACGTGCTTTTTTAACGTCCCCTTCGGAGGCAATGCTGAATGACGGCTAGGCATGTGCGTCGTCCGCAATATATCCCACCGGATTTTGTGAAAACAAAACTGTCATATGGAATGACGATAATAAATAACTTTTCGTGCACGGGGCCAGTTTTCAGCGTTAAATGTTGCGTTGCTAGTTCTGCGCGCGCGACGGCGCATCCGCGTCGAGCGGTCCCGTCGCTCGCAACCGAGTTGCATGCACCCGCGTGTCCCGGTTTGCCTCCGTAGGGTCGAGTGCCGAGAAGCGCACGCAACTTCGACACGCAGGGGTTTCACTCTGGGCGGATCATCACCACGGCGGTTACCGTGACCCCCACGTTACTCGCGGATTTACGGACGGAGAGAGAGAGAGATAATATTTTCGTGGCGTTCCGAACAGATCTCCGGCGAGGCAATTTTTTTTTTACACGCGCTGAAATTTCACGTGATTCGCCACGAGGTGGCGGTGATCTCGCCACGGCGCTTGCGCCAGGCCAAGTGCACTTTAAAGCCACGTGAAGTGTCGAACGCCCACCGGAAAGGAGGTCACGGGACAGACTGACCGAGATGACTGGCCGATGCACCACCTGCGCCCCCTACTGCGCCAACTTGCTGCGTTTCAGCCACCTGGTGCTCCGCGATTATTACACACACGGAGTGCAATCACGTTGGGACCAATGGGTTGTACAATCGGAGCTCGCCGACTCAACGGTCACGCGTCTCCGTGCCGCTTCAGGTGCGTCGTGACGACTTCCCTCCCCACGGTCTAGAATCAGAATAGGATTTATTTCTTCGTGCTGGAGGAATCCGATGAGCTATGAAGCTCTCTCTTGCTCTCTTTTCGCTCGCGTGTCGTTTCCTTCCACAAGACCAACGGGGGGAAGAAGTCGCGGCTCGATTTTCCGGCTGCGATCCGGCACTCGCCCATTCGCTCCGATCAGCTCACTGGCGACCAGTCGCCTCCTGGTCGCTCGTCTTATCGCCGCTACTACTGCCGCTACGACCTACCGTGGTCACCGTCCCGGTGAGCTTCACTCACCGGTTCACTCCGCTTACCCCACTGGGGTAACTCGATGTCAAGTGACGACGGCGACGACGGCGATGATAACGACGACGTCAAACGGCGATGACGATCACAGGAAGCAGATCGGTCCGACTTCGAGGCGCGTCTGGGAGGTGTCGCTGGAGGGGGGCAGGTTGAGAACCTCGACGATGGGAAGCAGGGCGGCCGTGCGAGTCTCAAACGAGAATTCCGCCTGGTGCCAGCGGCCGTCTTGAATCTGCGGCGGTAAGACGGGGGGGTGGGGGCAAGGGTGGGGGGGGGGGGTAAACAAAAACAAACATCGCTTCGTGTTTATGTACTGTACGTAGCCATCACGCTAATCGGAGGTGCAGTGTTGAGTCTGTGGGCAGTGTTGAGTCTGTGGGCAATGTTGAGTCTGTGGGCAGTGTTGAGTCTATGGGCAGTGTTGAGTCTATGGGCAGTGTTGAGTCTATGGGCAATGTTGAGTCTATGGGCAGTGTTGAGTTTGTGGGCAGTGTTGAGTCTGTGGGCAGTGTTGAGTCTATGGGCAGTGTTGAGTCTGTGGGTAATGTTGAGTCTATGGGCAATGTTGAGTCTATGGGCAGTGTAGAGTCTATGGGCAGTGTTGAGTCTATGGGCAGTGTTGAGTCTGTGGGCAGTGTTGAGTCTGTGGGCAGTGTTGAGTCTGTGGGCAATGTTGAGTCTATGGGCAATGTTGAGTCTATGGACAGTGTAGAGTCTATGGGCAGTGTTGAGTCTATGGGCAGTGTTGAGTCTGTGGGCAGTGTTGAGTCTGTGAGCAGTGTTGAGTCTGTGGGCAGTGTTGAGTCTATGGGCAGTGTTGAGTCTGTGGGCAATGTTGAGTCTATGGGCAATGTTGAGTCTACGGGCAGTGTAGAGTCTATGGGCAGTGTTGAGTCTACGGGCAATGTTGAGTCTATGGGCAGTGTTGAGTCTACGGGCAATGTTGAGTCTGTGGGCAGTGTTGAGTCTGTGGGCAGTATTGAGTCTATGGGCAGTGTTGAGTCTATGGGCAGTGTTGAGTCTGTGGGTAGTGTTGAGTCTATGGGCAGTGTTGAGTCTATGGGCAGTGTTGAGTCTATGGGTAGTGTTAGTCTATGGGTAGTGTTAGTCTATGGGTAGTGTTAGTCTATGGGCAGTGTTGAGTCTATGGGCAGTGTTGAGTCTATGGGTAGTGTTGAGTCTATGGGTAGTGTTGAGTCTATGGGTAGTGTTGAGTCTATTGGCAGTGTTGAGTCTATTGGCAGTGTTGATTCTGTGGGCAGTGTTGAGTCTGTGGGCAGTGTTGAGTCTGTGGGCAGTGTTGAGTCTGTGGGCAGTGTTGAGTCTGTGGGCAGTGTTGAGTCTATGGGCAGTGTTTTGAGTCTATGGGCAGTGTTGAGTCTATGTGCAGTGTTGAGTCTATGTGCAGTGTGTACATTGAATTTCTTTCGCACCGTATGTAGCCAACCGCGCTAATCGGAGGTGCGGGGGAAGGACAAAAAACTAAACACATAAAGGCAGTTCAAAAGAAATGAGTTTGTCAATCTAGATGATGATGATGTAAAAGTGCATCACAGCTCCCAGTGGCTTCCTAACATCGGAAGGGAAGAGCGTTCCAGACGGCCGCAGAAGCGCATCTGAAAGCGCCGCGCGACGACGATGCGGTGACCGCCGCCTTTGTCCAAAGGTTTGCCAAAAGCCGCCGCTGCTGCGAGGATGACCAGAGTGTCGCGTGATGCTTCAGGGTGCGGGGAGTAACCAGCAAAACCAATTATTACTCTTATTATTATTTTCATAATCGACGGTCACGTAGTTGTTCTAAAACTATATTAAACTTGTTTTTATTTTGACCAGATAAAGGCCCCACTGAGCTGTGAGTCTCTTTTTTTAGAAGCGACCTGGCCATCACAGATGATCGCTCAACGAAGCGGCTTTATCATCATCATCATCATCACGTGGTAACCAAATGCTCTAAACGCATGCTGTTGATTCTAAATGTGGAGGTGAACAACCGGAGGACCAGGAGAAAAATCCACACGATCACGGGGGAGAGAGAGACACCGCAAACTCCAAATATACAGCAGCGGGCATCAGGGTCGGGATCTAACCCACGACCTCCTGTACACTAGGCGAGGTAGTTAACATCTCCTAGCCACCGTGATGATGATGAGAGAGAGAGAGACACCGCAAACTCCAAATATACAGCAGCAGGCGTCAGGGTCGGGATCGAACCCACGACCTCCTGTACACCAGGCGAGGTAGTTAACATCTCATAGCCACCGTGATGATGATGAGAGAGAGAGACACACACAAACTCTATACAGCAGCAGGTGTCAGGGTTGGGATCGAACCCACGACCGTCTGCACACCAGGCGAGGTCGTTAACATCTCCTAGCCACCGTGCCGTTGTGCGAGCTCCGTGGCGCGGCGTGAGTGAAGACGCTCTCTGTACAAAAATACCATTTGCAAAACTAAACCACTGTAATCATTAAAAAACGACACGCTCTTTTTACTTGACCAGTTAATGGCCCCCACTGAGCTACGCAGCTCTTCATGATTTGAATCTTTCGTGACTGCAGGAACCCGTACTCTTTGGTTCTTTCGGTAAAGTCACGTCGTGGGTCGAAAAATTAAATGAAACAAAAAATAATCTGTCGCGACGTTTCGACCGCAGTGGAACTGGCGGACCGGCGGGTTCAGCAGCTCAACTGCTGGACTATTTTTGTTCCGCCAGAGGACGACGACCGCTTGTGTCGCCATCGAAACGTCGTGATGTTTTATTTTTTGTTGCATTTTATTTTTCTGCCCACGTGACTTTACCGATAGAACCAAAGGGTGCGCAGCCCTTGCTCAGGAGTCGCGACCTGGCTGCAAGTGATGGCCCAACGAGGTGGCTTCTCATCACGTGGACATTTACAGCAGGGAGGGGTGGTGGGCGGGGGGGGGGCGGGGTGCAGTGGGGGAGGGGGCGGCCCGTCACAGCCCCCCCCCGTTCGGCACCACTGTTGCACAAACAAAACCGGCGACGCCAAACGAACCGCGCAGTCGTCCCGGACGACTCTGGGGTGAAGGGGGCCCCCGGCACCGCCGAAGATGAGGCCGCTCCAACCCCTGAAGCGGAGGCCGGAGCCCGCGGCGGCGGCGGTGGTGGAGTCGGCGGTGGAGCCGGCGGGGCCTGCCGTGGCGTTGCCGTGCACGGGCGAGTTGAGGCAGTGCACCGTGACGGTTTGCCAGGCCTCGGTGCTCAGCAGGTGCAGGAAGTTCATCTGCACCCGGCTGACGTCGTAGTGCAACTGCGGGACGGGGCGGACAGCGAGGCGTCATATGTGATGACGACAGCGATGGTGACGATGATGACGATGATGGCGATGATGGCGACGACGACGACGATAATTATGGCGACGGTGACGACGATGATTGCGGCGATGATGACGGCGACGATGATGGCGATGATGATGAGGGTGAAAGAAAATAACTATAGACCTTAGCCTTTCTGGCCATAAACCAGGAGGTGCTAAGATGTTCGAACACCACATAGATAACTTTTGCGAGCCGTCGTCAAGTCCGCATTAACCGCACACGGTACTTGTTGCAAAAACATACAGACAAACGACCTCTGATAATAGTAAATTATAAGTCGTCGCTGAGAAGTGATTGGCCGACACCAAAGACACTGACAGGAGGTCACGGAACAGACCCAGCAGGCGCTGAGATGGCTGGCAGATGCTGTGCCCCCCCCCCCCCCCCCCCCACTATGTCAGCTCTCTGCGTATTAGCCGCCCAGCGCTCGGCTCGTTGTTGTGGATGTACGTACGTGTGTGCGTTGGACTTCTTTCGCAACGTGCGTAGCCAATCGTGCTAATTGGAGGTGCAGTGTTGAGTCTATGGGCAGTGTTGAGTCTGTGGGCAGTGTTGAGTCTATGGGCAGTGTTGAGTCTATAGGTAGTGTTGAGTCTATGGGGAGTGTTGAGTCTATGGGCAGTGTTGAATCTATGGGCAGTGTTGAGTCTATAGGTAGTGTTGAGTCTATGGGGAGTGTTGAGTCTATGGGCAGTGTTGAGTCTATGGGCAGTGTTGAGTCTGTGGGCAGTGTTGAGTCTATGGGCAGTGTTGAGTCTATGGGCAGTGTGTATGTATTTTAAACTTCTTTCACACCATACGTAGCCAGCCGTGCTAATCTGTAGGTGCGGGGAAGGACAATAAGCTAAAAACAAGCCGTTCTAAAGAAAATAGTTTTAAATCGTCGCTCCTCTGCCCTCCATTGTTGCTGGAGGGCAACACACACAATACTGACACACACAGCAACAAAACAAGACAAATATCCCCCGTATAGCCTCTAGCAGACTGTAGGGGCAAGTACTGTTAATCGCAAGTAGCAGCACCTAGGAAGGCCGGAACGATACACGAAGGGGCGGGAGGCCAGCACCACGCCCGACCGCCTTTGTCTCCCCAGTGGCAATGTTTACACACCGCACCAGGTACTCATTTGAGGCTGAGTCGACCTAGGGGAAGCCCGGGACCGGTTCAGATAATCGTCACTGGTGTTGGCCGTGAGCGGGAATCGAAACCGGGGCGCCAGGTTCATAGCGCAGCGTAGCGCTAACCGCTACACCCACCACTCCCCACTGCAACACACACACAGACACAGACCCACACGCACACGCACGCGCACACACGCACACGCACGCACACGCAGGCACGCACCGTGGAGATGGATACGGGGTTGAAGCAGGTGCGTCCGCCCTTTGAGAAGCTGCAGGTGACTTGGATGGTGTCCGATGCGCAGCCTGTATTGGGGTCTATGAAGTAGGACCCTGGAAATGCGGGAGGCAATGCGGGTGACGGGTGGGATGAGTTTCGATTTAAAGCTTTCGTGACTGTAAGGATTCATCTTCTTTGGTTCTTTCGGTAAGGTCATGTAGAATGAGAATAAAATAATAAAATAACACGATAACATTCTCACGACGTTTCGGCCACTACGCAAGCGGCCGTCTTCAGGTGGAAAGGTGCAGACCTGTCGTCCCGACAGAGCTTCTATGGGTCTCCGTGTTAGCTCTGTCGCCCCGACAGTTCTGTACCTTTCACCTGAAGACGGCCGCTTGCGTTGTGGCCGAAACGTCGTGAGAATTTTACCGTGTTATTTTATTATTTTATTCTCATTCTACGTGACCTTACCGAAAGAACCAAAAAAGGGTGGGATGACGATTCACGTTCCGCAGTTGCCACCACCGTAAGGACGCTGCACCGTTCCCTTCCCCCTTCATTTCGTTCTTTATTCTCGACGCGCCGTGCGGAGGGCAAACAGAACACGTTCATGGAAGACTCCGTCACGGTTCGGGCTAAATAGCCTGATGAGGCTGGTCGTGGTTGTTGTTGTTGTTATTGTTGTCGTAAGCACCCAGCGAAACGTCACAGCGTCGCAATCGTACATTACGTATGCGTTAACTGTGGATAACCCGAACCAATCATAGATACCCGTTGTAATTGATATGACTACGTTGACCCCGTCCATCTGATCTTCGCGCCTGATTGGCTCACAAGTGGCAGTGGCATCACCGCATTTACACACCGCGTGTTTGAGACCGAAACAGGAGGAGCATTTCTCGGCAATTGTGGCTGCCGCCTGATTATGCCAGGGATTGTTGTCGTCGTTGTCGTTGTTGTTGTAATTACCGGCGAAACGTCGTCGCGGCTACTCGAATCGTAAATGTTGCCATGGGTTTAACTCTCCAACACACAACCGGTGTGGCTGAATTAGTAACTGATTGGCACATTTTCTTTACGTGACAAACCTTCGTGGTAGTAGTAGGGTTTTCCGCGACCAATATTATACAGAATAGAGTTTATTTGGGGTTAGATCACGTAAATATAATTGTGCCGTCAAACCCGCCACCACCCGACATAGCCAATTGGTAAGGATGCGTCACGTAAACAAACGGCATCACATTCATCCCTCTAAGACCTAAACAGGAGGAAGATTTATCCACAACTCTGTGGCCGTTGCGTGATGATGCTGCTGGTTGTTGTTGTTACTGATGAAATGTCACGGTTACTCGAATTGTAAATGTTGTGGTGGGTTTAACTCTCCAACACACAACCGGTTAGTGCTAAACTAGTTAACTAATCGGCGCGTTTCAAACGAGACAGAACAATACAAACGACACAGAACAAAGCAAACGACACAGAACAATACAAACGACACAGAACAAAGCAAACGACACAGAACAATACAAACGACACAGAACAAAGCAAACGACACAGAACAATACAAACGACACAGAACAATGCAAACGACACAGAACAATACAAACGAGACAGAACAATACAAACGAGACAGAACAATACAAACGAGACAGAACAATACAAACGAGACAGAACAATACAAACGAGACAGAACAATGCAAACGAGACAGAACAATGCAAACGAGACAGAACAATACAAACGAGACAGAACAATACAAACGAGACAGAACAATACAAACGAGACAGAACAATACAAACGAGACAAAACAATGCAAACGAGACGGAACAATACAAACGAGACAGAACAATACAAACGACACAGAACAATGCAAACGAGACAGAACAATGCAAACGAGACAGAACAATACAAACGAGACAGAACAATACAAACGAGACAGAACAATACAAACGAGACAGAACAATGCAAACGAGACAGAACAATGCAAACGAGACAGAACAATACAAACGAGACAGAACAATACAAACGAGACAGAACAATACAAACGAGACAGAACAATACAAACGAGACAAAACAATGCAAACGAGACGGAACAATACAAACGAGACAGAACAATACAAACGAGACAGAACAATGAAAACGACACAGAACAATGCAAACGAGACAGAACAATACAAACGACACAGAACAATACAAACGAGACAGAACAATACAGACAGGCGAGGCAGCACGAACGAGTCAACGCGTCACACACCATCCGCCATGAGCTGCTCACAGTCCATGAGGTCTCGGCAGATCCGCGCCGGGTTTTCCCTCGTGCCCAGCGGCTTCCGGATGCTCTGCACCAGCCCGCTGAGGTAGTGCAACGTCTTCACCACCTCCACGCCCTGCAAAAACAAAGATCCCCCGTGTGGCCTTAACAGACTGTTTGGGGCAAGTGTTGTTAGCGAGTAGCAGCGCCTATGAAGACCGGCACGGCGCACGAGGGGGTGGGTGGCCAGCACCACGCCCATCCGCCTTTGTCTTCCCAGTGGCGATGTTTTTACGCACTGTACCAGCTGCACCAGCTACTAATTTGAGGCTGATTAGACCTCGAAGGCCCAGGATCGGTTCAGATAATCGTCACTGGTGTTGTTTGCATTGTTCTGTCTCGTTTGTATTGTTCTGTCTCATTTGGATTGTTCTGTCTCGTTTGCATTGTTCTGTCTCGTTTGCATTGTTCTGTGTCATTTGTATTGTTCTGTCTCGTTTGCATTGTTCTGTCTCGTTTGCATTGTTCTGTCTCGTTTGTATTGTTCTGTCCCGTTTGCATTGTTCTGTTTCGTTTGCATTGTTCCGTCTCGTTTGCATTGTTCTGTCTCTTTTGTATTGTTCCGTCTCGTTTGCATTGTTCCGTCTCGTTTGCATTGTTCCGTCTCGTTTGCATTGTTCCGTGTCGTTTGCATTGTTCTGTCTCGTTTGTATTGTTCTGTGTCGTTTGTATTGTTCTGTCTCTTTTGTATTGTTCCGTCTCGTTTGCATTGTTCCGTCTCGTTTGCATTGTTCCGTCTCGTTTGCATTGTTCTGTCTCGTTTGCATTGTTCCGTGTCGTTTGCATTGTTCCGTCTCGTTTGCATTGTTCCGTGTCGTTTGCATTGTTCTGTCTCGTTTGTATTGTTCTGTGTCGTTTGTATTGTTCTGTCTCTTTTGTATTGTTCCGTCTCGTTTGCATTGTTCCGTCTCGTTTGCATTGTTCCGTCTCGTTTGCATTGTTCCGTCTCGTTTGCATTGTTCCGTGTCGTTTGCATTGTTCCGTCTCGTTTGCATTGTTCCGTGTCGTTTGCATTGTTCCGTCTCGTTTGTATTGTTCTGTCTCTTTTGTATTGTTCCGTCTCGTTTGCATTGTTCCGTCTCGTTTGCATTGTTCCGTCTCGTTTGCATTGTTCCGTCTCGTTTGCATTGTTCCGTGTCGTTTGCATTGTTCCGTCTCGTTTGCATTGTTCCGTCTCGTTTGCATTGTTCCGTCTCGTTTGCATTGTTCCGTCTCGTTTGCATTGTTCCGTCTCGTTTGCATTGTTCCGTGTCGTTTGCATTGTTCTGTCTCGTTTGTATTGTTCTGTGTCGTTTGTATTGTTCTGTCTCTTTTGTATTGTTCTGTGTCGTTTGTATTGTTCTGTCTCGTTTGTATTGTTCCGTCTCGTTTGTATTGTTCCGTCTCGTTTGCATTGTTCCGTCTCGTTTGCATTGTTCCGTCTCGTTTGCATTGTTCCGTCTCGTTTGTATTGTTCCGTCTCGTTTGCATTGTTCCGTCTCGTTTGCATTGTTCCGTCTCGTTTGCATTGTTCCGTCTCGTTTGCATTGTTCCGTGTCGTTTGCATTGTTCCGTCTCGTTTGCATTGTTCCGTCTCGTTTGCATTGTTCCGTCTCGTTTGCATTGTTCCGTCTCGTTTGTATTGTTCTCTCTCAAACCCAGTGACTCAAATTCGATTCCCGCTCTGAACCGGCTCTGGGCCTCCCCTAGGTCGACTCAGCCTCAAACGAGCGCCTGGTGCAGCCCAGAAAACATTGGCCAACTGGGCAGACGAAGGCGCCGCAGCGACGGCTTTCGAGGGCGCCGCTGCTCGCAAACAGCGCTCGCCCCAACAGCCTGTCCAAAGCGACGCGGGACGGCCCGGGACCCTCCGGCTTGGTGCAGCGCTCCGATGGCTCGCCGGAGAAGCTCCGCCTCTCACCTCGACGCGCAGAGCGGCTCTGGACCGGACGAGAACTTTGGTCGAACCTTTGGGGCCGTCGCGCTTCTGAAGGAGACGGCGCCCCCGACCATCCTGAAGCCGGTTAGCGAGAGACGCGCTGGGGAGTGGCGCGGGTTCGTAGCGGCAGCGCGCTAACCGCTGGTGCTACCCCCCCCCCCCCCATGTAACGGTGATAATAAAATAAAGACAAAGATCTCCTCCCTCCCGTATAACAATAGGTTTCATCCTTTCTGGCAACTAAACAGGTATTAAGATATATATATTCTTGGTTATTTTGGTAAAGTCACCACGTAGAAGGGAAGCAATAAAATAATGAAAAAATTATTAAACTATAAAACAATAAAATTCTCACGACGTTTCGACTGCAACACAGGCAATCATCATCAGGTGTGAAAACCACAGCACACCTGATGACGATTGCTTGTGTTGCAGTCGAAACGTCGTGATAATTTTATTGTTTAATATTTTTATTATAATTATTTAATTTATGATTTCATTGTTCCCCTTCTACGTGACTTTACCGAAAGAACCAAGAATATGAATCCCTACAGTCACGAAAGCTTGAAATTAAAAGATATTAAGATGTTAAAACACCAAACTGAATCATTTTTCAAGGAATCGTGTCTGCATTAACCACACGCACTTGTGGTGAACATGTAAACAATAATAATATATATGCATTGTCCTTGAAACTGATTGGTCCACACCAGAGACAGCTTTCTTTTGAGCCTCGTCTCAAAACGGTGTTAGACGAGAGGACGCTAAAACGCGAAAAGCTTTATGTGCAAACTGATAACACACACACACACGCACCGATTAATGTACAAACCTGCCACCCATTAATTTGTTTACTCACCACAGTGCGGGCAGGGATGCTCGGAGGACCCTACACACACAAACACGAAGAAAAACACAAAGATCCCCCATGTAACCCACACAGACTGTTGGGGCAAGTGCTGTTCGTGAACACCGGCGAAGGTCGGCAACAGCGCATGATCGTGGGGACGGCCAACGCCACGCATACCCGGCCGCCTTTGTCTCCCCAGCGCTGATGCACCAGGTACCTATTCAAAGGCTGAGTCGACCTAGGGGAGCTACACGGCAAGTTCGACTTGTATGTATGCACATCGGATTTATGTCGCAGCGTACTCAGCCAACTGTGTAAATCGGAGGTGCAATTAAGGGCTGGACAAGCCCCTGCCATAAGAATGTGGAATTCCCACTGCTGGCTCGGAAACGGCCACAGAGGTGGACAACGCGGGCTCAGTTGCGATGTGCGGATAACAGGATCACGGGATCATTCTGGGTACGCATTCGGAAGCGTTATTCCACAAGTGAACGGACAGAGTCGATGCTGCATCGGACGATGTGCTTACCGGAGACCCTGGGAGACCCCTGGGCCCCGTGGGTCCCTGGTAAAATGAAAGCAAAGTAAATAAATACAAAAACACGGACGAAAAAGCACGCACACGCATGGATTCTGTAACGACATTTTTAGCATTTTTTTACATTTTATTTTACCAGGTAGGGCCCCCCGCTGAGTTGTGTAGGTCTTTTTCAGAAGCGACCCAGCCATCACAAATGATAGCCCAACGAAGTGGGCTCATCATCATCATCGTCATCATCGTCACGTGGATATTTATAGCAGCAGCCAAATAATCTAAACGCTTGTTGTTGATTCCAAATGTGGAGGGAAAAACCCGAGGACCCGGAGAAAAATCCACGCGATCACGGAGAAAGAGAGACACTGCCAACTCCAAATATATACAGCAGCAGCAGCGGGCGTCAGGGTCGAGATCGAACCCACGACCTCCTGCACATCAGGCGAGGTAGTTAACATCTCCTAGCCACCGTGATGATGATGAGAGAGAGAGACACGCAAACTCCAAATATACAGCAGCAGGCGTCAGGGTCGAGATCGAACCCACGACCTCCTGTATACCTGGCGAGGTAGTTAACATCTCTTAGTCACCGTGATGATGATGAGAGAGAGACACGCAAACTCCAAATATATACAGCAGCGAGCGTCAGGGTCGAGATCGAACCCACGACCTCCTGTACACCAGGCGAGGTAGTTAACATCTCATAGCCACCGTGATGATGATGATGAGAGAGAGAGACACGCAAACTCCAAATATACAGCAGCAGGTGTCAGGATCGGGATCGAACCCACGACCTCCTGTATACCAGGCGAGGTAGTTAACATCTCCTAGCCACCGTGATGATGATGAGAGAGAGAGACACGCAAACTCCAAATATATACAGCAGCGGGCGTCAGGGTCGAGATCGAACCCACGACCTCCTGTATGCCAGGCGAGGTAGTTAACATCTCATAGCCACCCTGTAATAATTCCCAACATGAGCGCTTCATCATAGGCAGTGTTTTGATTCGTGGGGCGGGAAGCCGATGGTCAATGTGACTGGTATTGTTCAAGGTGAGTGTCCAAGAGCCACAAAACTTTACCCTAGAGTCTCACTCATATCGGATGACCTCTACGGGACTTGCCTTGACCCCCACGTTACCTTGACCCCACGTTACACACGGACACACATAGCCAATGCGTTAACCCCTTGGTCAATGCGTCTGGTATTGTTCAAGGTGAGTGTCCAAGAGCCACAAAACTTTACCCTAGAGTCTCACTCATATCGGATGACCTCTATGGGACTTGCCGTGACCGCCACGTTACCTTGACCCCACGTTACACACGGACGCCAACATGTTCATCACCAACCTTAGCCGGTAGGCTATTTAACCAGGGTCAGGTATAATTTCGTATTATTTTTGCACATATATTATATTGGTTATGTAAGCAGGAAGTCATTACCTGAGGACCTTGAAGACCCTGTCAGAGACAACAGAGAAGACAAACGAACACGCGTTAATTAACGATACATTAAAACTCTACGAAACAGATGGGCATTATCATGAAAAAAATGTAAAATAGGTTAAAATTAACATGAAGTAAACAAAACTATTATTTAACATCAGTAAAGTGACGTAGGAAAATAAAATAAAATAAGAGAAAAAAGTTAATAATTTGTATTTTTTATTTATTTTATTTTAATTTTTATCTTTTTTATATTTTATTTTTATTTTCTTTACCTACGTGACTTTACCGAAAGAACCAGACTATGGATCCTTGCAGTCACGAAACTTCAAATCTAGAACATAAGTAATAGTTTATAAAGTAACTTCCCTTAAGTTACAATGATGCTGTTCAGTAGCATCATCATATCACTTTATCTCCCTCACCACTTTATCTCTCATTACTTTATCTCTCATAGACTCAACACTACCCATAGACTCAACACTGCCCATAGCCTTCAACACTGCCCATAGACTCAACACTGCCCATAGACTCAACACTAACCCATAGACTCAACACTGCCCATAGACTCAACACTACCCATAGACTCAACACTGCCCATAGAATCAACACTGCCCATAGACTCAACACTACCCTTAGACTCAACACTACCCATAGACTCAACACTGCCCATATACTCAACACTACCCTTAGACTCAACACTACCCATAGACTCAACACTGCCCATAGACTCAACACTGCCCATAGACTCAACACTACTCATAGCCTCAACACTGCCCATAGACTCAACACTGCCCATAGACTCAACACTACCCATAGACTCAACACTGCCCATAGACTCAACACTACCCATAGACTCAACACTACCCATAGACTCAACACTGCCCATAGCCTTCAACACTGCCCATAGACTCAACACTGCCCATAGACTCAACACTAACCCATAGACTCAACACTGCCCATAGACTCAACACTACCCATAGACTCAACACTGCCCATAGAATCAACACTGCCCATAGACTCAACACTACCCTTAGACTCAACACTACCCATAGACTCAACACTGCCCATATACTCAACACTACCCTTAGACTCAACACTACCCATAGACTCAACACTGCCCATAGACTCAACACTGCCCATAGACTCAACACTACTCATAGCCTCAACACTGCCCATAGACTCAACACTGCCCATAGACTCAACACTACCCATAGACTCAACACTGCCCATAGACTCAACACTACCCATAGACTCAACACTACCCATAGACTCAACACTACCCATAGACCTAACATTGCACCTCAAATTCGCACGGTTTGCTAGGTACGGTGCGAAAGAAGCCCAACACACACACGCAGCATGCTGCCGATTAACTGTCCCACGTTTCTGAGCCTCCCGTCGTCGTGGGTGATGCACGTGCCCACTATTAGCCGGCGCGTTCCTTTTAAAACATGAACTGAGCAGGTCACGGTGGACTGTACCACACATGAAATGGCAGGGGGGGGGGTGGAGGCTCGTGGAGCGAAGCCGATAAGGTGAATAACGGGTCGTACCATGTCTCCTTTCCCCCCTTTCTCTCCTTGAGACCCCTGGAGAAGAGAAAAAAAAACACCACGACAGACAAATCGTTGAATCGAGAGGGACTGTCAAGACGTGATCAGTTTTGCGAGCACCTATTGAGGCGCGACACGCTCGCGTTCTCTTCCCTAACGCACCTCGGCGGCTCAGGAGGTTGACACCGGCCACGGTCAGAAGGACTGAAACCAGCGAGCGCTGAGAACCTGGGTTCGAACCGGGGTTTTCAGGTGCGCAGTGGTTTAGTGCCTCCGGCACGGGCCATTGTGAACCTCCTCCCGAGCCACCGAGTCACCCCCGAGATCTCACGCAACGTGACGACGAAGTGGCGAGGGGAGTGCCAGCGAAGTTAAGATGATGGCGGCGGTGGCGATGATGATGGTGATGATGGAAACTGTGAAGTAAAAACCAGATCGTGGGAGGGTCAGGCGTCAAAGGGGCAAGCAGGCGTTGATGAACCACGGGTTGGCTCTCCAGCACCCAACCGGCGCGCTGTACTTGTAACGAATTGGCACGTTCTGTTCACGTGACAAAACTTGCTAATTGGCTGTGTCGGGTTTAAAGACACATTTGTATTTACGCGATCTAACCCAAAAAAAACCTATATTATGGATGACATTGGTCGCGAAAGCCTACGTGTTAAACTTGCTTTTGTTGTGTTTAAAATGTTTCAAATATCATGATTCTTTCAGCATGAATTGCCTAATGAAGATAACATTTTAAGTTGTTCACTTTATAAACCGCTGCAACACCACAGTCTGATTTGTGCTGCCTCTGGGAGGTCTCGGGGCGGCCGAGAAGGCGGTCCGAAGTGAGAGATTTCCCCTTCGTTCATTGCGAGTAGCTTCCAGCATTCTAGCCACGCCGTTTGAGAGCCATTCAGGGCGGTGAAAAAGGCGCCCGTGGCTGCGACGAGACGATGTCACCACGCTGGGTTGCGCTGCGCAGACATAGCAGCTCACGTCCTGCTTTGTTTGCGAAAACCTCGAGGCTTTTCGCAGTGTCAAATGAGTTGTGTAGCGTGGACTTGAGGGCCATGGGGAGAGCATTTGATCGCTTTGTTGTTTTATTGTCGTCGCATTGTTTATAAACGCCTGCCGCCGGTAGACAAAGGCGGTTGTGCGTCACTTTCACGGGAAGGCCGATGCACACGACGAGGTTTTTCCTAATTAGAACGCCCAAGATTTTCAGAGGCCGCTCACAAAAGCCACCACCGAGTTGGCATGTCACCGGCCGACCACGGCCGCGCAAACGGCTGCCAGCATATGGCAGCCGGGGAAAAAGGAAGCGATGGCGGGGCACGGCGACCTCTTGACCCCGGGCCGCGCGGGCACGCCCCCCCGGGTACTTACGCGAACTCCGTTTGGTCCCGAGAGGCCGGAGGGCCCGGCCACACCAGAGCTACCCTGCAGTGACAAATGTGGACATTCAAGACGACAAAATTGGGAATCCATGATAGAGGTTTTGCATACCGCTTCAACCCATCACGGTTTACTCCGTATTCTTGTACAGGGGAATTGAGTTTTCAGGTCCATACAGCGTACAGCCGTTTCAATACGGGCAAAGTATTATTGTGTGTCTATTTGTGTTTCTCCCTTGTGATGAGACTATGTGGGATGAACGTTGAGATGTATACGTGACGAGAGAGTCACGTGATCGCGTCCACAGCGCTGCGAGATGCCTCCCCGGTTATGAAACATACGCTACTCACGACCACCGTTATCGCTGTAATATTTTAACTGTTTTGTTGTTGTTGTATTTTTACCAGGTAAGGCCCCGGCAAATGAGCTGCTACGTAGCTCTTCTTTCAGAATCGACACTGGCCATCACAAATGATAACTCAACGAAGTGGCTCGTCATCGTCATCGTCGTCGTCATCACGCGGAGAGTTTCTAGCAGCGGCCAAATACTCCAAACGGGTGACGTTGACTCTAAATGTGGAGGGGAAAGTCGGAGGGCCCGGGAGACAGAGAGACACCGCAAACTCCAAATATACAGCAGGCGTCACGGTCGGGATCGAAACCACGACCTCCTGCATACCAGGCGAGGTAGTTAACATCTCCTAGCCACCGTGATGATGATGCGATAACTGCCGTATTATCCATTGCGTTATCCGGTGTGTTGTTATCTGGTGTGTTGTTGTTATCTGGTGTGTTGTTATCTGGTGTTGTTGTTATCTGGTGTGTTGTTATCTGGTGTGTTGTTGTTATCCGGTGTGTTGTTACGTGGTGTGTTGTTGTTATCTGGTGTGTTGTTATCTGGTGTGTTGTTGTTATCTGGTGTGTTGTTATCTGGTGTGTTGTTGTTATCTGGTGTGTTGTTATCTGGTGTGTTGTTATCCGGTGTGTTGTTGTTATCTGGTGTGTTGTCCGTTGTGTTTGTTATCTGGCGTGTTATCTCGTGTGTGTGTATGTTATCCGGTGTGTGTGTCTGTTATCTCGTGTGTGTGTGTCTGTTATCCGGTGTGTGTGTCTGTTATCCGGTGTGTGTGTGTGTTATCCGGTGTGTGTGTCTGTTATCTGGTGTGTGTGTCTGTTATCTCGTGTGTGTGTCTGTTATCCAGTGTGTGTGTGTGTCTGTTATCTGGTGTGTGTGTGTCTGTTATCTCGTGTGTGTGTGTCTGTTATCCGGTGTGTGTCTTTTATCTGGTGTGTGTGTGTCTGTTATCTCGTGTGTGTGTGTGTGTGTGTCTGTTATCCGGTATGTGTGTGTCTGTTATCTCGTGTGTGTGTGTGTCTGTTATCCGGTATGTGTCTGTTATCTGGTGTGTGTGTCTGTTATCTGGTGTGTTATCTCGTGTGTGTGTCTGTTATCTCGTGTGTGTGTGTCTGTTATCTCGTGTGTGTGTGTCTGTTATCTCGTGTGTGTGTGTGTGTGTCTGTTATCCGGTATGTGTCTGTTATCTCGTGTGTGTGTGTCTGTTATCTCGTGTGTGTGTGTCTGTTATTGGGCGTGTATGTGTCTGTTATCTCGTGTGTGTGTGTGTGTTATCCGGTGTGTGTCTGTTATCTGGTGTGTGTGTGTCTGTTATCTCGTGTGTGTGTGTGTGTTATCTCGTGTGTGTGTGTTATCTCGTGTGTGTGTGTCTGTTATGTCGTGTGTGTGTGTCTGTTATCTCGTGTGTGTGTGTGTGTGTCTGTTATCGTGTGTGTGTGTGTGTGTCTGTTATCCGGTATGTGTGTGTCTGTTATCTCGTGTGTGTGTGTGTGTCTGTTATCCGGTATGTGTCTGTTATCTCGTGTGTGTGTGTGTGTGTCTGTTATCTCGTGTGTGTGTCTGTTATCGGGCGTGTGTGTGTCTGTTATCTCGTGTGTGTGTGTGTGTTATCTCGTGTGTGTGTGTCTGTTATCTCGTGTGTGTGTGTCTGTTATCTCGTGTGTGTGTGTCTGTTATCTCGTGTGTGTGTGTCTGTTATTGGGCGTGTGTGTGTCTGTTATCTCGTGTGTGTGTGTGTGTGTTATCTCGTGTGTGTGTCTGTTATCTCGTGTGTGTGTCTGTTATCTCGTGTGTGTGTGTCTGTTATCGTGTGTGTGTCTGTTATCTCGTGTGTGTGTCTGTTATCCGGTGTGTGTGTCTGTTATCCAGTGTGTGTCTGTTATCTGGTGTGTGTGTCTGTTATCTGGTGTGTTATCTCGTGTGTGTGTCTGTTATCCGGTGTGTGTGTCTGTTAGCCGGTGTGTGTCTGTTATCTCGTGTGTGTGTCTGTTATCTGGTGTGTTATCTCGTGTGTGTGTGTCTGTTATGCGGTGTGTGTGTGTGTCTGTTATCCGGTGTGTGTGTGTGTCTGTTATCCGGTGTGTGTGTGTCTGTTATCCGGTGTGTGTGTGTCTGTTATCCGGTGTGTGTGTGTCTGTTATCCGGTGTGTGTGTCTGTTATCTGGTGTGTGTGTGTCTGTTATCCGGTGTGTGTGTGTCTGTTATCTCGTGTGTCTGTTATCTCGTGTGTGTGTGTGTCTGTTATCTCGTGTGTGTGTGTCTGTTATCCGGTGTGTGTGTGTCTGTTATCCGGTGTGTGTGTGTGTCTGTTATCCGGTGTGTGTGTGTCTGTTATCCGGTGTGTGTCTGTTATCCGGTGTGTGTGTGTCTGTTATCTGGTGTGTGTGTGTCTGTTATCCGGTGTGTGTGTGTGTCTGTTATCTCGTGTGTCTGTTATCTCGTGTGTGTGTGTGTGTCTGTTATCTCGTGTGTGTGTCTGTTATCCGGTGTGTGTGTGTGTGTGTTATCCGGTGTGTGTGTCTGTTATCCGGTGTGTGTGTGTCTGTTATCCGGTGTGTGTGTGTCTGTTATCCGGTGTGTGTGTGTCTGTTATCCGGTGTGTGTGTGTCTGTTATCCAGTGTGTGTGTCTGTTATCCGGTGTGTGTGTGTCTGTTATCTCGTGTGTGTGTGTCTGTTATCCGGTGTGTGTGTGTCTGTTATCCGGTGTGTGTGTGTCTGTTATCCGGTGTGTGTGTGTCTGTTATCCGGTGTGTTTATCTGGTGTGTTATCTCGTATGTGTGTGTCTGTTATCTGGTGTGTGTGTGTCTGTTATCCGGTGTGTGTGTGTCTGTTATCCGGTGTGTGTGTGTCTGTTATCCGGTGTGTGTGTCTGTTATCTCGTGTGTGTGTGTCTGTTATCCGGTGTGTGTGTGTCTGTTATCGGGCGTGTTGCCATCGTCGTGTGAAGCCGTACGATCATTCCCGGAGATCCCCGCGGTCCGATGATCCCGTACGGCCCCACGTCGCCCTGGTATCCCTGCCACAACAACCACCGCAACCACAACAACCACAACAACCACCGCAACCACAACAACCACACGCGCGCACACATCGACGCGTTACAGAGGTAAAGGCGCAGCTCCTGCAATTGCTTGGCTGCCGCCGCTGCCGGCGGGATGGGCTCTTCGACTACGGAGAAGGCTCCAGGGGGGTAATCGTTGGCCTATTCTTCCACGCTGGACATCATATCTAAGAAGAAGGAGTTGCCCGCACTTCACCCCGCCGCACGTGGAGGGAGGGGGACGGTGGAGGGGGTGATTTAAGAAACTCGTGCCGTTGGTTCAAATGCCGCGCGCGAACCCGCTAGGGACGGGATCGGAATCGGTGGACATTCCAGGGGCTCCATAGTACAGGTTTTTTTTTTTGGGTTGGATCGCGTATAAATATATACGCGTGTCGTGAAGCTCGCCACCACCCGACACAGCCAATTAGCGAAGGTTTGTCACGTGAACGGAACAAGCCGCTCCGTTGCGAGTACAGCCACACCGGTGCTGTGCTAGTGACGACACGTTTATATATGTTCACGTGATCGAACCCAAAAAAAACGCCTGCATTGTGGATGGTATTGGTCGCGAAAGCCAACCCACATGCTCAACATTTCCAAGGGCTCTCAGAACCATAGATAGATAGATAGATCCTTCATTGTCATTGTCACCAGTACAACGCAATTTAAAGTGCTCGCCAGTCAGTGCATCATTCATAAATTTAAATAAATAAAACAAGAAATAAAAATAAAATAAAATATAATCAGTACATTTTATATATAAAAACTGTCCAAGTATAACCACATATTTCGATTTAAAGCTTTCGTGACTGCAAGGATGCATCTTCTTTGGTTCTTTCGGTAAAGTCACCACGTAGAATGAGAATAAAATAATAAATAAAATAACACAATAAAATTATCACGACGTTTCGGCCACAACACAAGTTGTGGCCAAAACGTCGTGAGAATTTTACTGTTATTTTATGTTATTTATTATTTTATTCTCATTCTGCGTGACTTTACCGAAAGAACCAAAGAAGATATACCCACATACCCACATAAAGGTACATTTTGTCATTGCACATCGCTATTTTACAGTCAATTGTAAACAGTATTACTTAATAATTAATTAGCAGTATTGAGTGTGGTAATTGCTGTAGGATGAAAGCTGTGTTTGAATCTGTTTGTCCTTGTTTTGACTGATCTGAATCGTCTGTATGATGGCAACAGCTCAAACAGAGAGTGTCCAGGGTGAGAAGAGTCCTTTATAATGTTCTGCGCCTTTTTCGATGCAACGGGAGCTGTGTAGTTCTTCCAGTGTGGGGAGAAGGCAGCCGGCGATTATTTGGGCCGTGTTGATGACCCTCTGCAGCGCTTTCCTCTGAGCCACTGTGCAGCTGGTGTACCATAAACAGATGCAGTTCTGCGGAATCTCAATATCTCAATCCACGGGCCACGATCCATAGCGCGCGAGCGTGTCCCGAATGTGCACTTGATCTCAGCACGCTGGGAATTAACCTCATCCTCCCACTCGCCCCTCCCTATGGCAAGCAACTAACGAACGAACGGAAAGACGGTTACACTTTTTGTTAAACGCGATAAACAAAATGTAACAACTGAATGCAGAAATTGAACAACCTTTGGGCCGATTGGACCTTGCATTCCCCTGAAGCCCGGTTCTCCAGAGTCTCCCTGCCAAAAGAAGTAGACAATTTCACACGTCACATACACGTGGCGAGATGGTGTGCAGGAGGTCGTGGGTGTGATCCCAACCCTGACGCCTGCTGCTGCTGTATATTTGGAGTTTGCGTGTCTCTCTCTCTCTCGTCATCATCACGGTGGCTAGGAGATGTTAACTACCTCGCCTGGTGTGCAGGAGGTCGTGGGTTCGATCCCGACCCTGACGCCTGCTGCTGTATATTTGGAGTTTGCGTGTCTCTCTCTCTCTCCCCGTGGTCACGTGGATTGTTCTCAGGGCCCTCCGGGTTTTCCCTCCGCATTTAGAATCAACGTCACCACGCGTTTAGAGATATTCGGCTGCTGCTATAAATTTCCAGAAGAATGATGATACGCCCACTTAGTTGAGCTATCACTTGTGATGGCTGGGTCGCTTCTTGTAGAATGAACGTTGAGATTTATAAGGGGCACGGGGTGACCAATACAGTCTGAGTTGGTCTGTGATAAGGCGGGGCACTGATAAGTGGTTGACAGGTGTGGTGCTGCTGCTCGCTAACAGCACTTTCCCCAGCAGTCTGTTGAGGCTACACGGGGGCGGGGTCTTTGTCACGTGTCTGTGTGTGCGTGCACGTCACTTACGGGATTCCCTTTGCTCCCTGGCGATCCGGTCTCTCCGGATATCCCCATGGTGCCCTCCGATCCTCTCATCCCGGTTGGACCACCCTGTCCAGGCAAACCCATCCCTCCCTTCACAGGGGCACACACAGCAGCCACCACCAATGCCATCACTATCACCAACATTACCACCACTCAGATTAACATGGAGTAGCAGTAGGAGGCTTTCGCAACCTATATCATCCATAATGAGAGGTTTTTTTGGGGGGTTAGATCAAGTAAATATAAATGTGTCGTTAAACCCGCCACTACCCGACACAGCCAATTAGTAATGTTGTGTCACGAAAGCAAAACTTGCCAATTCGTTACACCATTGTCATTTATATGCATTCATTAATCAACCCGCCACCCCCCTTCCCACGTGAAGGGCTCACAAGTGACGTCATAACATCGACACCTCGATTCAAGGGAACGAAACGGGAGGAGGATTTCTCCGCAAATCTGGCTGCTGTCCACCTGATGATGCCCGTTGTAATTACTGGCGAAACGTCGTACACTCAGACTGCACATTTTGTGGATTTGCTCTCCAACACACCGGTGTGATGAACTAGTGACGAATTGGAATGTTCCGTTTACGTGACAAACCTTACTAACTGGCTGTGGATTACCACCGCCTTGCCTACCAATACCCCGGCCATTCGCCGCTTAGTGACGGTGACGTCACCATGGCGCCTGTGCCAGGCTAGGTGCGCTTTGAGGCCACACATCGTCACAAATGTCTGACCGCCCCCCCCCCCCGCCCCCCTAGGTGCGTGACGTCATTTATTGACGGCCCCTAGCCAACCGTGGTCATCGTAGGTGCGGACGAGGGACAAACTAACTAAACGTAAATTCCGAAACCAGACGACATTTCTAAGATTGCCGTAAGTCATCCTATACTCATTGGTTTTCTTCTCGGTAAAGTCACGTATGTAGGAATACCATAAAACCACATTAAAACAAATCAAACACGACGTTTCGACCGCAACACAGGCGATCTTCATCAGGTGTAAAAAAAAACAAATAGCACACAGGGTGACATCAACGCAACACGTAGAGAGCGTTAAACTGCAAGGAGGTAAATACAAACAAGAAGATTAGAGACGAGAATTCAACAAACCTAAGAAAAATTTTACGTGATGCAAAACCAGTCGGGCCAACGACACAGTTTAGACACTTGCCTGGTGGACCACGAATTTCAGAAGAGTGCTACATTTCGTGTTCATCCTCTGGGTTGAACACACCAGCATAGACAGAGTGGACAAATACGAGGTACAAGGTAGCAGAAATACATGTACAGGGACACCAAGAGGTAAGAAGGTGGAAAGACGGACAGAGAAGCAAGAAAAAGGGGCCGGAGGGGATGAACAGACAGAGGCTTAAAATAAGCGGTAGAGGTGGGGGGAGGGGCCAAAGAGAGCAAGGGGGCACAGCAGCAGCAGCAGAAGAGGGGGGAGGGGGCAGGAAAATGTAAGTGGGCGCAATAAGCTTAGGACAGAATTGTAAAGGTGACTTCCCCGTAGAAGTGTGTTAATAAAGAATTAAAGCTTTCGTGACCGCATAAATTACTCATTGTTTTTTTTCTTTCGGTAAAGTCACGTGTGTGAAAATACCATAAAATCACATTGAAACAAATCAAACACGACGAAATCGTGGTGTGCCAGGCAAGTGTCTAAACTGTGTCGTTGGCCGACTGGTTTTGCATCACGTACATTTGTCTTAGGTTTGTTGAATTCTCGTCTCTCATCTTCTTGTTTGTATTTACCTCCGTGCAAGTTTAACGCTCTCTACGTGTTGCGTTGATGTCACCCTGTGTGCTATTTGTTTTTTTTACACCTGATGAAGATCGCCTGTGTTGCGGTCGAAACGCCGTGTTTGATTTGTTTCAATGTGATTTTATGGTATTCCTACATACGTGACTTTACCGAGAAGAAAACCAATGAGAAATGTATGCAGTCACGAAAGCTTTAATTCTTCATCCTATACTCTGCCTCGCCTGGTATACGGGGGGGTCGTGGGTTCCATCCCAACTCCGACGCCTGCTGCTGCTGTATATTTTGCACGCCTCTCTCTCCCTGTGCTCACGCGGGACTGTTCTCCGGGTCCTATGGAATTTTCCCTCTATACTCTTCGAATCGACGCGCAATTTAGAATATTAAGGCTGCCGCCGTGAACTTCCACGGCGATCGTGACAAGCCCACTTCGTTGAGCTCTCGTTTGGCGATGGCCAGGTTTCGATTTCCGACAAAGGGCTATGCAGCCCAGCGGGGCCTTAGACCTGGTGAAAAATATATAATTTGTTTCACTTTAGTTGACGAATGTTGATTGTTGGGATGATTTTGCCGCTGTACATTTCCACGTGACGTTCCGCTTCGTTGAGCCATCAATTTGCGGTAGCCAGGGTCGCTTCTAAAATAAATAGCTTCACAGCTCATTCGTGGGGCCTTACCTGGGAAAATAAAAGTAGTTTACACGTTCAGTTTATATCCGCAGTTTTATTTTGACCGCGCCGTTTCACGCTCTTGTAACGGGCGCCGCCAGCCCGCCCGCCAGCCAGCCGCAGCCCCCGCGCCCGTTGACGATCGTTGCTCAACGATGAATTAACAAAAAATCCCCGACGCGCCAGAGGATTTGGCTTTTTTGCGCGAACCTTGAAGCCCGTGGGTCCGTGCAGACCGGGGAGTCCGTGAGTCCCCGGGTCGCCCGCGGCACCCGCAGAGCCATCCGCACCCTCCTCACCGTCGTCGCCCCGATCCCCCTGCGGCGGGCGACACGGGAGAGACGCGGAGGCGACGTGGAAATGCCGCGGTGGGTTTAAACCTCTACCGAGCACGCGGCCGCCGGGCGCTGCGCTTGTAGAAGAACCGGCCACGTTTTTGTTCACGCGACGCAAACCTTATTCATTGGCTGGAGGGGTGGGGGGGGTAGTGGCGGGTTTAACGACGCGTTTATATTTACGCGATCTAAGCCGAATTTTTTTTGTTGGTGGATAATCTATAAAAACAGGTAAACATGTAAAAATGTGTCGTCAAACCCGCCACCACCCGACACAGCCAATTAGTAAGGTTTGTCACGTAAACAGAACGTTGCCGAATTCGTCACCTGGTACAGCACACCGATTGCGTGTTGGAGAGCAAATCCACACGACACTTACAAGCTGAGTGTACGACGTTTCGCCAGTAATTACAACCAGCTTCATCAGGCGGACAGCAGCCAGATTTGTGGAGAAATCCTCCTCCTGTTTCGTTCCCTTGAATAGAGGCGTGGATGTGATGACGTCACTTGTCAGCACTACTTGAGCGATGTGGGGGGTTGGGAGATTAATGAATGACAATGAGTATCCATTGCCGGTAGGGGCGGAGCCAGGGGGGGAGTGACAGGGGTGACGTTCTGCGTGTGAGTGTACGACACTCGGTCTGGCGGATTCCGTGCCAACTGCATTGTCAGAGCGTGTCGCCAACCGATGGCGTCTAGCTCAACAGCCTGACTCTCTCTAAATCATTCTTGAAATTAACATTTGTCGAATGTCACCCCGGGCTGGCTCTGCCCCTGATTGCCGGTTGGGTTATTAAATGGCAATCAACGCACCACTACACTCACCACCCCCCCCAGCCCGCCTGCCCGCCGGGTCTAGCGCGGTGTTCTTGGCAAAACAATCGGTGTGTATGTGCGTGCGTGCGTGCGTGTGTGCGCAGCTTTTATCGACTCGACAGCGGCCACGAATTGTGGTTTTAACCCAACGCGACCCTCGTGCATTGCCCAGCACGGCAGTGAGCGCGATGCACTCGGACCCGGCACGCAAGCACGCAAGCATGCATGTCGGCGGCGTCGTCCGTCGTGCGTGCGGCGAGCGGCGGCGAGCGGCGGTCAGCGCGCTGCGAACCCGGCGAGCCGGGTTGGGTTCCCCGCTCACGGCCCACACCGGCGATGATTGTCTGAACCTTGGGCCTCCCCTAGGTCGACTCAGTCTCAAATGGGTGGCCGGTGCAGCACTGTAATGGTGACGATGACAACGGTGACGACGATGACGGTGACGGCGATGACGATGATGACGATGACGACGACGACGATGACGACGATGACGACGATGACGACGATGACGACGATGACAATGACGACGATGACAATGACGACGATGACGGTGACGACGATGACGACGATGATGATGATGACGATGATGGTGACGACGATGACAACGATGACGACGATGACAATGACGGCGATGACGATGACAATGACGATGATGACGACGATGACGGTGACGACGAAGACGGTGACGACGATGGTGGTGGCCTCACGGGAGAGCCAGGCTTGCCGTTCTCCCCGGTGACGCCATCCTCTCCGTAGTCCCCGGCTGCCCCCTCCGGGCCCCCCACGCCCTTCGGCCCGGGAGGCCCCATGACCCCCTGCAACACAACGGCACGCTCGTGGGCAACGCTACGGGGGTCACGGGGGGTCAACAGAAGTCACGTGGTGGTCACTGGGGGTCAAGGAGGTCACGGGGGTCACGCGGTCAATGGGGGTCACGGGAGACACGCGGTAGTTACTGGAGGTCAAGACGGTTACAGGGGTCATTTGGTCAATGGGGGACACGCGGTGGTCACGGGGGGGGGGTCACGCCGTCTAGGAGGTCACTGGGGTCCGCGCTGGTCATTGGGGTCACTGGGGTCACGGTGGTTATGGGAGACAAGGAGGTCATGCGGTGGTTACTGGGGTCACGGTGGTTGTGGGGGTCAAGGAGGTCACGCGGTGGTCACTGGGGTCACAGGTCATAGGGATCACTGGAGTCATGTAGGTCACTGGACGCCACAATATGATCACGGAGGTCACGGCTCACGGCGATCAAGGTGCCCATGGGAGTCACAGGGGTCACAGGAGTCACGGGAAATGTCTGGAAGGAAGATATCGGAAGCGGCTGTGCATGGCTAGCTTCAAGGGCTTTTTTTTGTTTGTTATAGATTTTCATGCTGCCGATGATATAATTGTCATCAGCTTCATCCCGACTGCGCGCGATCAACGTCGCACCGCGAGAACGAAGAATCCGTTCGGAAACCTCGTTAACCACATGACCCCTGTGACCTTCTTGACCTCCGGCCCTCCGTGGTACGGAGCCGGCCTCCTCGGGGAAATGGACACCGCAGAGTTGCCTCCGAGTTTCCTTCAAAATGCGTGAACCCGAGTCGGGAAGGAATGAGTGGGCGAATGTGCGAGAGAGAGAGAGGCTCATTGAATGAGTAGGTGGGTGAATGAGTCACTGGATTTATGAGTCCACAGGTGGATGAGTGACTGAATGAATACGATAACCGAAGGAAAGGCCGAGTTGATCGCACGGATGAACGACGAATTTAAACGGGCGACTGAATGAATGACTTGAATCGCTCACCGACAACGGGCGAAGCTCGTGCGCGCGCGACCCAACGGCCGAGTGGCCGAAGGAATAAACGAATGAGTGAATGCGTGGAGCGACCCGGGGCGAAGGAGCGCGCAGGCGGGCGAGTGGTTGGTCAGTATTTCACCTACTGGAAGACCTGGGTTTCCCCGCACTCCGACCGCTCCAGACTTCCCTGTCTGTCCCTGCACAAAGACAAAGATCCCCACCCAGCCCCGCCATGTAGCCTTAACAGAATGTCGGGGCAAGTGCTGTTCGCGAGCACCTGTGCGGAGGCCGGCATGGCGCACGAGCCGGTGGGGTGGCCAGCAACCACGCCCGGCCGCCCTTTGTCTCAGCGGCGGCGATGTTAACTCCACACCCGCTGCACCAGGCTGAGCCGGCCTAGGGGATAATCGTCGCCGGTGGTGTTGGTGGCCGTGAGCGGGAGTCGAACTCGGGTCGCTGGGTTTGTAGTGCGGCACGCTGACCCTCTGTGCCACCGCTCCCCACTACACTACTTCTGGGTGTGTCTCACGGATAAATGCTACCCTAAGAATAAGAATTTGATTAACAGTTCAAATCAAGGTTATTCTTTTTTTGTCACAAACGAAATATTAATCTGGTACATTGGTCAGCCCGGGCGATGTTAAACTATTTTTCATTATTACATGCATAGATTCTGTTACTACATTTTGAACACATTTTTATTTTATTTTACCAGTTAAGGCCTACTGAGCTATATAATCGCGTGGAAATGTATAGCAGCAGCCGAATTATCTCTAAACGCGTGACCTTGATTCTAAAATGTGGAGGGGGGGAAATCTCGGAGGACCCGGAGAAAAATCCACGCGACCACGGGTGAGGACACGCAAACTCCAAGTTTAGAGTTTAACAACTAGACGTAGGAGGCTTTCGTAACCAATGTTATCCATAATAGAGGTTTACATCGCTTGCATATAAATGTTGTGTCGTTAAACCCGCCACGACCCGACACAGCCAATATGTAATGTTGTGTCACGAAAGCAAAACTTGCCAATTCGTTACTGGTACAGCACTAACCGGTTGTGTGTTGGAGAGTTAAACCCATTACAACATTGACAATCCGTTACTAGTACAGCACTAACCGGTTGTGTGTTGTAGAGTTAAACCCATTACAACATTGACAATCCGTTACTAGTACAGCACTAACCGGTTGTGTGTTGGAGAGTTAAACCCACTACAACATTTACAATTCGTTACTAGTGTAGAGGCGTTAACTACTCACTGTTCCGTAACCTGCATTGCCACTAGGTATCAAAGGGGCAGTGCAGCGTTACCTCTGTGTACATAACGGGTGGGGTCAGACGAGGTGAAGTGGATCGTAGCCACAGTTTGGTAAGAACCAATCAGACAGCTCTACGTGGGAATGTGGGATTGGTTACACCTGGCCATAAACGGGTATAAGAAGGGTGACCGCACAAAGCGCGGGGAGTTCTCTCTCTACACGAAGACCGAAGCCTGGGCTGAGGATAGCCAGGACCCTGGACCAGCCTTCCAGCCCTTCTGAGGGCTAAGGCTCGGCATATCCAGTGGTCAAGACCCACTGGGCCAGCGGTGGGTCAGATAGCCTCCCCTAGGTCCCAGCCGGAGGACTCTAGGATAGCGGTAGACGTGTGAGTAAGTCCCGCCAAGATAGGAGGCTGTACCTCCTTAGGTTAGCAAGAGACCTGTGGGTAGGTCCCGCTAAGTCCAGAGGCTGTACCTCCTTAGGTTAGCAAGAGACCTGTGTGTAGGTCACGCTAAGTCCGGAGGCTGTACCTTCTTAGGGTATCGGGTGAGGGGACCATATACCCCTCTGTGTGTTAATGACTGTAAAGAGAAGTATTACAATAAACAGTGTGCCTCATAAGAAGTGTATTCGTCATTATAAACACTACACTAGTACAGCACTAACTGGTTGTGTGTTGGAGAGTTAAACCCACTACAACAGTGACAATTCGTTACTAGTACAGCACTAACCGGTTGTGTGTTGGAGAGTAAACCCACTACAATATTTACAATTCGTTACTAGTACAGCACTAACATTTTTCTGGTAATTACATATATCTATAAATATAATGTATGCATTAACAGCCGATGTCAGGGTCGGGATTGAACCCACGACCTCCTGTATACCAGGCGAGGTAGTTAACATCTCATAACAAAAAAAGTAGTTTTTTGTTATTTTCGTTCAACCTATCTGCGTGATTTTTACCGAAAGACCCAATAGAATAAGAATTCCTGCAGTCACGAAAGCTTTAAGCCATGATTCAGTTAACATCTCCTCGCAAACCGTGATGCCCCTGCTGATGAGACACGGATGAAACTTGGTGCTCTCACCTTGTAGCCTTTGGCACCTTTAGGGCCACCGATTCCAGGGGGGCCTGCATTGCCCTAAGAAGAAAATGTTGTGGAAAAAATGAAATAATAATAAGTTTCACGACAATAAAAATGTTCGCTGGGTTTCGCACAGCGGCGGCGTCCACGCCAAACGAGGCTCAAAAGGTGGAGGAGCGAGACAGCAGGGACGGCCGTAGCCCACCACCCATAGACTCAACACCACCCATAACTCAACACTACCCATAGACTCAACACTGCCCATAGACTCAACACCACCCATAGACTCAACACCACCCATAGACTCAACACCACCCATAGACTCAACACTACCCATAGACTCAACACTGCCCATAGACTCAACACCACCCATAGACTCAACACCACCCATAGACTCAACACCACCCATAGACTCAACACTGCCCATAGACTCAACACCACCCATAGACTCAACACCACCCATAGACTCAACACCACCCATAGACTCAACACTGCCCGTAGACTCAACACCACCCATAGACTCAACACTACTCATAGACTCAACACTGCCCATAGACTCAACACCACCCATACACTCAACACTACCCATAGACTCAACACTACCCATAGACTCAACACCACCCATAGACTCAACTCCACCCATAGACTCAACACCACCTATAGACTAACACTGCCCATAGACTCAACACTACCCATAGACTAACAATGCCCATAGACTCAACACTACCCATAGACTCAACACCACCCATAGACTCAACACCACCCATAGACTCAACACCACTCATAGACTCAACACTGCCCATAGACTCAACGCTGCCCATAGACTCAACACTACCCATAGACTCAACACTACCCATAGACTCAACACTACCCATAGACTCTACACTGCACCTCCGATTAGCAAAGTTGACGACGTACGGTACGAAATAAGTTAAACAGACATGCACGAATACTCTATCCCCGTACAGATGAAAATCAACCAACTTTTCGATTTAAAGCTTTTGTGACTGCAGGGATTCATCTTCCTGGTTCTTTCGGTAAAGTCACCATTCCCCGTGACTTTACCGAAAGAACCAAGAAGATCAACCAACGTGCTGTACTGCCATCATGTCGTTTACTATTACGGAGTAACACGAATAATAATCATACTTACAGGGGATCCCTGTTGGCCTTCTTGACCTCTTGAGCCAAGAACGCCAACCAGACCCTAGGAAGCAAACGCCATCATTGTCGTCATCATCGTCATCGTCAAGGAGCTTGATTCCATCTATCACTCGGCCTTAAGATTTGCATTGAACTGCCCATATAGGACTCACCACTGTGATCTCTACATTGGGTCAAACTTAACATCTCTTAATGTTCGACGGCTTGTACACCAGATCTTATTTATTCACGATGTACTTACAAAAAAATCCGCAGACTACCTGCTGCTGGATCTCCTCTCTGTTTCAAAGAACAAATTTGACCTCAGGTCTTCGCTCATTTACCAGCTTCACATTCCCTATTGCCGTACAAAAACCGGTGGAAGGGCCTTTGCTATTGATGCCCCCAGGGTCTGGAATGCAATTGCCAATAAACTGCAACTTGAATCACTACCTATGAGATCTTCACTCATAACTGCTCTAGAGGAGTTGTACACCCCTAGCTGCCACTGCTATCGAGTGGCCTAAAATAAAATAAAATGTTTCACTCCGGATGACCGCTGCAAAGTATTATCTGTATTTTGATTTAGTGCGCTGATCTTAAAGGTGCATTGAAAAATGTGATACTCCGACTGATCCTCCTGTTGTTTGTGGAGTGACTCATGCAGCCAGCTATGGCTCTAGATTTTGGTGTTATAATTTATTTATGTAGTCTATTGTTAAAAATTCGGTCACAGTTCCTATGATCACTGTTACATTGCATTTATGGCTTTATTTTGGTTATTTCTAAAAGTTTTTTGGTTTGGCCATGTTATTGTTTATTGTAGTACAGAGTTAGACTGATGACCTTAATCTAAGTTTTCTTGTTGTTGTTGTTGTTTGACTTGCATCCCACTGGGATTTTTGCACACAGCGTTGGTGGACGGTGGTATTTCAGGAATATTTTCATGTTTATTTTCCTGGATTTTCTGTTTGCACAGTCACATAGTCACTTTAAGATGTTTTCTTGTTCGTGTTTTTGTTTTTGTGTTTGTTGCGGTTGCACCCGATTCAAGAGCCGAATCGCTCACAGGGCTATACCTAATAAATGAAAACTATGAAACTATGAAAATATCGTCGTCATCATCGTCATCATCATCATCATCGTCATCACCGTCGTCAACGTCGTCATCACTAAACATTCACAGCATGCCTCCGACGCAGTGTGGCCCTGTGCGGTGAGAAGTGAACGTGGCACCCCAACCGAGTGAACCCGGGAAAAAAGTGACCCCACTTTGATGAGCGTTGAGGCAGTGGGTCAGCGTTGAGTCTGTGCATCGTTGAGTCTGTGGGTCAGTGTTGAGACTGTGTTTCAGTGTTGAGGCTGTGGGTCAGTGTTGAGTCTGTGGGTCAGCGTTGAGGCAGTAAGTCAGTGTTGAGACTGTGGGTCAGTGTTGAAGCTGTGTGTCAGTGTTGAGGCCGTGTGTCAGTGTTGAGTCTGTGGATCAGGGTTGAGTCTGTGGGTCAGTGTTGAGTCTGTGGGTCAGTGTTGAGTCTGTGGGTCAGTATTGAGTCTGTGGGTCAGTGTTGAGTCTGTGTGTCAGTGTTGAGGCAGTGGGTCAGTGTTGAGTCTGTGGGTCAGTGTTGAGGCTGTGTTTCAGTGTTGAGGCTGTGGGTCAGTGTTGAGTCTGTGGGTCAGTGTTGAGTCTGTGTGTCAGTGTTGAGGCTGTGGGTCAGTGTTGAGTCTGTGGGTCAGTGTTGAGTCTGTGGGTCTGTGTTGAGTCTGTGGGTCAGTGTTGAGTCTGTGGGTCAGTGTTGAGTCTGTGTGTCAGTGTTGAGTCTGTGGGTCAGTGCTGAGTCTGTGTGTCAGTGTTTAGGCTGTGTGTCAGTGTTGAGACTGTGTCAGTGTTGAGGCTGTGTGTCAGTGTTTAGGCTGTGTGTCAGTGTTGAGTCTGTGGGTCAGGGTTGAGTCTGTGGGTCAGTGTTTAGGCTGTGTGTCAGTGTTGAGTCTGTGGATCAGGGTTGAGTCTGTGGGTCAGTGTTGAGTCTGTGGGTCAGTGTTGAGTCTGTGGGACAGTGTTGAGTCTGTGGGTCAGCGTTGAGTCTGTGGGTCAGTGTTGAGTCTGTGGGTCAGTGTTGAGTCTGTGGGTCAGTGTTGAGTCTGTGGGTCAGTGTTGAGTCTGTGGGTCAGCGTCGAGTCTGTGGGTCAGTGTTGAGTCTGTGGGTCAGTGTTGAGTCTGTGGGTCAGTGTTGAGTCTGTGGGTCAGTGTTGAGGCTGTGGGTCAGTGTTGAGTCTGTGGGTCAGTGTTGAGTCTGTGGGTCAGTGTTGAGTCTGTGGGCCAGTGTTGAGTCTGTGGGTCAGTGTTGAGTCTGTGGGTCAGTGTTGAGTCTGTGGGTCAGTGTTGAGTCTGTGGGTCAGTGTTGAGTCTGTGGGTTGGTGTTGAGTCTGTGGGTCAGTGTTGAGTCTGTGGGCCAGTGTTGAGTCTGTGGGTCAGTGTTGAGTCTGTGGGTCAGTGTTGAGTCTGTGGGTCAGTGTCCATTAATGGGATGTAGGCAGACATTTGGGTAGTGTCTCCATCACTGACCGGATATCCCGGATCTCCCGAGAGCCCCTTCTCTCCAGGGCTGCCTTGGGACCCCTTAAACACGAACATCACTCCAGTGTCATCACTCGCAATACTGGGGCATTGGTAATAATTATCATTGTTAATAGATTCATCATGAATAATCCTAATTGCTGATAATCATTATCGTCGTCACCATCATAATCTTAAACATCATTTTCTTCCGTCCTCATAATCACCTACATTACACCATCATCGTCATTTTAAACATTATCATTGTATTCATCCTCATCATCATCTCCATTGTCATTGGTGTAGTCTGTCTCATAAGTTATCGTGTCTGTGTATATTTGTATAATTTCACTCTTTTGTATTTGTCTGTGGTGATGGCGTGGAGCGGAGGTGCAGCGGTTAACGCGCTGCGCTACAAACCCGCTCGTGGCCAACACCGGTAACGATCATCTGAACTCGTCCTGGGGCTCCCCTAGGTCGACCCAGCCTCAAATGAGTACCTGGTGCGGTTGTGTAGTAAACATCGCCACTGGGGATACAAAGGCGGTCGGGCGTGGTGCTGCCGTTCCCGGCCTTCAGGGGCCGCTGAGACTCGCCACAGACGGCACTTTGCACCGACAGTCCGTCAGAGGCGATACGGGGGGGGGGTGACCTCTGAACTCTAAGTTTGTTTGGTATGGGGGCCGAGAACGTTGGGCGACTCGCTCCGCTGTTGCCGCACTGCACTCACTCTCTCGCCGGGTGGTCCAGTGGGGCCTTCCCCTTTACAATCTTCCCCTTGTTCTCCCTGCAGCCAAAAAAACGTGCGGATTAAAAAAACAAATATCCATTTTTTACTGGACCAACACACACACACACGTTGTACTCTTTGGTTTTTCGGTAAAGTCACGTAGGTAACATAAAATGAAAACAACAAAATTAAATCACGACGTTTCGGAGGCAACACAAGCTTCCGTCTTCAGGTGAAACAGTCACAGCAGAATAGCTATTATATACACAGACAGTACAATAGAATAGCTATTCTGCTCTGTCTGTGTATATAATAGCTATTCTGCTGTGTCTGTGTATATAATAGCTATTCTGCTGTGGCTGTGTATATAATAGCTATTCTGCTGTGTCTGTGGAAATAATAGCTATTCTGCTGTGTCTGTGTATATAATAGCTATTCTGCTGTGTCTGTGTATATAATAGCTATTCTGCTGTCTGTGGAAATAATAGCTATTCTGCTGTGACTGTGTATATAATAGCTATTATATTCTGCTGTGTCTGTGTATAGCTATTCTGCTGTGACTGTTCCACCTGAAGACGGAAGCTTGTGTTGCCTCCGAAACGTCGTGATTTAATTCAGTTGTTTTAATTTTATGTTACCTACGTGACTTTACCAAAAAGCCGAAGAGTATGAATCCTTGCAGTCACGAAAGCTTCAAATCTAGAACACACACACACGTTGCTCACCACAACACACATGTCCGCTCACGAATCACAATATTGCATTGCTACTTCAGGTGGCATACGGTGAGCTATAAAGTCCAGTAGTGGGCACGGGGTAAGAACGTAACAGCGACAAGCAACAACGGCAACTTGTGTTGCGATGGAAACGTCGTACAAGAAAGGTAGACACAAATCGCCCAACACACAAAACAACAACACGAAACTATCCCCCATCCTACCAGGCAAAGCCCACTGGAGGTGTTGACTTATTTTTTTTAGAAGCCACCTGGCCACCACGAACGATAGCAGCTCCACAAAGCGGCACCATCCTTTGGACATTCATAACGGCAAAATCATCTGAAAAATCTCAATGCGTGTTATTAGACCTCCTTTGCCAGTTCCAAAATGTAATAATAGGGGTTTTTTCCCCTTTTTTTCCGGCAACAAAACTGAAACCTTTTATCAAGGATTCATGTTACTGCATTAACCACAATGCCTTTTGGCGTCATCTGGTCGAGCACCAATTGGGTCGAGGCTTAAAAGAAAGCCGTCCCTTGGTGTGCACCAATCAGTTTCAAGGACAATGCCACATATATTATCATAGTGTGTTTTTTGTTTGCATTTTGACTGCAGGTATTGTGGTTAATGCAGTAACATGAATCCTTGTTAAACGGTTTCAGTTTTGTTGCCAGAAAAAAAGGGGAAAAACCCTATTATTACTCAATGCGTGTTCTTTTTTTTCTTCTTCCTGAAGACGACCGCTTGTGTTGCGATCGAAACGTCGTAGTTTTTGTTATTTTTGTTGTTTTCTTTGAACCTATTCCACGTGACTTTACAGAAAGAGCCAAGAATAAAGAAGCAACGGTTATACGTTTAAATAAATTTTAATCCATCAGCCCAGGTGGTTTTCCAGATCAATACTATCCAGCAGCGTTTAAGCAAGTAAACTGTGGGGCAATTTCGATCTTGTGTGTACGTGTGTTGGACATCTTCCGCACCGTACGTAGCCAACCGTGATAATTGGAGTTGCAGTGTTGAGTCTATGGGCAGTGTTGAGTCTATGGGCAGCGTTGGGTCTATGGGTAGTGTTGAGTCTATGGGCAGTGTTGAGTCTATGGGCAGTGTTGGGTCTATGGGCAGCGTTGGGTCTATGGGTAGCGTTGAGTCTATGGGTAGTGTTGAGTCTATGGGCAGTGTTGAGTCTATGGGCAGCGTTGGGTCTATGGGTAGCGTTGAGTCTATGGGCAGTGTTGAGTCTATGGGCAGTGTTGAGTCTATGGGCAGTGTTGAGTCTATGGGCAGCGTTGGGTCTATGGGTAGCGTTGAGTCTATGGGCAGTGTTGAGTCTATGGGCAGTGTTGAGTCTATAGGCAGTGTTGAGTTAATGGGCAGTGTTGAGTCTATTGACAGTGTTGAGTCTATGGGCAGTATTGAGTTTATAGGCAGTGTTGAGTTAATGGGTAGTGTTGATTCTATTGGTAATGCTGAGTCTATGGGCAGTGTTGAGTTAATGGGCAGTGTTGATTCTATTGGTAATGCCGAGTCTATGGGCAGTGTTGAGTTAATGGGCAGTGTTGATTCTATTGGTAATGCTGAGTCTATAGGCAGTGTTGAGTTAATGGGTAGTTTTAAATTTTGATTTAAAGCTTTCGTGACTGCAGTAATTCATATTCTTAGTTTTTTCGGTAAAGTCACGTTGAAGAGCCCAATGCATATCCGACCAGGAACACATAAGCAGTGAACTCAAGCACGTACACCAAGCTCTTAGGGCTAATGGTTACTCCGACTATACAATCCGCAAAGCTATCACTCAAACCATGAAGAAGAACCCTCTTGAGGAGCCTTTCAAAACCATCACTTTACCCTACATTGCTGGGATCACAAAAAAGATCTCCAAAATCTTGAATAAACACAAGATCCAGGTCCGTTTCAACACATTACATAAAATCCGTGATCTGGTTCCGTCTGTAAAAGATGTGATTCCGGACATACAATACCCTGGTGTCTACAAACTAAGTTGCCTCTGTGGTAGTAGTTACATTGGAGAAACCAAACGCCATATCTCGGACCGCATTCGTGAACATAAAGCAGACCTTAAACACGGTAGGACCAACACCTCGGCCGTAGCAGATCATTGTTCTAATTCAGTAGGCTCACATGCCATTGACTTTTCCAAGACGGAGGTTCTTTGTAAGCCATCTGGCTTCCATGAGAGATTCGTTCATGAGGCTATCCACATACAAACACAGAGACAATTTCAACCGAGAAGATGGATTCTATCTTAGCAATCATTGGAAAGATTTGATAAATCATTTCAGTTCTTGATTGATTGTTCACGCTTACAGTGGCTTTCAGACAGCATACATAAAAACAAATTTCGTCTCCCCCCTCCTCTTTTCAAAAAATAGATGGACTAGTCCTGGCAAACTGCCAATCGTTGCGCGTGACGCAAACGTTATTTTATATATATAAATAAATATGCCATTTTCAAAATAAATTTATGCAAACCGACACACCTGATGATGACCGTTTGAGTTATGGTCGAAACGTCGTGAGAATTTTTTATTGTTTTATATATATTTTGTTATTTTGTTGTTTCTCTTCAACGTGACTTTACCGAAAAAACTAAGAATATTAATGGGTAGTGTTGAGTCTATGGGCAGTGTTGAGTCTATTGACAGTGTTGAGTCTATGGGCAGTATTGAGTTTATAGGCAGTGTTGAGTTAATGGGTAGTGTTGATTCTATTGGTAATGCTGAGTCTATGGGCAGTGTTGAGTTAATGGGCAGTGTTGATTCTATTGGTAATGCTGAGTCTATGGGCAGTGTTGAGTTAATGGGCAGTGTTGATTCTATTGGTAATGCTGAGTCTATAGGCAGTGTTGAGTTAATGGGCAGTGTTGATTCTATTGGTAATTCTGAGTCTATGGGCAGTGTTGAGTTAATGGGCAGTGTTGATTCTATTGGTAATGCTGAGTCTATGGGCAGTGTTGATTCTATTGGTAATTCTGAGTCTATGGGCAGTGTTGAGTTAATGGGCAGTGTTGATTCTATTGGTAATGCTGAGTCTATGGGCAGTATGTATATTGGTCTTTCTAACGCACCGTACGTAGGGAAGGATAGCAAACTCAACAGAAAAAGCAGTTCTAAAGAATTGAGTTTGTCAATCTGGACGATGAGGATGATGATGTAAGAGTGCATCACAGCTCCAGTGGCTTCCTAATATTGGAAGGGAAGAGCGTTCCAGACGGCCGCAGAAGCAGCGCATCTGAAAGCGCCGCGCGATGCGGTGACCGCTCTCGTTCGATCGCTAGCAGCCAAAAGCCGCCTGGGTCTGATCAGCAGCAGTCCGTTTTGTTAAACACATGCGGTGTGGATTGCCAGATGTTATTGGCAAGAGCACTCCATTTAAACGATGGGGCCCTGTTCAGTTCCGTTTCGACCTTCTGGATCTCATCAGCAGCAGTCCGTCTTGTTAAAAAATAAAATGCGGCTGAATTGCCAAATATTATTGGCAACAGCTCCCCCTTCAAAAGTATCCGTCCAGTGCAAAAAAGGAAAAAAAATAGATCAATATTGCATTTCAAGGAGCACTACGGCTAAAACTAAACATCCGCAGAGCTCCGTTCTATCTACGGGGACCTATCTGCCAGCTGCCAAAATGATGAAAAATAAGAACAGGTTTTGCCCGCTCTGGCAATTCATTTTTATTGAGGGTCTGTGTGTGGTCTTGGTGTGGTCTTGTTTTTGCTGTTGTATTACAGCCTTTCCAAAGCTTCGGAATTGATGATGCAATTCTAACTTAAATACTTTACTTTTTTAATTAAGGGACACCGCGGTGGCTATGAGATGTTAACTACCTCGCCTGGTGTGCAGGAGGTCGTGGGTTCGATCCCGACCCTGACGCCTGCTGCTGCTGTATATTTGGAGTTTGCGCGTCTCTCTCTCGTCATCATCACGGTGGCTAGGAGATGTTAACTACCTCGCCTGGTGTACAGGAGGTCGTGGGTTCGGTCTCGACTCTGACGCCTGCTGCTGTATATTTGGAGTTTGTGTGTCTCTCTCTCTCATCATCATCACGGTGGCTATGAGATGTTAACTACCTCGCCTGGTGTGCAGGAGGTCGGGGGATCGATCCTGACCCTGACGCCTGCTGCTGTATATTTGGAGTTTGCGTGTCTCTCTCTCTCTCATCATCATCATCACCACGGTGGCTATGAGATGTTAACTACCTCGCCTGGTGTACAGAAGGTCGTGGGTTCGATCCGACCCTGACGCTTGCTGCTGTATATTTGGAGTTTGCGTGTCTCTCTCATCATCACGGTGGCTATGAGATGTTAACTACCTCGCCTGGTGTACAGGAGGTCGGGGGATCGATCCTGACCCTGACGCCTGCTGCTGTATATTTGGGGTTTGCGTCTCTCTCTCTCCGTGGTCGTGTGGATTTTTTCTCCGGGTCCTCCGGGTTTTCCCTCCACGTTTAGAAACATGCGTTTAAACTACTCAGATTGTTGCCACATGGTTGAGCTATCATTTGTGACCTGGTCGCTTTTGAAAGATAAGTAATAGCCTCCGTAGGCTTTGCCTGGTAGGATGGGGGATGGTTTAGTGTTGTGTTGTGTTTGTGTGTTGGGTGATTTGTTTACCTTATTGTACTTAGCACCACTATCGTGTTGTTGTTATTGTTTGTTGTTCTAACCTTCTTACTCCGTGCCCACTACTGGACATCTGTGACAAAAAAGCTTCATAGCTCATCGGATTCCTCCTGTACATTCTGATGCAGGACGACGTTCTGTGTCTCCACATGTAAACAGAAACTTGCTTTTTGTTCTCAATCCGTCAGCCTCAGTGACTTTTAGAGACCACCACGTCAGTGACGCACGTGACCTCAGCTCCCTCCAGCGGGTGATGGGATCCACAATGTAGGCTTTTTTTGGGTTATCACGCGTAAATCTATCGATGAGTAAACTTCGTGCAAGCTTTGTGTCACGTAAACAGAAACGTGCTGATTCGTCACTAGTACGACAAACCGGTGTGTTGGAGAGCAAATCCACAACACGTACAGTCTGAGTACTGACGTTCCGCCAGTGATTACCCCCGGCACCATCAGGCAGGACAGGGGTTGGGATGTCCGCGACGTCATACCGCGGTGCTTGGAGTTTCGACGCGACGTCATACCGCGGTGCTTGGAGTTTGAGCGCGACGTCATACCGCGGCGCTTGGAGTTTCGACGCGACGTCATACCGCGGTGCTTGGAGTTTCGACGCGACGTCATACCGCGGTGCTTGGAGCTTCGACGTGACGTCATACCGCGGTGCTTGGAGTTTCAACGCGACGTCATACCGCGCCGCTTGGAGCTTCGACGTGACGTCATACCGCGGTGCTTGGAGTTTCGACGACAAAAATATCCTAAACTAAAAAACAAAAGTGTATCTCACCTTTTCACCTTTGGGCCCAGATATTCCCCTTGGGCCCAGAGGGCCCTTGTGCCCCTGAATAACAATAACAACAACAATAATAACAACACCGCCAACAAAGTTTACACAAATGAAAAAAATAAGAATAAGCGTTATCCTTTCTGGCAATAAAACAGGGGGGGGGGGTGTTAAGATTTTCAAACACCAAATATAAACCTTTCACAATGAATAAATTGTCTGCATTAACCACACACACAGCACTTGTGGTGAACATGCCAACTACAAACACGGCTCTGATACTAATGTATGATGCACCATCTTTGAGACTGATTGGCCTACAGCAGAGACATCGGCCTTCTCTTCACGGCCCAGTCTCAGCACCAGTATCAGACCAGAGAACAACTCCACGAGGCGTGTGGGGTTCATGCAGACTTCATCCCTTGCAAAATGTCTCTATTTGGTGTTTGAACGTACAGCTGTTTTATTGCCGCAAAGGGTAGAAAAAACATTCTTATTTTTTTTTACACTTTGACACTGGCAAAAAAGGTCCCATTTCATAGTTGCTCACCCCGAGCTATAAACGCTCTTAGACGAGTGGCATTGTCCTTGACCTGTTCGCCTTGTGGCGTTCTTCTCTGGTCTGACACTTGTGGTGAGGCTGGGCCATGAAGAAGGCCGCCGGCTCTGGTGTAGGCCAATCAGGGTCAAAAGTGACGCATCGCATACGTTAGTGTCAGAGCCACGTTTGCATTTGCATGTTCACCACAAGTACTTCTGTGTGTGGTTAACGCAGAAACTTGATTCCTTGTGTTTGAACACCTTAACACTATTTTTATTGCCAGAAAGGGTAAAAATCAATAAATATTTTTAATTCTTTGATAATGGAAAAAAGGGTTCCAGAGTTTACATGGAGACGATAACTATGAATGTGTGTCAAGATTATTAAAAAACGACAATGTCTTTACCCTTCCTCACTCGCAAATATACGGGAGGTCAGTCTAACGCGTGGAAGGGCTTTCGCGACCAATATTATCCATAATGGAGGTTTGTTAGGTTAGACCGTGTAAATGTGTCGCTAAACCCGCCACCGCCACCCGGCACAGCCAATCAGTAAGGTTTGTGTCACGTAAACAAGAACGTGCCAATTAGATACTAGTTCGGCACTAACCGGTCGTGTGCCGGGAGAGTAAAAACGCCTGATGATGCTGGATGTAATCACCAGCGATTACCTCACGGTACTCAAATTTGTAATCGTTTGTTCGATTTACTCTCCGACACACAACCCGGTTGAGCTGACGTTAGCAGCCAATTGGCATGTTATTGTTAACGCGACACACACAACCTTACCGATTGGCTGGCCGTGTCAGGTGGTGGCGGCGAGTTAACGACACAACATTCATATGAACCCCCTTAACTTACAGTGTATATATATTTTTTTCACGTTTACCGCGGACACTCACCGAGTTCCCCGGGATGCCCGATTCGCCGTGGACTCCCATTCGCCCCGGTGCACCCTGGGAGGAGACAAATAAAAGAAAAAAGTTAATAACCAATATCCGGCACGAGTCCGATCTGAGATGTCGACGCACACTCAGGGCGCCGACAGGTGAGTCCGTGCGTCCAGGTGAGACCAGCATGGGAGGGATGCTGGGTCGTGATGCTGATGGAAGGGAACAAAAGACGTAACAAAATAGGACCAGTAATATGAGCCAATACAGAGCAGAGACAGAGACATCCAGATCAAGATCAGAGATAGAGAAAACCAGATAGAGACAGAGACATCCAGATAAAGATCAGAGATAGAGAAAACCAGATAGAGACAGAGACATCCAGATAGAGACCAGAGACATCCAGATAGAGACCAGAGACAACCAGATATAGTTGTTTTATTTTTTACCTACGTGACTTTACTGAATAGAACCAAAGAGTATGGATCCTTGCAGTCACGAAAGCTTCAAATCTAGAACCAGATATAGATCAGACAGACAGATAGAGATCAGAGACATAGACATCCAGATAGAGATCAGAGACAGAGACATCCAGATAGAGATCAGAGACAGAGACAACCAGATATAGATCAGAGACAGAGACATCCAGATAGAGAGCAGAGACATCCAGATATAGATCAGATACAGAGACAGTCAGATAAAGATCAGAGACAGCCAGATAGAGATCAGAGACAGACAGATAGAGATCAGAGACAGAGACAGACAGATAGAGATCAGAGACAGCCAAGATAGAGATCAGAGACAGACAGAGGTCAGAGACAGTCAGATAGAGATCAGAGACAGAGACAGCCAGATAGAGATCAGAGACAGCCAGATAGAGATCAGAGACAGCCAGATAGAGATCAGAGACAGCCAGATAGAGATCAGAGAAAGAGACAGCCAGATAGAGATCAGAGACAGACAGATAGAGATCAGAGACAGACAGATAGAGATCAGAGACAGAGACAGACAGATAGAGATCAGAGACAGAGACAGTCAGATAGAGATCAGAGACAGAGACAGTCAGATAGAGATCAGAGAGAGACAGATAAAGATTAGAGACAGAGACAGTCAGATAGAGATCAGAGACAGCCCGATAAAGATCAGAGACAGAGACAGTCAGATAGAGATCAGAGACAGCCAGACAGAGATCAGAGACAGAGACAGTCAGATAGAGATCAGAGACAGACAGATAGAGATCAGAGACAGACAGATAGAGATCAGAGACAGCCAGATAGAGATCAGAGACAGAGACAGACAGATAGAGATAAGAGACAGATAGACAGAGAGAGATCAGAGACAGAGACAGACAGATAGAGATAAGAGACAGAGACAGACAGAGAGAGATTAGAGACAGTCAGATAGAGATCAGAGACAGACAGATAGAGATCAGAGATAGAGACAGACAGATAGAGATCAGAGACAGAGACAGACAGATAGAGATCAGAGACAGAGACAGACAGATAGAGATCAGAGACAGTCAGATAGAGATCAGAGACAGACAGATAGAGATCAGAGACAGTCAGATAGAGATCAGAGACAGTCAGATAGAGATCAGAGACAGAGACAGCCAGATAGAGATCAGAGACAGAGACAGTCAGATAAAGATCAGAGACAGCCAGATAGAGATCAGAGACAGAGACAGTCAGATAGAGATCAGAGACAGGCAGATAGAGATCAGAGACAGAGACAGACAGATAGAGATCAGAGACAGAGATAGACAGAGAGAGATCAGAGACAGTCAGATAAAGATCAGAGAAATAGACAGATAGAGATCAGAGACAGTCAGATAAAGATCAGAGACTGAGACAGTCAGATAGAGATCAGAGACAGCCAGACAGAGATCAGAGACAGAGACAGTCAGATAGAGATCAGAGACAGACAGATAGAGATCAGAGACAGTCAGATAGAGATCAGAGACAGCCAGACAGAGATCAGAGACAGAGACAGTCAGATAGAGATCAGAGACAGACAGATAGAGATCAGAGACAGAGACATACAGATAGAGATCAGAGACAGCCAGACAGAGATCAGAGACAGAGACAGACAGATAGAGATCAGAGACAGACAGATAGAGATCAGAGACAGAGACAGACAGATAGAGATCTGAGACAGACAGATAGAGATCAGAGACAGTCAGATAGAGATCAGAGAAAGAGGCAGCCAGATAGAGATCAGAGACAGAGACAGTCAGATAGAGATCAGAGACAGACAGACAGATAGAGATCAGAGACAGAGACAGACAGATAGAGATCAGAGGCAGCCAGATAGAGATCAGAGACAGAGACAGCCAGATAGAGATCAGAGACAGACAGAGATCAGAGACAGAGACAGACAGATAGAGATCAGAGACAGATAGATAGAGATCAGAGACAGAGATCAGAGACAGAGACAGCCAGATAGAGATCAGAGACAGAGACAGTCAGATAGAGATCAGAGACAGACAGATAGAGATCAGAGGCAGAGACAGTCAGATAGAGATCAGAGACAGACAGATAGAGATCAGAGACAGACAGATAGAGATCAGAGACAGACAGATAGAGATCAGAGACAGAGACAGTCAGATAGAGATCAGAGACAGACAGATAGAGATCAGAGACAGACAGATAGAGATCAGAGAAAGAGACAGCCAGATAGAGATCAGAGACAGAGACAGACAGATAGAGATCAGAGACAGAGACAGTCAGATAAAGATCAGAGACAGACAGATAGAGATCAGAGAAAGACAGATAGAGATCAGAGACAGACAGATAGAGATCAGAGACAGACAGATAGAGATCAGAGACAGTCAGATAGAGATCAGAGACAGCCAGACAGAGATCAGAGACAGAGACAGACAGATAGAGATCAGAGACAGACAGATAGAGATCAGAGACAGTCAGATAGAGATCAGAGACAGCCAGACAGAGATCAGAGACAGAGACAGACAGATAGAGATCAGAGACAGACAGATAGAGATCAGAGACAGAGACAGACAGATAGAGATCAGAGACAGACAGATAGAGATCAGAGACAGTCAGATAGAGATCAGAGATAGAGACAGCCAGATAGAGATCAGAGACAGAGACAGTCAGATAGAGATCAGAGACAGACAGATAGAGATCAGAGACAGAGACAGACAGATAGAGATCAGAGGCAGCCGGATAGAGATCAGAGACAGCCAGATAGAGATCAGAGACAGACAGAGATCAGAGACAGACAGATAGAGATCAGAGACAGACAGATAGAGATCAGAGACAGAGATCAGAGACAGAGACAGCCAGATAGAGATCAGAGACAGAGACAGTCAGATAAAGATCAGAGACAGACAGATAGAGATCAGAGACAGAGACAGACAGATAGAGATCAGAGGCAGCCAGATAGAGATCAGAGACAGAGACAGTCAGATAGAGATCAGAGACAGACAGATAGAGATCAGAGACAGAGACAGTCAGATAGAGATCAGAGACAGACAGATAGAGATCAGAGACAGACAGATAGAGATCAGAGACAGACAGATAGAGATCAGAGACAGAGACAGTCAGATAGAGATCAGAGACAGAGACAGACAGATAGAGATCAGAGACAGACAGATAGAGATCAGAGAAAGAGACAGCCAGATAGAGATCAGAGACAGAGACAGACAGATAGAGATCAGAGACAGAGACAGTCAGATAAAGATCAGAGACAGAGACAGATAGAGATCAGAGACAGAGACATCCAGATAAAGATCAGAGACAGAGACAGTCAGATAAAGATCAGAGACAGACAGATAGAGATCAGAGACAGTCAGATAGAGATCAGAGACAGTCAGATAGAGATCAGAGACAGAGACAGCCAGATAGAGATCAGAGACAGAGACAGTCAGATAGAGATCAGAGACAGCCAGATAGAGATCAGAGACAGAAACAGTCAGATAGAGATCAGAGACAGACAGATAGAGATCAGAGACAGACAGATAGAGATCATAGACAGAGACAGACAGATAGAGATCAGAGACAGAGATAGACAGATAGAGATCAGAGACAGTCAGATAAAGATCAGAGACATAGACAGTCAGATAGAGATCAGAGACAGCCAGATAAAGATCAGAGACAGAGACAGTCGGATAGAGATCAGAGACAGCCAGACAGAGATCAGAGACAGTCAGATAGAGATCAGAGACAGACAGATAGAGATCAGAGACAGAGACAGTCAGATAGAGATCAGAGACAGCCAGACAGAGATCAGAGACAGAAACAGACAGATAGAGATCAGAGACAGACAGATAGAGATCAGAGACAGACAGATAGAGATCAGAGACAGACAGATAGAGATCAGAGACAGTCAGATAGAGATCAGAGACAGAGACAGCCAGATAGAGATCAGAGACAGAGACAGTCAGATAGAGATCAGAGACAGACAGTTAGAGATCAGAGACAGACAGATAGAGATCAGAGGCAGCCAGATAGAGATCTGAGACATAGACAGCCATATAGAGATCAGAGACAGACAGAGATCAGAGACAGAGACAGACAGATAGAGATCAGAGACAGACAGATAGAGATCAGAGATCAGAGACAGAGACAGCCAGATAGAGATCAGAGACAGAGACAGTCAGATAGAGATCAGAGACAGACAGATAGAGATCAGAGACAGAGACAGACAGATAGAGAACAGAGGCAGCCAGATAGAGATCAGAGACAGAGACAGTCAGATAGAGATCAGAGACAGACAGATAGAGATCAAAGACAGAGACAGTCAGATAGAGATCAGAGACAGACAGATAGAGATCAGAGACAGACAGATAGAGATCAGAGACAGAGACAGTCAGATAGAGATCAGAGACAGACAGATAGAGATCAGAGACAGACAGATAGAGATCAGAGACAGAGACTGCCAGATAGAGATCAGAGACAGAGACAGACAGATACAGATCAGAGACAGTCAGATAAAGATCAGAGACAGAGACAGATAGAGATCAGAGACAGAGACATCCGGATAGAGATCAGAGACAGAGACAGTCAGATAAAAATCAGAGACAGCCAGATAGAGATCAGAGACAGAGACAGTCAGATAGAGATCAGAGACAGAGACAGCCAGATAGAGATCAGAGACAGACAGATAGAGATCATAGACAGAGACAGTCAGATAGAGATCAGAGACAGACGGATAGAGATCAGAGACAGAGACAGTCAGATAGAGATCAGAGACAGAGACAGACAGATAGAGATCAGAGACAGCCAGATAGAGATCAGAGACAGAAACAGCCAGATAGAGATCAGAGACAGAGACAGTCAGATAGAGATCAGATACAGAAGCAGCCAGATAGAGATCAGAGACAGACAGAGAGAGATCAGAGATAGACAGATAGAGATCAGAGACAGACAGATAGAGATCAGAGACAGACAGAGGTCAGAGTCAGTGACAGTCAGATAGAGATCAGAGACAGAGACAGACAGATAAAGATCAGAGACAAACAGATAGAGATCAGAGACAGACAGAGGTCAGAGACAGAGATCAGAGACAGATAGAGATCAGAGACAGAGACATTCAGATAGAGTCATCTTCTTGGTTCTTTCGGTAAAGTCACGCAGAATGAGAATAAAACAAACAAAACAAGACAATAAAATTATCACGACGTTTCGGCCACAACACAAGTAGCCTTCTTCAGGTGAAGGAACAGAACTGTCGGGACGACAGCGCTTCAATGAACGCTGCTAAGATTCGCAGCGTCTTTTAAGCTAGGTGGGAGAAGTAAAGCGCCTTGACAAAGGAGTTTACATATCAAACAGGGGAATTTAGCATTGAAATAGCTGTGTTCAAGTGTTGGATCAGCAGGGTGCTAAAGTCAGAAATTAGCATGTAACTGGGAGAATCCAGATAGAATCCAGATAGAGATCAATGAGGCTTTCCTGGGTAACAGAGTGCAATAATAATAATGAATAACTAATAATAATGAATAATAATGAACCATTGGGCCTCTGCTGCCCCGAACGCCCTTGATCCCCGTGTCTCCATCCTTCCCGACTAGGCCCATGGTGCCCTGCTCTCCCACGGGGCCCAGCTGACCCTTGTCACCCTGGTATGAAACACAACAACAACAGCAACAATAAACAACAAATGGCAATACACAAACAATAATAAACAACAATAAGCGGCAGAACAATAGACAGTAGCTAAGAACAATAAGCTAAACACAACAATAAACAACAATAAACAACAAACAAGGAAGTTATTTTGTTTAACCGTGAGAAATCACGAGAAACATAATAGTCTCATTTGTAAGAATGAGTGAGCGAATGTGGTAAATGAATGAATGGGGGAATGAGTGAGTGAATGAGTAGGTGTGTGGGTGTGTTAAGGAATGAGTGGGCAAGTAAGCTGGTGTGTGAGTGAATGAGTGGGTGAGTGAGATGATGAGCGAGCGAGTTCAGTTATCAGGATGATTCTGCTTTGACCAGACGTGATCTCAAGAGACCAGCAGAGTCAGATTTGCAAGAGTGAGTGAATTCGCGAGTGGGTGAGTGAACGAGTTTGATTCGGGCCCACACGGTGTGTTGGTGGCAGTTTTTAGGGGCCAAAAGTATTGTCGTGAAGCCCTCCACCACCCGTCGAGAATGTCACGTGTTTAACAAGCATGACCGATGCCGATGAGACCCAGGCGGATTTTGGCTGCTAGTCATCGAACACGGTCGGTCACTGCATCGCGGGGCGCTTTCGGATGCATTTGTGCGGCCGTCTGGAACGCTTCTTCCTTCCGATGTTAGAAAGCCAGTGGGAGCTAAGATGCACTTTTAAATCGTCTACAGTGACAAAATAATTTCTTTAGAACTGCTTTCTGTTTAGTTTGTTCTCCTTCCCCCCACACCTCCGATTAGCACGGTTGGCAACGTACTTGGCGAAAGAAGTTCAACGCCCATACATCATTATTCTTATTGTTTATACGCGTGGCCAATCGATCGATGAGACTCTGACCAATCACGCTCCAGCTCCTCATCGGCGACGGCTCCGGACTTCTCGTCGGCGAGTCGAGCATCGACGCCGGGCCAACGCTTCGTCTGGGATGCGAACTCGGGGATAGCGTGAGCCTGCAGAGCCGTGATTTTAGTAGAACGTGCGCGCGTGTTGGCGGCGGGAGGTTAACTCCCTCGCCTGGTATACAGGAGGTCGTGGGTTCAATCCCAACCCTGACGCCTGCTGCTGCTGTATATTTGGGGGTTTGCGTATCTCTCTCTCATCATCATCATCATCACGGTGGCTAGGAGATGTTAACTACCTCGCCTGGTATACAGGAGGTCGTGGGTTCAATCCCACCCCTGCCGCCTGCTGCTGTGTTTTTGGGGGTTTGCGTATCTCTCTCTCTCTCCCCCTGGTCACGTGGATTTTTCTCCGGGTCCTCCGGTTTTTCCCTCTGTATTTAGAGTCGACCTCACGTGTTCAAAGTGTTTGGCTACAGCAAAGCAGTTACCACGTGATAAGCGACTTTGTTGAGCTATTATTTGTGGCCAGGCCACTTCTGAAAAAGAGATACATAGCTCAGTGGGCCTCACCTGGCAAAATAAAACATGTTTTAGTTGTACCTTTCGTCCAATTTTTCCTCTCTCTCCAGGTTTGCCAATCTTCCCTTCCAAACCCTGCGACAAAGTGGGATCATCATCGACAGCAGCAGCAGCAGCAACAAACGCGTCAATACCATCACCATCGCCATTAGCGGCACCAGCAGCAGGAACAGCAAGAGAAGTGTGCTCATCAGCAACAGCCGCATCAGCAGCAGCATCATCATCATGAGCAGCAGCAGGAACAGAAACGTCAATATCATCATCATCAGCAGCAGCAGCATCATCATGAGCAGCAGCAGGAACAGAAAAGTCAATATCATCAGCAGCAGCAGCAACATCATCATGAGCAGCAGCAACAGAAAAGTCAATATCACCATCATCATCAGCAGCATCATCATCATGAGCAGCAGCAGGAACAGAAAAGTCAATATCATCATCATCAGCAGCAGCAGCACCAGCAGCAGCAGGAACAACAAGAGAAGTGTGCTCATCATCATCATCATCAGGAACAACAAGAGAATCATCTGTGTCTTTGTAGAGAGAGGTCACACACTGACCCTGATGCCCACGATACCCGAGTCACCGTCAATATCATCATCATCATCAGGAACAACAAGAGAATCATCTGTGTCTTTGTAGAGAGAGGTCACACACTGACCCTGATGCCCACGATACCCGAGTCACCGTCAATATCATCATCATCATCAGCATCATCATCATCAGGAACAACAAGAGAATCGTCTTTGTAGAGAGAGGTCACACACTGACCCTAACGCCCACGATGCCCGAGTCACCGTCAATATCATCATCATCAGCATCATCATCAGGAACAACAAGAGAATCGTCTTTGTAGAGAGAGGTCACACACTGACCCTGACACCCACGATTCCCGAGTCACCGTCAATATCATCATCATCATCATCAGGAACAACAAGAGAATCGTCTGTGTCTTTGTAGAGAGAGGTCACACACTGACCCTGACGCCCACGATTCCCGAGTCACCGTCAATATCATCATCATCAGCATCATCATCATCAGGAACAACAAGAGAATCGTCTTTGTAGAGAGAGGTCACACACTGACCCTGACGCCCACTATTCCCGAGTCACCGTCAATATCATCATCATCATCATAAGGAACAACAAGAGAATCGTCTTTGTCTTTGTAGAGAGAGGTCACACACTGACCCTGACGCGCACGATGCCCGAGTCACCGTCAATATCATCATCATCAACATCATCATCATCAGGAACAACAAGAGAATCGTCTTTGTAGAGAGAGGTCACACACTGACCCTGACGTCCACTATTCCCGAGTCACCGTCAATATCATCATCATCATCAGGAACAACAAGAGAATCGTCTTTGTAGAGAGAGGTCACACACTGACCCTGACGCCCACTATTCCCGAGTCACCGTCAATATCATCATCATCATCATCAGGAACAACAAGAGAATCGTCTTTGTCTTTGTAGAGAGAGGTCACACACTGACCCTGACGCGCACGATACCCGAGTCACCGTCAATATCATCATCATCATCAGGAACAACAAGAGAATCGTCTGTGTCTTTGTAGAGAGAGGTCACACACTGACCCTGACGCCCACGATTCCCGAGTCACCGTCAATATCATCATCATCATCATCAGGAACAACAAGAGAATCGTCTTTGTAGAGAGAGGTCACACACTGACCCTGACGCCCACTATTCCCGAGTCACCGTCAATATCATCATCATCATCATCAGGAACAACAAGAGAATCGTCTTTGTCTTTGTAGAGAGAGGTCACACACTGACCCTGACGCGCACGATGCCCGAGTCACCGTCAATATCATCATCATCAGCATCATCATCATCATCAGGAACAACAAGAGAATCGTCTTTGTAGAGAGAGGTCACACACTGACCCTGACGCCCACTATTCCCGAGTCACCGTCAATATCATCATCATCATCAGGAACAACAAGAGAATCGTCTTTGTAGAGAGAGGTCACACACTGACCCTGACGCCCACTATTCCCGAGTCACCGTCAATATCATCATCATCATCAGGAACAACAAGAGAATCGTCTTTGTCTTTGTAGAGAGAGGTCACACACTGACCCTGACGCGCACGATACCCGAGTCACCGTCAATATCATCATCATCATCAGGAACAACAAGAGAATCGTCTTTGTAGAGAGAGGTCACACACTGACCCTGACGCCCACGATACCCGAGTCACCGTCAATATCATCATCATCAGCATCATCATCATCAGCAGGAACAACAAGAGAATCGTCTTTGTCTTTGTAGAGAGAGGTCACACACTGACCCTGACGCCCACGATTCCCGAGTCACCGTCAATATCATCATCATCATCAGCAGGAACAACAAGAGAATCGTCTTTGTCTTTGTAGAGAGAGGTCACACACTGACCCTGACGCCCACGATTCCCGAGTCACCGACGGGGCCGTCGCTGCCCTTTGACCCGACCTCCGCCCTCTCTCCATTCTCCCCGTCCGGACCCGGGTCACCCTTTTCCCCCTAGGGCAACACGGAGGGGGATGGGGGGGGAGGACAAAGACGGAGAGCTGAGAGGGGTCACACCCGTCCGAAAGCTGTCGCCTGCCCTTACGCGCTCCGCCGTCCGCACGTCTCACCGCGCCGCCGATGCCGCAGCGTTGCCGAGTTCGTGCCGGCTCCGTCGACGGCTGCCTGCCGCCCGCGTCCGTCGCCGGGTTCAGGACGAACGGGGCAGAGTTTGGCGGGCGGGCGGGCGGGCGGGCGCACGTTAGACGGAACACAAACAACAGCAACACGTCAAACCGCAAACAAAAACACCCGGTCGAGGTCTCGCAAGGAACCAACCCGCTCCGCCAAATCTGCATGAAACAAAACCAATAAAAAAATCAGGCGGAGCTGCCAAGCGTTTTGTTTCACCCCCGACGGCTGCCGCGGATATCGAGCCACGTGACCCGGGCACCCTCTGCTGGCCATTAAGGGAATGGAAGCGTGAGCAGAGTGGACTGGCGCGCCCGTGCCACTCTGTGTGACCCGTGCCGCTCTGTGTGACCCGTGCCGCTCTGCGTGACCCGTGCCACTCTGTGTGACCCGTGCCGCTCTGTGTGACCCGTGCCGCTCTGCGTGACCCGTGCCACTCTGTGTGACCCGTGCCACTCTGTGTGACCCGTGCCACTCTGCGTAACCCGTGCCACTCTGCCTGACCCGTGCCGCTCTGCCTGACCCGTGCCACTCTGCGCGCCCGTGCCACTCTGCGTAACCCGTGCCACTCTGCCTGACCCGTGCCGCTCTGCCTGACCCGTGCCGCTCTGCATGACCCGTGCCACTCTGCGTGACCCGTGCCACTCTGCGTAACCCGTGCCACTCTGCGTGACTGTGTAACAGACTGTCGGGGCAAGTGCTGTTAGCGAGTAGCAGCACCTACGAAGGCCGGCACTGAGGCACACGAGGCGGTGGGTGGCCAGCAACCACGCGCCCCGGCCGCCTTTGTCTCCCCAGTGGCGATGTTTTTTTACACTACCGCACCAGCTACTCATTTGAGGCTGAGTCGACCTAGGGGAGGGCCAGGACCGGTTCAGAAAATCGTCACCGGTGTTGGCCGTGAACTAAGTGCTCCACTCCCACTGCACAAAGACACGCACACACAGCAGCAGCAGCAATCATCACCCACATGACCGCAAAAAACTTGGCAGGACCCTCCTGAAAACGAGTCTTGAGACTCGGAGAGGCTTTTCCGGCGAAACAATAATTATAATTATTATAATTGTGGCGCCCGAGATGTTAACTACCTCGCCTGGTATACAGGAGGTCTTGGGTTCAATCCTGACCCTGATGCCTCCTGCTGTATATTTGGAGTTTGCGTGTCTCTCTCTCTCTCATCATCATCACGGTGGCTAGGAGATGTTAACTACCTCGCCTGGTGTACAGGAGGTCGTGGTTCGATCCTGACCCTGACACTTGCTGCTGTATATTTGGAGTTTGCGGTGTCTCTCTCTCATCATCATCACGGTGGCTATGAGATGTTAACTACCTCGCCGGGTGTACAGGAGGTCGTGGGTTCAATCCCGACCCTGACGCCTGCTGCTGTATATTTGGAGTTTGCGTGTCTCTCTCTCTCTCTCTCCCCGTGGTCGAGTGGATTTTCCTCCGGGTCCTCCGGGTTTCCCCTCCACGTTTAGAATCGACGTCACGAGTTTAGAGTGTTTGGCCGCTGCAAATTTCCGCATGATGATGATGACGACGACGATGATGATGACGACGACGATGATGACGACGACGATGATGACAACGACGACGATGATGACGACGATGATGACGATGATGATGATGACGACGACGATGATGACAACGACGACGATGATGATGACGACGACGATGATGACGACGACGACGATGATGATGACGATGATGATGACGACGACGATGATGATGACGACGACGATGATGATGACGACGACGATGATGATGACGACGACGATGATGAGCTCACTTCGTCGAGGCTACCATTTGTTGATCAGCCAGGATCGCTTCTGACAAAAGGGCTCCTCGGTGGTGCCTTACACCTGGTCAAATCTGAACATAATTGTAATACATTTTGATTTAAAGCTTTCGTGACTGCAGGGATTCATATTCTTGGTTCTTTCGGTAAAATCACGTAGAAGGGAAACAATAAAATAATAAAAAAAATAAAAATATATTGTTTCCCTTCTACGTGACTTTACCGAAAGAACCAAGAATATAATTGTAATAGTTTAGTTACAAATATTCTGGGTTCTTTCGGTAAAGTCACGTAGAGGGGAAACAATAAAATAAAAAAAATATTTTACTATTTTATTGTTTCCCTTATACGTGACTATATAAAAAAATATATTTTTATTATTTTATTGTTTCCCTTCTACGTGACTTTACCGAAAGAACCAAGAATATAATTGTAATAGTTTAGTTACAAATATTCTGGGTTCTCTCGGTAAAGTCACGTAGAGGGGAAACAATAAAATAAATAAGCAAAAATATTTTTATTATTTTATTGTTTCCCTTCTACGTGACTTTATAAAAAAATATTATTATTTTATTGTTTCCCTTCTACGTGACGTTATAAAAAATATATTTTTATTATTTTATTGATTCCCTTCTACGTAACTTTACCGAAAGAACCAAGAATATAATGGCAATAGTTTATATTCTTGGTTCTTTCGGTAAAGTCACGTTGAAGGGAAACAATACAATAATAATATATATATAAAACTGTTTGTGTTACAGTCGAAAGTCGTGTGAATTTTATTGTAATAGTTTATATTCTTGGTTCTTTCGGTAAGTTCACGTTGAAGAGAAACAATAAAATATTAAAATATATATAAAACTGGTTGTGTTACAGTCGAAACGTCGTGAGAATTTTATTGTTTTATGTATATTTTATTATTTTATTGTTTCCCTTCAACGTGACTTTACCGAAAGAACCAAGAATATGAATCACTGCAGTCACGAAAGCTTTAAATCAAAATGTAATAGTTTAGTTACGAATATTCTGGGTTATTTCGGTAAAGTCACTTAGATGGAAAATAAAATAAAAGTACAGTAAAACCTTGGATTGCGAGTAACTTGATCTGTGAGTGTTTTGCAAGACGAGTAGAAATTTTTAAATGAATATTAATTTGATAAACGAGCGAGGGTCTTGCAGTACGAGTAGTAGTACGTATCCACGCTCTGTCTGCCGAGCGTCACGTGATCACAACTGATATACGAGTGCTTTGGATTACAAACACGTTTCCGGAACGAATTATGCTCGCAATCCAAGGTTTTACTGTAATAGATTGAAAATAATTAAAGCTTTTTTTTATTATTATAAACAGCTTTCAATACTCTCAATGTATTATTTTCATTGTATTTTAATTTTTATTTCGAGGTGGACTTTACCGAAAGAACCAAGAATATTAATTCCTGCAGCCAGGAAAGTTTTGAGTCAAAATTGAACAGAAACATAGTTGGAGCGGCAATGGTCATATCGACCGTCAGCGGCGTAAAACCGGAGCCGGCGAGCTAACTCGCCGGTCGCCGGGCGGAACCGCGCGCGGTGACGGCGGCGGGATTCCAGGAAGCAAACCTTGAGTCCGTCGCTCCCGCCCGATCCCTCCTCGCCGCCGGAGCCAACTTCTCCCTGCGGGACAACAGAAGCCGCACAGATGGCAAACCGGCACGGCGCTTGTTGTTGTTGTTAGACTGACACTGCCCATAGACTCAACACTGCCCATAGACTCAACACTGCCCATAGACTCAACACTGCCCATAGAATCAACACCGCCCATAGACTCAACACTGCCCATAGACTCAACACTGCCAATAGACTCAACACTGCCCATAGACTCAACACTGCCAATAGACTCAACACTGCCCATAGACTAACACTGCCCATAGACTCAACACTGCCCGTAGACTCAACACTGCCCATAGACTCAACATTGCCCATAGACTATCACTGCCCATAGACTCAACACTGCCCATAGACACAACACTGCCCATAGACTCAACACTGCCCATAGACTCAACACTGCCCATAGACTCAACACTGCCCATAGACTAACACTGCCCATAGACTCAACACTGCCCATAGACTCAACACTGCCCATAGACTCAACACTGCCAATAGACTCAACACTGCCCATAGACTCAACACTGCCCATAGACTATCACTGCCCATAGACTCAACACTGCCCATAGACACAACACTGCCAATAGACTCAACACTACCCATAGACTCAACACTGCCCATAGACTATCACTGCCCATAGACTCAACACTGCCCATAGACTCAACACTGCCAATAGACTCAACACTGCCCATAGACTCAACACTGCCCATAGACTGTCACTGCCCGTAGACTTAACACTGCCCATAAACTCAGTTTGGTGCAACTCCATTGCAAACAAACTCCACTCACTCTCACTCTGCAGAACAGGGGGAGATCACACAAACTCCACTCACTCACTCTCACTCTATAGAACAGGGGGAGATCATACAAACTCCACTCACTCACTCTGTAGAACAGGGGGAGATCATACAAACTCCACTCACTCACTCTCACTCTATAGAACAGGGGGAGATCATACAAACTCCACTCACTCACTCTGTAGAACAGGGGGAGATCACACAAACTCCACTCACTCTCACTCTATAGACCAGGGGGAGATCATACAAACTCCACTTACTCTCTCTGTAGAACAGGGGGAGATCACACAAACTCCACTCACTTACTCTGTAGAACAGGGGGAGATCACACAAACTCCACTCATTCTCACTCTGCAGAACAGGGGGAGATCACACAAACTCCATTCACTCACTCTGTAGAACAGGGGGAGATCATACAAACTCCACTCACTCACTCTGTAGAACAGGGGGAGATCACACAAACTCCACTCACTCACTCTCACTCTATAGAACAGGGGGAGATCATACAAACTCCACTCACTCACTCTGTAGAACAGGGGGAGATCACACAAACTCCACTCACTTACTCTGCAGAACAGGGGGAGATCATACAAACTCCACTCACTCACTCTCACTCTGTAGAACAGGGGGAGATCACACAACTCCACTCACTCACTCTCACTCTGTAGAACAGGGGGAGATCACACAAACTCCACTCACTCACTCTCACTCTGTAGAACAGGGGGAGACCACACAAACTCCACTCACTCACTCTCACTCTATAGAACAGGGGGAGATCACACAAACTCCACTCACTCACTCTCACTCTGTAGAACAGGGGGAGATCACACAAACTCCACTCACTCATTCTCACTCTGTAGAACAGGGGGAGATCACACAAACTCCACTCACTCACTCTCACTCTGTAGAACAGGGAGAGATAACACAAACTCCACACTCTCACTCTGTAGAACAGGGGGAGATCATACAAACTCCACTCACTCGCTCACTGTAGAACAGGGGGAGATCACACAAACTCCACTCACTCACTCTCATTCTGTAGAACAGGGGGAGATCACACAAACTCCACTCACTCTCACTCTGTAGAACAGGGGGAGATCACACAAACTCCACTCACTCACTCTCACTCTGTAGAACAGGAGGAGATCACACAAACTGCACTCACTCACTGTAGAACAGGGGGAGATCACACAAACTCCACTCACTCTGTAGAACAGGCGGAGATCATACAAACCCCACTCACTCACTATGCACAACAGGGGGAGATCATACAAACTCCACTCACTCACTCTCTGTAGAACAGGGGGAGATCACACAAACTCCACTCTCACTCTGTAGAACAGGGGGAGATCACACAAACGTCACTCACTCACACTGTAGAACAGGGGGAGATCACACAAACTCCACTCACTCACTGTAGAACAGGGGGAGATCACACACACTCCACTCACTCACTCTCACACTCTAGAACAGGGGGAGATCACACAAACTCCACTCACTCACTCTGTAGAACAGGGGGAGATCATACAAACTCCACTCACTCCCTCTGTAGAACAGGAAGAGATCACGCAAAACTCCACTCACTCACATTCTGTAGAACGGGGGGAAATCACACAAACTCCACTCACTCACTCTCACTCTGTAGAACAGGGGGAGATCACACAAACTCCACTCACTCATTCTCACTCTGTAGAACAGGGGAGATCACACAAACTCCACTCACTCACTCTCACTCTGTAGAACAGGGGGAGATCACACAAACTCCACACTCCCACTCTGTAGAACAGGGGGAGATCATACAAACTCCACTCACTCACTGTAGAACAGGGGGAGATCACATAAACTCCACTCACTCATTCTCATTCTGTAGAACAGGGGGAGATCACACAAACTCCACTCACTCTCACTCTGTAGAACAGGGGGAGATCACACAAACCCCACTCACTCACTCTCACTCTGTAGAACAGGAGGAGATCACACAAACTCCACTCACTCTGTAGAACAGGGGGAGATCATACAAACTCCACGCACTCACTCTCACTCTGTAGAACAGGGGGAGATCATACAAACGCCACTCACTCACTATGCACAACAGGGGGAGATCATACAAACTCCACTCACTCACTCTCACTCTGTAGAACAGGGGGAGATCACACAAACTCCACTCTCACTCTGTAAAACAGGGGGAGATCACACAAACTCCACCCAGAAAGGAGCCCGATTCGGTTAGATGAACCCAGGGCCTTCTGCCATCAGCCTCTCCTCTCTCCAGATCGCGTTCCTACGGCGTTCCGACTCACCCGTAGTCCCATCAGCCCTGCCTCGCCTGGACCGCCCAGCCCTCCGGTGTTTCCCTGGGTACAAGCAAAGACAAAGATCCCCCACGTAGCCTTCATAAGGCTTGTCGGGGCAAGTGCCGTTCGCGCGAGTAGCACCTATGGAGGTCGGCACGGCGCACGAGGGGGCGGCTGGCCAGCACCACGCCCGGCCGCCTTTGTCTCCCCGGCGCTAACGTTTACTACACCGTAAGAGGTGGTCATACATAAGACTGCGCCGACCTAGGGGGAGGCCCAGGACCGGTTCAGATAACCGTCGCTTGTTGACCGTGCGCACGCACTCAACGACGCCGAACTTCTTTCGCACCGCGCATGGCGAACCGTGCTGGTCGGAGGTGGCCATGGGCGGGAATCGAACTCGGGCCGCCGGGTTCGTGGCTCGGCGCCGTGACCACAGCGCCACCGCTACCAGTGCGTTCTGTCCCTTGACAATCCAGCAAATGTTGATCACCTCATCGCACGTGTGCCGTCGGCCTCGCATCACGAGGCGAAGGACAAATCTCGGAGAGCAGTGCATCACCCTGAGTAAGAGAGCGGCTCGCGGAATCGGATATCACAGAGCTACCTCCGAGATCCCCTTCTTCTTCTTACTCAAGCGGCGCTCTGGTGCACACAGAACGGCCCGTGGAAGTGGATATGACAGAGCTACCGCCGAGATCCCCTTCTTCTTCTTACTCAAGCGACGCTCTGGTGCACACAGAACAGCCCGTGGAAGTGGACGTGACAGAGCTACCTCTGAGATCCCCTTATTCTTATTCAAGCGACGCTCTGGTCCACACACGGCAAAATTGTAGCACATCATAAACCCGCTCTGCCACATGATGCTCGTCGCAATGAGAGTCAAACCGACAGTTTAAATTCCCATGCTGGGAAATCAGCCAAATTAAGTGCACAAACAAATTGAATGCTGATGGCTGTTGTCCTTTTTTCCCCTGCAGTCACCGCGAGTCCCACCATCTCGCTACACTGCATGACGCCGCTGGCAATGCGCACGCCTGCGGTCTTTGTTTTGCCAATTTTCCGCTGGACGAGAGCCTCGGACAGCGGCAGTTGTCTGACCGGGCCGGCGTGGGCAAACTCGGCAGCCAAAGGGCTACGCAGCAACAACGTGAGGCGGTCAGGCCGGGGAAGCTAAGCGGGGGTTCGGCCTGGATACTGCTCGGACGAGCTAAGGCCCCCCATCACGCGCGACAGGTGCCATAGGCCGCTTCGGACCACATCAAATATTAACTCCGTGACAATGACCTTGTCCCCTTTGTCGCCAGGTGGTCCTCGGTCGCCCACGGCTCCTTGCAATCCCTGGAAAAGAGGTTGGCGAGACGTCAGGGCGATTCGCACGTAACGAGACAAAGACAAAGGTCCGCCGGATAGCCTTTGCACGGGCCACTGGGGCAAGTGCTGTTAGCGAGTAGCAGCACCTACGAAGGCCGGCACTGAGGCACACGAGGGGGTGGGTGGCCAGCACCACGGCCGGCCGCCTTTGTCTCCCCAGTGGCGATGTTTACTACACACCGCACCAGGTACTCAATTGAGGCTGAGTCGAAATAGAGGAAGCACAGGACCGATTTCAGATAATCGTCACCGGTGTTGGTCACGAGCGGGATTCGATCTCGGGTTGCCGGGTTTGTCAGCGTGGCGCTAACCGCTGCGCCACCACTCGGAACAAATACAGCAGCAGGCGTCTGGGTCGGGATCGAACCCACGACCTCCTGTACACCAGGCGAGGTAGTTAACATCTCATAGCCACCGTGATGATGATGAGAGAGAGACACACAAACTCCAAATATACAGCAGCAGCAGGCGTCAGGGTCGGGATCGAGCCCACGACCTCCTGCACACCAGGCGAGGTAGTTAACATCTCATAGCCACCGTGCGATGTGGCGACCGTCGTTGTTTCTGACGGCTATCCAGGAACCCGCCGCTGCTGCGAGGACGACCGTAACTAACTCATGGAGAGAGACAGGAGGGGGGTGCCGGGGGGGGGGGGGGGGTTGCTCACCAGTGGCCCCACGTCGCCCGGCGCTCCGACCTCCCCCGTGGGCCCGCGGTGACCCTGCAGGAGATGGGCCGGGGTTAGGCCGGATCGACAGCGGTGGTCGGTGACGACTCGCGTCGTCGCAAGCGCGCGGCACTCAACAAAGAAGCGAAGGGTAAACCAAACGACTTGAATTTGGACCAGGTAAGGCCCCGCTAATCTTTGTCAGAAGCGACGATGAAGTGGCTTGTCATCATCATCGCGTGGAAATTTACAGCAGTCGTCAAAGGCGTGACATCGATTCCAAATGTGGAGGGAAAAACCGGATGGCCCGGAGAAAAATCCACGCGACCACGGGGAGAGAGAGAGAGACACGCAAACTCCAAATATACAGCAGGCATCAGGGTCGGGATCGAACCCACGACCTCCTGTACACCAGGCGAGGCAGTTAACATCTCCTAGCCACCGTGATGATGATGATAAGAGAGAGAGACACGCAAACTCCAAATATACAGCAGCAGGCATCAGGGTCAGGATTGACCCACGACCTCCTGTATACCAGGCGAGGTAGTTAACATCCCCTAGCCACCGTGATGATGATGAGAGAGAGAGACACGCAAACTACAAATATACAGCAGCAGGCGTCAGGGTTGGGATTGAACCCACGACCTCCTGTACACCAGGCGAGGTAGTAAACATCTCATAGCCACCGTGATGATGATGATGATGAGAGAGACACTGCAAACTCCAAATATACAGCAGCAGCAGGCGTCAGGATCGGGATCGAACCCACGACCTCCTGTACACCAGGCGAGGTAGTTAACATCTCCTAGCCACCGTGATGATGATGATGAGAGAGACACTGCAAACTCTAAATATACAGCAGCAGGCATCAGGGTCGGGATCGAACCCACGACCTCCTGTACACCAGGGGAGGTGGTTAACGCCTCGCGGCACTTATGCAACGTGTACGGGGAAACAGGTCGAGAAGCGTGACGAAGGCTGTCGATGGTGACGGATGTGTGTGCGTGCGTGCGCGTGTGTGCGTGTGTGTGTGCGTGTGTGTGCGTGTGTGCGTGTGTGTGTGTGCGTGTGTGTGCGTGTGTGCGTGCGTGTGTGTCCATGTGCGTGCGTGTGTGCGTATGTGTGTGCGTGTGTGCGTGTGCGTGTGTGTGCGTGTGTGTGCGTGTGTGTGCGCGTGTGCGTGTGTGTGTGCGTGTGTGTGTGCGTGTGTGTGTGTGTGTGCGTGTGTGTGCGTGCGTGTGTGTGTGTCTGCGTGTGTGCATGTGCGTGTGAGTACGGAGAAGGGGGGGGTATGTGTAGTATTAAAAGTGTGGGGGGGGATCTCCGACGTTAAATACCGGCATTCCTGGGGTCCCTTTTGCTCCAGGGGGACCTGGAGGCCCTGGAAGACCCTGTCAATTTAGACGCAATTAATACAAACAAGACAAAGACGTCCCCCCCACTGTCACCCCCACCACCCAGCCGTCGCAGACTGCTGGGGGCAAGTGCCGTGCGCGAGTCTCGGCGCCTGTGCAGGCCGGCACTGTGGCGCACGAGGAGCCGGTGTGGCCAACGCCTCGCCCCGCCGCCACCTTTGTCTCCCCAATGCGCTGATGTGGACACGCCGGCCGCCAGGTACAATGTTTGTTCGGCTGAGTCGACCTAGGGGAGGCCCAGCAACGGTTCGGATATAATCGCCACTGTTTATTGGTCGTGAGCGGGGATCGGACTAGGTTTGTAGTGCAGAGCGCTAACCACGACATTACCGCTCCCCATAATCACTACACACAGAGACACACACATATTAACCTTGATTCTTATACTTAATTTGGATATATTTCAGGTCTGAGAATTTTAAATATTAGTTTGACTGTTAAACCAATATTTATTTGAAAAAAGGATCTCAGAGGTAGATCTCTGATATCCGCTTCCACGGGCATCTCTGTGTGCACCAGAGTGTCACTTGAAGGAGAAGAAGGAATCTCAGAGGTAGCTCTGTGATATCCACTTCCACGGGCATCTCTGTGTGCACCAGAGTGTCACTTGAAGGAGAAGAAGGAATCTCAGAGGTAGCGCTCTGATATCCGCTTCCACGGGCCTCTCTGTGTGCACCAGAGTGTCACTTGAAGGAGAAGAAGGAATCTCAGAGGTAGCTCTGTGATATCCACTTCCACGGGCATCTCTGTGTGCACCAGAGTGTCACTTGAAGGAGAAGAAGGAATCTCAGAGGTAGCGCTCTGATATCCGCTTCCACGGGCATCTCTGTGTGCACCAGAGTGTCACTTGAAGGAGAAGAAGGAATCTCAGAGGTAGCGCTCTGATATCCGCTTCCACGGGCCCTTCTGTGTGCACCAGAGTGTCACTTGAAGGAGAAGGAATCTCAGAGGTAGCGCTCTGATATCCGCTTCCACGGGCCTCTCTGTGTGCACCAGAGTGTCACTTGAAGGAGAAGAAGGAATCTCAGAGGTAGCTCTGTGATATCCACTTCCACGGGCCGTTCTCTTAACACACGGAGAGCCGCGCTGCTCTGCGAGACCTCCGAACGGATTCTTCGTCTCGTCACGCCGCCGGCGAAGATCGAAAGTTCGTCGCGATTTAGGACTCACGAGAAATCCTTGCTCCCCCTTGTCCCCGACTTCACCCATCGGTCCCTGTAAAGTTGAACACACGCGCGAGCACACACACACATACACACACACACACGCACACGCGAGCACACACACACGCACACACACATACACACATACACATACATACACACACACATACACACACACGCACGCACACGCGAGCACACGCACACGCACACACACGAGCACACACACACGCACACACACACAGACATACACACACACGCGCGCGCGCACGCACACACATACACACACACGTGAGCACACACACACGCACGCACACGCGAGCACACACACACACGCACACACACACACGCGCGCGCGCACGCACACACATACACACACGCGAGCACACACACATACACACACACATACACACACACACACGAGCACACACACACACGCGCACACACACGAGCACACACACACACACGAGCACACACACACATATACACACACACGCACACACACACACATACAAACACACACACATATACACACACACGCAAACACACACACACGCACACACACACATATACACGCACGCACACAGACACACAGACACAAACACGCGCGCACGCACACCACAAAAGTGGCATCATTAGAGGCGTAACAGACAATCACGGTTGTTTATAATGATCAATGATTTGCCTGTTTCGGGTGGGAGGGGGCATCGGATTGGAATTTCTAATCGACACAGCGATTCAGCCGCAAAATTGTGATGAGCCCCGGTAGTCTGGATGTTTGTTCACTATGGTTCGACTGAACGGAATCGATACAATTAATCTCGATTAACGATCCACAATGACCGTATAGTGGCAAATCTCTGATCGGTGATTTTGTCGGATGTACGATTTTATCGCTCTGTGACATCATCACGGTGATTACGAGATGTTAACAACCTCGCCTGGTGTACAGGAGGTCGTGGGTTCCACCACCACCACCATCATCATCATCATCACGGTGGCTAGGAGATGTTGACTACCTCGCCTGGTGTACAGGAGGTCGTGGGTTCCACCACCACCATCATCATCACGGTGACTAGGAGATGTTAACTACCTAGCCTGGTGTACAGGAGGTCGTGGGTTCCACCACCACCACCATCATCATCACGGTGGCTAGGAGATGTTGACTACCTCGCCTGGTATACAGGAGGTCGTGGGTTCCACCACCACCACCATCATCATCATCACGGTGGCTAGGAGATGTTAACTACCTCGCCTGGTGTACAGGAGGTCGTGGGTTCCACCACCACCACCATCATCATCATCACGGTGGCTAGGAGATGTTAACTACCTCGCCTGGTGTACAGGAGGTCGTGGGTTCGATCCCGACCCTGATGCCTGCTGTATATTTGGAGTTTGCTTGTCTCTCTCTCTCATCATCACGGTGATTACGAGATGTTAACTTACATCGCCTGGTATACAGGAGGTCGTGGGTTCGATCCAGACCCTGATGCCTGCTGCTGCTGTATATTTGGAGTTTGCGTGTCTCTCTCTCTCATCATCATCACGGTGGCTAGGAGATGTTAACTACCTCGCCTGGTGTACAGGAGGTCGTGGGTCCGATCCCTACCCTGATGCCTGCTGCTGATGTATATTTGGAGTTTGTGTGTCTCTCTCTCTCTCTCATCATCATCACGGTGGCTAGGAGATGTTAACTGCCTCGCCTGGTGTACAGGAGGTCGTGGGTTCGATCCCGACCCTGATGCCTGCTGTATATTTGGAGTTTGCGTGTCTCTCTCTCTCATCATCATCACGGTGATTACGAGATGTTAACTACCTCGCCTGGTGTACAGGAGGTCGTGGGTCTGATCCCTACCCTGATGCCTGCTGCTGTATATTTGGAGTTTGCATGTCTCTCTCTCTCATCATCATCACGGTGGCTAGGAGATGTTAACTACCTCGCCTGGTGTACAGGAGGTCGTGGGTCCGGTCCCTAACCTGATGCCTGCTGCTGCATATTTGGAGTTTGCGTGTCTCTCTCTCTCTCCCCATGGATTTTTCTCCGGGTCCCCCGGTTGTTCCCTCCAAATTCAGAATCAACGTCACCACGAGTTTCAAGTATTTGACTGCTACACATTTCCACGTGATGTTGATAAGTCACTCCGTTGAGCTATCAGTTGTGATGGCCAGATCCCTTCTGAAATAGAGCCATATAGCTCAGTGGGCCTTACCTGGTAAAATAACAAAATTGTTTTATTATTTAAAGTTAACGGGCAATGCAATAACTGTGGTAATAGCAGTAGAAGAGTGACAAGGAGGCGACTGTCTGCATGTACGTGTGTGTGTGAAAAACTTATTTCATACCATACGTAGCCAACCGTGCTAATGGGAGGTGCAGTGTTGAGTTTATGGGCAGTGTTGAGTCTATGGGCAGTGTTGAGTTTATGGGCAGTGTTGAGTCTATGGGCAGTGTTGAGTCTATGGGCAGTGTTGAGTCTATGGGTAGTGTTGAGTCTATGGTGCAGTGTTGAGTCTATGGGCAGTGTTGAGTCTATGGGCAGTGTTGAGTCTATGGGAAGTAAGTATGTAATGTTGAACTTCTTTCGCACCCTACGTAGCCAACCGCGCTAATTGGAGGTGCGGGGGAAGGACGACAAACTAAACACAAAAATCAGTTCGAGCGAAATGACTTTGTCAATCTAGACGCTGATGATTTTAAAGTGAATGGCTCCCATTGGCTTCCTGATATCGGAGGAAGAAAGCGCATCCGAAAGCGCAACGCGACGATGACCGGGCTAAATTTCGATTTAAAGCTTTCGTGACTGCAAGGATTCATCTTCTTTGGTTCTTTCGGTAAAGTCACCACCACGTAGAATGAGAATAAAATAATAAATTTATAAAATAAAATAACACAATAAAATTCTCACGACGTTTCGGCCACAACACAAGCGCTGTCCTCCAGACAGTCTCGTCCCTTCACCTGATGAAGGCCGCTTGTGTTGTGGCCGAAACGCCGTGAGAATATTATTGTGTTATTTTATTTTATCAATTTATTATTTTATTCTCATTCTACGTGGTGGTGACTTTACCGAAAGAACCAAAGAAGGTGACCGGGCTTGTCGCGTGACGATGGTTCACAGCCCCCCTCTCTGGGTGAAATCCAGCGGGGTATGGCGTGGCTCATTTGTGACTTGCAGCGCCACGCGTGCGAACGCCACGGGTCGAGGGTTCCAATCCGTGCTTACGGTGTCTCCAGGCGCTCCCAGGATCCCAACGTCGCCCGGCGGACCCTGAAGAGGCCAGAGACACAAATCACCGAAGGTCTCACTTGACACTCTGTCGTGCGGCCGCACGGACCATCCCCACGTTACACGCGGGCACGCTGGGGGCCCCGATGCAGCTTAAGATCGCACATTGACGAGCGCGGAGTTTCGCTGGCCAACGGGAGGGTGTGCGGGCAAGCCAAGCCGGGGAGGGGGGCGGGGGGGGATGACACGTGACGGGGAGCCGTTACCTTGATGCCTTGAGACCCGGCCTCTCCTTGAAACCCATCGTCACCTCTGGCTCCCTGGGGCGGGAGATAAAATTGGGAGTGATACGTTCTGGCAAAGTGCAGGTCAGTGCTGCAATGAATGCGATAAATAAACAAAAGATCCGTGGTCCAGCTCTAAGTAACGATTGGGTACATTTGACAGTCGTTATTTGGTAGGTGGGGTGGGGCGATGTTGCTGCTACTGCTGCTGTGTGGTCTAGCCTAGGGGGCACCCCCAGTGGCAGCTGTCCCTGTGTGTTAGTCTGTGAGTAGGGGAGGCGATGTTGCTGCTACTGCTGTGTGGTCTAGCCTAGGGGCACCCCCAGTGGCAGCTGTCCCTGTGTGTTAGTCTGTCAGTAGGGGAGGCGATGTTGCTACTGCTGCTGTGTGGTCTAGCCTAGGGGGCACCCCCAGTGGCAGCTGTCCCTGTGTTAGTCTGTCAGTAGGGGAGGCGATGTTGCTACTGCTGCTGTGTGGTCTAGCCTAGGGGGCACCCCCAGTGGCAGCTGTCCCTGTGTGTTAGTCTGTCAGTAGGGGAGGCGGTGTTGCTACTGTTGCTGTGTGGTCTAGCCTAGGGGGCACCCCCAGTGGCAGCTGTCCCTGTGTTAGTCTGTCAGTAGGGGAGGCGATGTTGCCGCTGCTGTGTGGTGTAGCCTAGGGGCACCCCCAGTGGCAGCTGTCCCTGTGTGTTAGTCTGTCAGTAGGGAGGCGATGTTGCTGCTGCTGCTGTGTGGTCTAGCCTAGGGGCACCCCCAGTGGCAGCTGTCCCTGTGTGTTAGTCTGTGAGTAGGGGAGGCGATGTTGCTGCTGCTGCTGTGTGGTCTAGCCTAGGGGCACCCCCAGTGGCAGCTGTCCCTGTGTGTTAGTCTGTCAGTAGGGAGGCGATGTTGCTGCTGCTGCTGTGTGGTCTAGCCTAGGGGCACCCCCAGTGGCAGCTGTCCCTGTGTGTTAGTCTGTGAGTAGGGGAGGCGATGTTGCTGCTGCTGCTGTGTGGTCTAGCCTAGGGGCACCCCCAGTGGCAGCTGTCCTTGTGTGTTAGTCTGTCAGTAGGGGAGGCGATGTCGCTGCTGCTGTGTAGTCTAGCCTAGGGGGCACCCCCAGTGGCAGCTGTCCCCGTGTGTTAGTCTGTCAGTAGGGGAGGCGATGTCGCTGCTGCTGCTGTGTGGTCTAGCCTAGGGGGCACCCCCAGTGGCAGCTGTCTCTGCGTGATGAAGGGCCTGCGTTTTCCCAGGCACAGGCTGTGGTAGCGTCACAATAGCGGGGGGCGGATGTCGCCAGCGCGTTCTCCCAAACGAAGAAGCCGCGGTGTAAGTGTTCGGACTTGGCGAGTTTGTGCCGTGACGCAGGCACAGGAAGGCCTCTGCTCTTTTGCGAGCGACCCCTCCAAGGCGATCTTCGGCGTCCACCACGTGTGCCGTGTTCTCATTTATTTATTTTCTCGCACGAGTCTCCCTCTCGACGTGCGTGCGTTGTGCGCGCGCGGGGAGCGGTGGTGCAGCGGTTAGCGCTACGCTGCGCTACGAACCTGGCGACCAGAGTTCGATTCCCGCATTGATTGGGTCCCATCCCGAGAGGACAATTTCTCAGGCGACTGAGGCCGCCTAGAATTGTTTTCATTGTACCCTAGCGTGTCATCAGCAATGTGCGTGTGTGTGTGTTAATGTGGAGCGGTGGTGCAGCGGTTAGCGCTACGAAACCCGGCGAACCGGGATTCGATTCCTGCTCACGCCCAACACCGGTGACGATTATCTGAACCGGTCCCGGGCCTCCCCCTAGGTCGACTCGGCCTCAAATGAGTACCCGGTGCGGTGCGTAAACATCGCCGCTGGGGAGACAAAGGCGGCCGGGCGTGGTGCTGGCCGTCCACCCCCTCGTGTGCCGTTCCGGCCTTGCTAGGCGCTCGCTAACAGCACTTGCCCCGACAGCCTGCTAAAGGCTACACGGGGAGTTCTTTGTGCGTGCAGCGCTTTACAATTTCGTTTTGGAAGGCGCTTCGTGAAAATCACAGATAATTATGAATACACCCGATAATAGGTTTTTCCCCTTTTTTCTGGCAACAAAAGAGCCGTGTTAAGATGTTAAAACACCAAACTGAAATCTTCTTTTTTTACGAGGAATCATGTTCCTGCATTATCCACAATGCTTGTGGTCAGAATGCAAACAACAAAAAAACGCACTCTGATAATAAATGTGGCATTGTCCTTGGAACTGATTGGTCCACACCAGAGACAACTTTCTTCGGAGCGTGTTTATATTTTACCAGGTGAGGCCCACTGGCGTATCACCATGCGGACATTTTTTTATCAGCCAAACACTCTAAATATAAACCCGGAGGACCCGGAGAGAGACACCGCCAACTCCAAATATACAGCAGCAGCAGCAGCAGGCGTCATGGTCGGGATCGAACCCACGGCCTCCTGTACACCAGGCGAGGTTGTTAACATCCCCTAGCCACCGCGATGATGATAGGAGAGAGAGAGACACGCAAACTCCAAATATACAGCAGCAGGCGTCAGGATCGGGATCGAACCCACGGCCTCCTGTACACCTGGCGAGGCAGTTAACATCTCGTCAGGCGAAGGTAGTAACCAGGATGGCCTGCCGGATTCGAACCGCGAGCTTCGGCACCGGGTGGTGAACGCGGCTACCGCTGGGCGCCCGACGTTGGTTAAACGTTGGTTAAACGTTGGTTGAACGTTGGTTAAACATTAAACGTTGCAACTCACCCTTTTGCCTTTAATTCCCGACTTGCCTGGAGGGCCTCTGTCTCCCTGCAAGCCCTGGGGGATGGACATGAGTTCGCAGGGAGACCGTCACGGCAGCCACAGGATCAGCACTCTCACACTGACCACGTCACGAGGGATGAGCCAACCACTGCTCAAGTCGAGATCCAACACGCACCGATTCAGTCACTCACTCACACAGTCACTCACTCACACAACCAGTCACTCACTCACTCACACAACCAGTCACACACTCACACAGTCACTCACTCACTCACACAACCAGTCACACACTCACACAGTCACTCACTCACTCACACAACCAGTCACACACTCACTCACTCACACAGTCACTCACACAGTCACTCACTCACTCACACATTCACTCACTCACTCACACAGTCACTCACACAGTCACTCACTCACTCACACAACCAGTCACACACTCACTCACTCACACAGTCACTCACACAGTCACTCACTCACTCACACATTCACTCACTCACTCACACAGTCACTCACACAGTCACTCACTCACTCACACAACCAGTCACTCACTCACTCACACAGTCACTCACTCACTCACCCACTCACTCAGTCAGTCACTCACTCACTCACACAACCAGTCACACACTCACACAGTCAGTCACTCACTCACTCACACAGTCAGTCACTCACTCACTCACACAACCAGTCACACACTCACACAGTCAGTCACTCACTCACACAGTCATACACTCACTCACACATTCACTCACTCACTCACACAGTCACTCACTCACTCACACAACCAGTCACACACTCACACAGTCAGTCACTCACTCACTCACACAACCAGTCACACACTCACACAGTCACTCACTCACTCACACAACCAGTCACACACTCACACAGTCACACAGTCACACACACAACCAGTCACACACTCACACAGTCACTCACTCACTCACACAACCAGTCACACACTCACACAGTCACTCACACAGTCACTCCTCACTCACACAACCAGTCACACACTCACTCACACATTCACTCACTCACTCACACAACCAGTCACTCACTCACACAGTCACACAGTCACACACTCACTCACACAGTCATACACTCACTCACACAACCAGTCACACACTCACACAGTCACTCACTCACTCACACAACCAGTCACACACTCACACAGTCACTCACTCACTCACACAACCAGTCACACACTCACACAGTCACTCACTCACTCACACAGTCACTCACTCACTCACACAACCAGTCACACACTCACACAGTCACTCACTCACTCACACAACCAGTCACACACTCACACAGTCACTCACACAGTCACTCCTCACTCACACAACCAGTCACACACTCACTCACACATTCACTCACTCACTCACACAACCAGTCACACACTCACACAGTCACTCACTCACTCACACAACCAGTCACACACTCACACAGTCACTCACTCACTCACACAGTCATACACTCACTTACTCACACAACCAGTCACACACTCACACACTCACACAGTCACACACTCACTCACACATTCACTCACTCACTCACCCACTCACTCAGTCAGTCACTCACTCACTCACACAGTCATACACTCACTCACCCACTCACTCAGTCAGTCACTCACTCACTCACACAACCAGTCGCACACTCACACAGTCACTCACTCACTCACACAGTCATACACTCACTTACTCACACAACCAGTCACACACTTACACAGTCACTCACTCACTCACACAACCAGTCACTCACTCACACAGTCACTCACTCACTCACACAACCAGTCACACACTTACACAGTCAGTCACTCACTCACTCACACAACCAGTCACTCACTCACACAACCAGTCACACACTCACACAGTCACTCACTCACTCACACAACCAGTCACACACTCACACAGTCATACACTCACTCACACATTCACTCACTCACTCACACAGTCACTCACTCACTCACACAACCAGTCACACACTCACACAGTCACTCACTCACTCACACAGTCATACACTCACTCACACAGTCACTCACTCACTCACACAACCAGTCACTCACTCACACAGTCAGTCACTCACTCACACAACCAGTCACACACTCACACAGTCACTCACTCACTCACACAGTCATACACTCACTCACACAGTCACTCACTCACTCACACAACCAGTCACTCACTCACTCACACAGTCACTCACTCACACAGTCACTCACTCACTCACACAACCAGTCACTCACTCACTCACACAGTCACTCACTCACACAGTCACTCACTCACTCACACAACCAGTCACTCACTCACTCACACAGTCACTCACTCACTCACACAACCAGTCACACACTCACACAGTCACTCACTCACTCACACAACCAGTCACACACTCACACAGTCACTCACTCACTCACACAGTCACTCACTCACACAGTCACTCACTCACTCACACAACCAGTCACTCACTCACTCACACAGTCACTCACTCACTCACACAACCAGTCACACACTCACACAGTCACTCACTCACTCACACAACCAGTCACACACTCACACAGTCAGTCAGTCACTCACTCACACAACCAGTCACACACTCACACAGTCACTCACTCACTCACACAACCAGTCACACACTCACACAGTCAGTCACTCACTCACTCACACAACCAGTCACACACTCACACAGTCACTCACTCACTCACACAACCAGTCACACACTCACACAGTCAGTCACTCACTCACACAACCAGTCACACACTCACACAGTCACTCACTCACTCACACAGTCATACACTCACTCACACAGTCACTCACTCACTCACACAACCAGTCACTCACTCACACAGTCAGTCACTCACTCACACAACCAGTCACACACTCACACAGTCACTCACTCACTCACACAGTCATACACTCACTCACACAGTCACTCACTCACTCACACAACCAGTCACTCACTCACTCACACAGTCACTCACTCACACAGTCACTCACTCACTCACACAACCAGTCACTCACTCACTCACACAGTCACTCACTCACACAGTCACTCACTCACTCACACAACCAGTCACTCACTCACTCACACAGTCACTCACTCACTCACACAACCAGTCACACACTCACACAGTCACTCACTCACTCACACAACCAGTCACACACTCACACAGTCACTCACTCACTCACACAGTCACTCACTCACACAGTCACTCACTCACTCACACAACCAGTCACTCACTCACTCACACAGTCACTCACTCACTCACACAACCAGTCACACACTCACACAGTCACTCACTCACTCACACAACCAGTCACACACTCACACAGTCAGTCAGTCACTCACTCACACAACCAGTCACACACTCACACAGTCACTCACTCACTCACACAACCAGTCACACACTCACACAGTCAGTCACTCACTCACTCACACAACCAGTCACACACTCACACAGTCACTCACTCACTCACACAACCAGTCACACACTCACACAGTCAGTCACTCACTCACAGAGTCACTCACTCACACAACCAGTCACACACTCACACAGTCAGTCACTCACTCACTCACACAGTCATACACTCACTCACACATTCACTCACTCACTCACACAGTCACTCACACAGTCACTCACTCACTCACACAACCAGTCACACACTCACTCACACAGTCACTCACTCACTCACACAGTCATACACTCACTCACACATTCACTCACTCACTCACACAGTCACTCACTCACTCACACAACCAGTCACACACTCACTCACTCACACAACCAGTCACACACTCACACAGTCAGTCACTCACTCACTCACACAGTCATACACTCACTCACACAGTCACTCACTCACTCACACAACCAGTCACACACTCACACAGTCACTCACTCACTCACACAACCAGTCACACACTCACTCACTCACACAGTCACACACTCACTCACACAGTCATACACTCACTCACACAGTCACTCACTCACTCACACAGTCACTCACACAGTCACTCACTCACTCACACAACCAGTCACACACTCACACAGTCACTCACTCACTCACACAACCAGTCACACACTCACTCACTCACACAGTCACACACTCACTCACACAGTCATACACTCACTCACACAGTCACTCACTCACTCACACAGTCACTCACACAGTCACTCACTCACTCACACAACCAGTCACACACTCACACAGTCAGTCACTCACTCACTCACACAACCAGTCACACACTCACACAGTCAGTCACTCACTCACACAGTCATACACTCACTCACACATTCACTCACTCACTCACACAGTCACTCACACAGTCACTCACTCACTCACACAACCACTCACTCACTCACACAACCAGTCACACACTCACACAGTCACTCACTCACTCACACAGTCATACACTCACTTACTCACACAACCAGTCACACACTCACTCACTCACACAGTCACACACTCACTCACACAGTCATACACTCACTCACACATTCACTCACTCACTCACACAGTCACTCACACAGTCACTCACTCACTCACACAACCAGTCACACACTCACTCACACATTCACTCACTCACTCACACAGTCACTCACACATTCACTCACTCACTCACCCACTCACTCAGTCAGTCACTCACTCACTCACACAACCAGTCACACACTCACTCACTCACACAGTCACTCACTCACTCACACAACCAGTCACACACTCACTCACTCACACAGTCACACACTCACTCACACAGTCACTCACTCACTCACACAGTCACTCACACAGTCACTCACTCACTCACACAACCAGTCACACACTCACACAGTCAGTCACTCACTCACTCACACAGTCATACACTCACTCACACATTCACTCACTCACTCACACAGTCACTCACACAGTCACTCACTCACTCACACAACCAGTCACACACTCACACAGTCAGTCACTCACTCACTCACTCAGTCAGTCACTCACTCACTCACACAACCAGTCACACACTCACACAGTCAGTCACTCACTCACTCACACAACCAGTCACACACTCACTCACTCACACAACCAGTCACACACTCACACAGTCAGTCACTCACTCACTCACACAGTCACTCACTCACTCACACAACCAGTCACTCACTCACTCACACAGTCACACACTCACTTACTCACACAACCAGTCACACACTCACTCACACAACCAGTCACTCACTCACACAGTCACTCACTCACTCACACAGTCATACACTCACTCACTCACACATTCACTCACTCACTCACACAGTCACTCACTCACTCACACAACCAGTCACACACTCACACAGTCAGTCACTCACTCACTCACACAACCAGTCACTCACTCACTCACACAGTCACTCACTCACTCACACAGTCATACACTCACTCACACATTCACTCACTCACTCACACAGTCACTCACACAGTCACTCACTCACTCACACAACCAGTCACACACTCACACAGTCACTCACTCACTCACACAGTCATACACTCACTCACACATTCACTCACTCACTCACACAGTCACTCACACAGTCACTCACTCACTCACACAACCAGTCACTCACTCACTCACACAGTCACTCACTCACTCACTCACCCACTCACTCAGTCAGTCACTCACTCACTCACACAACCAGTCACACACTCACACAGTCAGTCACTCACTCACTCACACAGTCATACACTCACTCACACATTCACTCACTCACTCACACAGTCACTCACACAGTCACTCACTCACTCACACAACCAGTCACACACTCACACAGTCAGTCACTCACTCACTCACACAGTCATACACTCACTCACACATTCACTCACTCACTCACACAGTCACTCACACAGTCACTCACTCACTCACACAACCAGTCACTCACTCACTCACACAGTCACTCACTCACTCACCCACTCACTCAGTCAGTCACTCACTCACTCACACAACCAGTCGCACACTCACTCACTCACACAGTCACTCACTCGCTCACCCACTCACTCACACAGTCAGTCACTCACTCACTCACACAACCAGTCACACACTCACCCACACACTCACTCACATAGTCAGTCACTCACTCGCTCACTCACCCACTCACTCAACAACCAGTCACTCACTCACTCACACAGTCAGTCACTCACTCACCCACACACTCACTCACGCACACAGTCAGTCACACACTCACTCACCCACTCACTCGCACAGTCAATCACACACTCACTCACACAGTCAGTCACACACTCACTCAATCACTCACCCACTCACACACTCACTCACACAGTCAGTCACTCACTCACTCACTCTCCCACACACTCACAGAGTCAGTCACACACTCACAACACCCACCCACTCACTCTCACAGTCAGTCACACTCATTCACTCACTCACCCACTCACTCACTCGCACAGTCAGTCACACACTCACTCACTCGCCCACCCACTCATTCACAGTCAGTCACACACTCACCCACCCACTCACACAGTCAGTCACACACTCACTCACTCACCCACTCACAAACTTACTCGCACAGTCAGTCACACACTCACTCACTCACCCACCCACTCACTCACACAGTCAGTCAAACACTCACTCACTCACCCACTCAATCACTCACTCACACAGTCATTCACTCACTCACCCACTCACTCAGTCACCCAGTCACCCACCTTCTCACTCAGTCACCCAGTAACTCACACACCCACGCACTCACCAACTAACTCACACACTAACCCACCCACTCACCAACTAACTCACACACTAACCCACACACTCACCAACTAACTCACACACTAACCCACCCACTCACCAACTAACTAACACACTAACCCACCCACTCACCAACTAACTCACACACTAACCCACCCACTCACCAACTAACTCACACACTAATCAACCCACCCACTCACCCACTAACTCACGCACTAACCAACCCACCCACTCACCAACTAACTCACACACTAACCCACCCACTCACCAACTAACTCACACACTAACCCACCCACCCACTCACCCACTAACTCACACACTAACCCACCCACTCACCAACTAACTCACACACTAACTAACCCACTCACCCACTAACTCACACACTAACCCACCCACCCACTCACCAACTAACTCACACACTAACCCACCCACCCACTCACCAACTAACTCACACACTAACCCACCCACCCACTCACCAACTAACGCACACACTAACCCACCCACTCACCAACTAACTCACACACTAACCAACCCACCCACTCACCAACTAACTCACACACTAACCCACCCACTCACCAACTAACTCACACACTAACCCATCACTCACCAACTAACTCACACACTAACCCACCCACCCACTCACCAGTTAACTCACACACTAACCCACCCACCCACTCACCAACTAACTCACACACTAACCCACCCACTCACCAACTAACTCACACACTAACCCACCCACCCACTCACCCACTAACTCACACACTAACCAACCCACCCACTCACCAACTAACTCACACACTAACCCACCCACTCACCAACTAACTCACACACTAACCCACCCACCCAGTCACCCACTAACTCACACACTAACCCACCCACTCACCAACTAACTCACACACTAACCCACCCACCCACTTACCAACTAACTCACACACTAACCCACCCACCCAGTCACCCACTAACTCACACACTAACCCACCCACCCCGTCACCCACTAACTCACACACTAACCCACCCACTCACCAACTAACTCACACACTAACCCACTCACCAACTAACTCACACACTAACCCACCCACTCACCCACTAACTCACACACTAACCCACCCACTCACCCACTAACTCACACACTAACCCACCCACTCACCAACTAACTCACACACTAACCAACCCACCCACTCACCAACTAACTCACACACTAACCCACCCACCCACCCACTCACCAACTAACTCACACACTAACCCACCCACTCACCAACTAACTCACACACTAACCCACCCACCCACTCACCAACTAACTCACACACTAACCCACCCACTCACCAACTAACTCACACACTAACCCACCCACTCACCCACTAACTCACACACTAACCCACCCACCCACTCACCAACTAACTCACACACTAACCCACCCACCCACTCACCCACTAACTCACACACTAACCCACCCACTCACCAACTAACCCACACACTAACCCACCCACTCACCAACTAACTCACACACTAACCCACCCACCCACTCACCAACTAACTCACACACTAACCCACCCACTCACCCACTAACTCACACACTAACCCACCCACCCACTCACCAACTAACTCACACACTAACTCACCCACCCACTCACCAACTAACTCACACACTAACCCACCCACTCACCAACTAACTCACACACTAACCCACCCACCCACTCACCAACTAACTCACACACTAACCCACCCACTCACCCACTAACTCACACACTAACCCACCCACCCACTCACCAACTAACTCACACACTAACCCACCCACCCACTCACCAACTAACTCACACACTAACCCACCCACCCACTCACCCACTAACTCACACACTAACCAACCCACCCACTCACCAACTAACTCACACACTAACCCACCCACCCACTCACCAACTAACTCACACACTAACCCACCCACTCACCAACTAACTCACACACTAACCAACCCACCCACTCACCAACTAACTCACACACTAACCCACCCACCCACTCACCAACTAACTCACACACTAACCCACCCACCCACTCACCAACTAACTCACACACTAACCCACCCACCCACTCACCAACTAACTCACACACTAACCCACCCACCCACTCACCAACTAACTCACACACTAACCCACCCACCCACTCACCAACTAACTCACACACTAACCCACCCACCCACTCACCAACTAACTCACACACTAACCCACCCACCCACTCACCCACTAACTCACACACTAACCCACCCACTCACCACACTTCTCTTTCTCCTTCCCTCTCCGCCCTCATCTCACTCCACTCCCCTCCACGCTCTCTCCTGCCTCTCCCCTCTCATCCCACTCCACTCCCCTCCACGCTCTCTCCTGCCTCTCCCCTCTCATCTCACTCCGGTCTAATCACTGTGGTTGGGGCGGCTGACCCCGGATTGTAACCCAGGCTCTCAGTGGTGACAGCTCAGCGTCTCTGACCTCCGACCTCTGACCCCCCACCACCCGGCCTCCTCTGTACATTTTGCAACTCACGGGAATGCCTTGACGTCCCAGAGATCCCGGATCACCGATCGATCCAAAGTGACCCTGAAGGAAGCATACAGAGTCCATGAATTCAAAGGGACGAGACGGAGCGGCCTCACCCATTGAGTGGAGACATCGGCACAGAGGACATCGGTTGCTGGAGAGGAGACAGCGTGTGGAGGGGTGGAGTGAGATGAGAGGGGAGAGGCAGGAGAGAGCGTGGAGGGGGGTGGAGTGAGATGAGAGGGGAGAGGCAGGAGAGAGCGTGGATGGGGGTGAGATGAGAAGGGAGAGGCAGGAGAGTGCGTGGAGTGGAGTGAGATGAGAGGGGAGAGGCAGGAGAGTGAGTTGAGGGGGTGGAGTGAGATGAGAGGGGAGAGGCAGGAGAGAGCGTGGAGGGGATTAGAGTGAGATGAGAGGGGAGTAGAGTGAGATGAGAGGCAGGAGAGAGCGTGGAGGGGGGTGGAGCTGTGAGCGCCTCTGCCAAGGGCTCCCCATTGAGCGACTTCGCTCCGACTCACCGGAACTCCCTTCTCTCCAGGTGGACCTGGCGACCCCATAAACCCTCGGGCTCCCTGGCAACAACAACAACAACAAAGGAAACCAACAAGTTCCCAGCGGCCCCGCGTACATCGCCACGTGCTGCAGAGTGAGCGGAGTTTGTTCGTTCTCCCCCTGGCTCTGCACGGACTCCCCGGTTCCCCGCGCCACAGCAAAAATAAACCCCACACAGCGCAAGCCAGCATTGGTCAGACATCCCGATGCTGAACAGAGGCACACTGTTGCAATGGCAGTGGCAGCAACATGGCTCCACCCCTCCTTCTCTTACTGTTGAAACCTGGCCGGGCCCTCCAGACAAAGCGTCTTGAGACTCGCCGAGTCGGTTTCGCAGGTAGTAGTAGTCGTAGTAGTAGGAGAGTGAGTTCAACACGGAGGAGAAGCAGTAGTCGGCTTTCCCAAGCAATCCGTAACAGAGGTGTTTTTTCGTTTTAATATTCTTGGTTCTTTCGGTAAAGTCACCGCCGCGTAGAAGGGAAACAATAAAATAATAAAAATATAAAACAGTAAAATTCTCACGACGTTTCGACTGCAACACAAGAAGCAATCATCATCAGGTGTGAAGACCACTGCAAGAACATTTGAAAAGAGTGGCGGTTTTTTGTTTAAAGTCAGCACCACGGAGAGCGATTTAGCAGTCATTCAGATGGACGAGTCCATCTATGTTCGGAAAAGAGGAGGGGGGAGACGAAAATAATGGATGCGGTCTGAGAATTTTATTCTTTTTATATTTTTATTATTTTATTGTTTCCCTTCTACGTGGTGGTGGCTTTACCGAAAGAACTAAGAATATGAATCCCTGCAGTCACGAAAGCTTTCAATCAAGAGGCGTTTGTTGTTGTTGTTGTTGCGGGAATCGAACTCGGGACGCCGGGTTCGTCGCGCAGCGCCGCGCTAACCGCCGCTGCACCGCCGCTCCTCGCTTCACGCACAACGCACGCAACGACACACACGCCCCCTGCCTGCATCCATCCGGTCCAAAAACGTCGGATCTGCCTCGCAGACACGAAGGGATTTACGCTTCCGTTCCTTTCTGTTGCTTCTTGATGCTGGTGGAGACGACTTTTCTGAGAGGGTTGGCCTACGAAGCGACGGGTCTGCGCCGACACTCACCGCGCTCACCGCACGCTCCCCACGCTCACCGCGTTCACCGCATGCTCATCACGCTCACCGCACGCTCCCCACGCTCACCGCGTTCACCACGCTCCCCACACTCACCGCGCTCACCGCACGCTCCCCACGCTCACCGCGTTCACCACGCTCCCCACACTCACCACGCTCACAGCACGCTCACCACGTTCGCCACGCTCACTACGCTCACCACGCTCACCACACTCACCACGCTCACCGCACGCTCACCGACGCTCACCGCACGCTCACCGCACGCTCACTGCACGCTCACCGCGTTCACTGACGCTCACCGCGTTCATCACACTCACCACACTCACCGCACGCTCCCCACGCTCACCGCGTTCACCGCATGCTCACCACGCTCACCGCACGCTCCCCACGCTCACCGCGTTCACCACGCTCCCCACACTCACCACGCTCACAGCACGCTCACCACGTTCGCCACGCTCACTACGCTCACCACGCTCACCACACTCACCACGCTCACCGCACGCTCACCACGTTCGCCACGCTCACTACGCTCACCACGCTCCCCACACTCACCACGCTCACAGCACGCTCACCACGTTCGCCACGCTCACTACGCTCACCACGCTCACCACACTCACCACGCTCACCGCACGCTCACCGACGCTCACCGCACGCTCACTGCACGCTCACTGCATGCTCACCGCGTTCACTGACGCTCACCGCGTTCATCACACTCACCGCACGCTCCCCACGCTCACCGTACGCTCACCGTACGCTCACCACGCTCACCGACACTTACCACGCTCACCGCCCGCTCACCGCGTTCACCGTACGCTCACCGTACGCTACGTTCACCGACGCTCACTACGCTCACCGCACGTTCACTACGCTCCCCACGCTCAACGCGTTCACCGACGCTCACCTCGCTCACCACGCTCACCACGCTGACCGCACGCTCACCACGCTCACCACACTCACCACGCTCACCACGTTCGCCATGCTCACCACACTCACCACGCTCACCACACTCACCACGCTCACCACACTCACCACGCTCACCACACTCACCACGCTCACCACACTCACCACGCTCACCGCGCTCACCAGACCGAGTTGTCGTTTTGTTCGTGGCGTGCGGCGTCGTTCCAAGCGCCGTGCCGAAATTGGACCGTTCGGCGCGGCGATTCGGCTCGTGGCGAATTACTACGACACCGTGCGTGTGTGTGCCGAAAGGGCGGCCGTGCCGAATTACCCCCCAATTACGAATTCTCACATAATGAGGTTTTACTGCGATAAATAAAAACCAGATTCTTTACCTTCTGTCCAACTTGACCCATCCTCCCCATGCGCCCAAGATTGCCCAATGGGCCCTGCGAAGAAACGGAGTTCACAATTTAGGGCGGTCATCATCATCATCATATTTTTTGGGTCTTTCGTTAAAGTCACGCATGTAGGTTCAAAGAAGATAACAAAAATAACAAAAAACTACGACGTTTTTTTTTCTTTGAACCTTTCTACGCGATTCATCTTCTTTGGTTCTTTCGGTAAAGTCCCCGCCACGTAGAATGAGAATAAAGTAATAAATTAATAAAAATAAAGTAACACAACAAAATTCTCACGACGTTTCGGCCACAACACAAGTGGCCTTCATCAGGTGAAGGGACGAGACTGTCTTCTTCCCGTCACCTGATGACGAGACAGCCTCGTCCCTTCACCTGATGAAGGCCACTTGTGTTGTGGCCGAAACGTCGTGAGAATTTTATTGCGCTACTTTATTTTATTAATTTATTATTTTATTCTCGTTCTACGTGGTGACTTTACCGAAAGAACCAAAGAAGATGAACTCCTGCAGCCACTAAAGCTTTAAGTCAAGATCATTATCGTAATCGACAATCTTCTCCTCCAGTCGACGTCACAATCACAATTGCTGCAATCTTCACCAACAAGATCGATCATCGTTATCACTCATCATAAATCATCATTCATTTCCCATCACTCTCATCATCATCATCATATCTATCATCAATCATCATATATATCTTATCATCATATATTTCTCATCATCATCATCATCAAATAACCATCATCACTCCCACCCCCATCATCATCACTGTCAACATAATCATCAATCATCATCATCATCAACCATATCTCAAATCACTCTTCGAAGTCGTCGGATGTACTGGGGGATCGTCAGATCTAACGTTGATTTCCAAATTCAATTGGCTAGAAGAAGCTGCTGCTCCCGGCAGGCAGAGCGAAACGTCGGACTTCAACAACAACCAAGGAACGTTGGCACAACCAGTAAGATGTTAACTCCCTCGCCTGGCATACAGGAGGTGGTGGGTTCGATCCCGACCCAGAAACCTTGGGAGTTTGCGGTGTCTCCCTCCCTCTCTGTCTCCACATTTTCCTTTGCTCTTTCCACATTGCGAATCAACGTCACAACGCGTTAAAGAGGATTTGGCTGCCGCCACGAATATCCACGTGCTGATGACGATCAGCCACTTCGCTGAAGCCGTCGTTTGGGATGGCCAGGCCGCTTCTGTGACAAAGGTTCTAAGCGGCAGCTCGGAAGCGGGCCCGAGCTGGTGAAAATATAAAAAATAATAATCAGAGGATGAGTTTAGTTTCGTAGTCTAGCTCAGCCCGGCGGAAGCGCACGCGGGCGGTGAGCTACGAGCGGGTGAGCTGCCGCACGCGCGGACTCACCGGGTCTCCGCCGGACCCCACCGGGCCTGCGTCACCCTGCTCCCCCTGTCAACAACCGTCAACAACAACAGCAGCAGCAGCAGCAGGGAAAACAACAACAACAACAACAGCCATTCGCCACTAAATGCTATTGTGAAGTCACCGCAGTGCTTTTGCCATGCTATCAACCGCACATCCGTTTGGGATGGCTGCCTCCATATGGTGCGAAAGAAGTTCAACATAAATACTGCCCACAGACTCAACACTGCCCATAGACTCAACACTACCTATAGACTCAACACTACCCATAGACTCAACACTGCCCACAGACTCAACACTACCCATAGACTCAACACTGCCCATAGACTCAACACTACCCATTGACTCAACACTGCCCGTAGACTCAACACTATCCCATAGACTCAACACTGCCCGTAGACTCAACACTGCCCGTAGACTCAACACTACCCATAAACTCAACACTGCCCATAGACTCAACACTACCCACAGACTCAACACTGCCCGTAAGACTCAACACTATCCCATAGACTCAACACTGACTGAATACTATTAGCAGCAGCAGGCATGTCGCAATAAGACGAGTTACCTTTGGGCCGAGCAGTCCGCTCGCGCCAGACATTCCCTTCCTCCCCCGGAGGCCCTGCAGAACAGCAGAGCGCTCTTTGGAACCAGACACCGCGCGGACGCGGCGCCCTGCCCAGCAGCAGAGCGGACGACGAGGACGGACACCCGGGGCGAGACCGAGGGACGGAGCGCGTCCCCGACAGGACGCACGTGGTGTGTCTGTGTGTCCGTGTGTCGTCGTGGTGTGTCTGTGTGTGTCCGTGTGTCGTCGTGGGGAGCGATGGTGCAGCGGTTAGCGCTACGCTGCGCTACGAACCCGGCTACGACACGAGTTCGATTCCCGTTCACGGCCACCACCGGTGACGATTATCTGAACCGGTCCTGGGCCTCCTTCCCTAGATCGACTCAGCATCAACCGAGTACCCGGTGCGGTGTGTAGTAAACGACGCCGCCGGGGAGACAAAGGCGGCCGGGCGTGGTGCTGGACACACCCACCACCTCGTGTGCCTCAGTGCCGGCCTTTGTAGGCGCTCGCTAACAGCACTTGCCCCTACAGTCTAGTCAGGCTACACGGGGGATCTTTGTGTGTGCGTGGAGCGTGAGGAGCGGTGGTGCAGCGGTTAGCGCTACGCAGCGCTACGAACCCGGCTACGACCCGAGTTCGATGCCCGCTCACGACGAATAACAGTGGCGAATATCTGAACCGATGGAACAGATGGGGAGTAATCCACACTTCTCCCGGCAGAGCCAGGGGCACGGCTCCTACTCGACACCCACCCACGGGTCAGAAGGGAGTTTCGCAACAACAACAGCAACAACAACAACCACATCTGTGTGGTGATTCACCAAGCCTCGCACAGGCCACGCCACGCAATTATTCAGCGTCGGGTGGCGGGGGGGGGCAACTTTTAATGACGGGGAAACAATTTTTTGATGCTCGGACCGTTGCGCCACCAGCGAAACATTTCACGAAAACAAACGATCGCCCCCATCGCCCCCGCCAACCCTACCCCGGAACGGAGCGACGACGACAACGTCACCAACGTTGCAGTGACGGCGGGGGTTAACGTTGCGTGAAGTGCGTCGTTACCGTCAAGCCGGGCTTGCCAGGTGGTCCCGTGGGTCCTTGGTCACCCTAGGCGAGACGAACGCAACGCAGGGAAGAGAGCCACGGTGATGTACGTGTGTGTGTGTAGTGGTGTGTGTGTGTAGTGGTGTGTGTGTGTGGTGGTGTGTGTGTGTGGTGGTGTGTAGTGGTGTGTGTAGTGGTGTGTGTGTAGTGGTGTGTGTAGTGGTGTGTGTAGTGGTGTGTGTGTGTAGTGGTGTGTGTGTAGTGGTGTGTGTGTAGTGGTGTGTGTGTGTAGTGGTGTGTGTGTAGTGGTGTGTGTGTGTGTAGTGGTGTGTGTGTGTAGTGGTGTGTGTAGTGGTGTGTGTCACATCCCCACAACTCAGTGGCCCGTGATCACAAATCTCTATTTAACTCCATCAAAAAAGTAACCTGCAGCGCCACACCTATTACCATCATTAGGGGAAAAAAACGGTGATCCAATCTCCGACCCCCAGGAACAGGTTTGCAGATTTGCTGAGCATTTCTGTAAGGTCCTGGGGGAGGGAAAATCCCTCAGCCAGGAAAACATCATGGCACAAAGTGAGGATGACCCTGCTGAGGCTGCGGTGCCTCAAATATTGGGAGAAGTCACCCCCTGTGAGTGGCTGGCTGAGGTGCCATCTGTTGAGGAAGTACTGAAGGCGATCCGGAGTCTGAGACCAGGAAAGGCAGCGGGCAGAGATGATCTCCCAAGCGAAATGCTGAGGGAGGGTGGCGTTTGTGCACAGACTGCCCTATATGACATCATAACAACAGTCTGGACCACTGGACGGGTTCCACAGGATTGGAAGGATGCCCTGGTGGTCCCCCTTTTTAAGAAGGGAGACCGCACAGACTGTAACAACTACAGGAGCATCTCACTCCTCAGTGTGCCGGGAAAGGTCCTGGCAAGGATTATTCAGCATCGCATTGCCAGGCACGCTGAGGAGAGGCTTGCAGAGCCCCAATGCGGTTTCAGAAAAGGGCGGTCCTGCACAGATGCCATATTTTCTGTCCGTCTGCTACAGCAGAGGTGTAGGGAATTCCAACAAGACCTACATCTCTGCTTTATTGACCTGGTCAAGGCCTATGATACCATCAGTAGGCCTGGGCTCTGGGTCGTTCTTCGTGCTTTTGGAGTACCTGACCCTCTGCTCACGATCATTAAGGACCATCATGATGGTGAGCGGGCCCGGGTAAAACTACGTGGCCGGGAGTCAGAGCCATTCCCTGTACACCTTGGGGTGCGACAGGGATGTCCTCTGGCTCCCACATTATTTAACATCTATTTTGACCACGTAGTTCGTGAAGCCTTCAATAGCTGTACCGGGGGAATCTCCATATGGTACAGATATAATGGGAGGCTGATCGATGCCCGGGTGCGGTCAAGGGATGGCTCCCTATTGCTCAACCACGTTTTGTATGCTGATGATTTGGTAATAGCTGCTCAGTCAGAGGAGGAGTTGGAGATGCTGCTGCTGAGACTGGAGCGTGCCACTAAGAGGTGGGGCCTTACCATCAGCCCCACCAAAACTAGGCACCTGCCTGGGTATTTTGTACCATCGGACACTCCATCCCCACAACTCCCAATCGGTGGTGGGGCAGTTGTGGAGAGAGTGGAGAGTTTCCCATACCTGGGCAGTGTGCTTATGACTAGCTCCAGTTTAACAGCAGAGGTCTCACTCCGAATCAGCCGAGCGGCAATATATTTTCATCGGTTGCGTAACGCTGTGTGGAAGCTACCTGGTCTGTCGCTCCACACTAAGCTTCAGGTCTTCTCGGCCACGGTCATTCCCTCCCTTCTCTACGCTTGCGAAACGTGGACCCCCCTGGTGGAGCATCTTCACCGGTTGGAGACATTTAGGCTGGCCTGCCTACGATCCATCCTGGGTTTAACCAAACTGGATTGTGTGAGGAGCTCACAAATCCTTGAAAGATCTGGGCAGGGTCCCATCGGTGAGCTCCTCCGGCGGGCAAGGCTGCGATGGCTGGGTCATGTAGCCCGCATGCCCAGCCACCGCATGCCGAAACAGCTTTTGTTCGGCCGGATTGAGGGGGCTGGGCGGGCGCGGCACGGGCTAGAGAAGAGATGGAGTGATGTGGTACAGGAGGACGTGGAGCTGAGTGGACTTGCCGATGACTGGTACCAGCGGTGTCAAGATCGGCCTCTGTGGAGGAGGCTCGTGAAGGATGCTACTGGGCAGTTGGAGGTAGTCGCCCTCCAACAACAACAGAGGGCAGAGGAGCGACGCTCAGAACAACGAGCGGAGCGCCGGGTGGCTAAAGCACAGCAGGTTGGCACAGTAGGGGGCACAGGTGGTGCATCAGCCAGTCATCTCAGTTAGTCGACCCGTGGCACCTGGGTCTGCCCCGTGACCTGCCAGCGGGCGTTCGACACTTCACGTGGCCTCAGGGTGCACATAGCCTGGCACAAGCGTCGTGGTGACGTCACCGCCACTTAGTGGCGAATGGCGGTTGTTGTTGTTGTGTGTAGTGGTGTGTGTAGTGGTGTGTGTGTGTAGTGGTGTGTGTGTGTGTGTAGTGGTGTGTGTAGTGGTGTGTGTGTGTGTAGTGGTGTGTGTGTGTTATGAACCTGGCGACCCGGGTTCGATTCCCGCTCACGGCCAACACCAGTGACGATTATCTGAACCGGTCCCGGGCCTCCCCTAGGTCGACTCAGCCTCAAATGAGTACCTGGTGCGGTGTGTAAACATTGCCACTGGGGAGACAAAGGCGGTCGGGCGTGGTGCTGGCTGCCCACCCCCTCGTGTACCGATCCGGCCTTCATAGGTGCTCGCTAACAGCACTTGCCCCTACAGTCTGTTAAGGCTATACGGGGGATCTTTGATCTTTGTGTACACACAGGCACTCCTCTGCTTACGAACGGGTTAGGTTCCAGAGGTTTATCTGTTCGTAACGCGATTCGTTCGTAAGTCCCAACTTTAATCCTGTCAATTCCAAGCGCGTTGTACGGCGCGAAGACGAAACACAGGGCATGGCTTTAACAGTTGTATCAACTCGTGATCATATACTGGTTCTTCACGTTTTGTAGATGTAGATGACACTGGTTCTTGACGTTCTGCAGATATAGATGCCACTGGTTCTTCAAGTTCTGTAGATGTAGATGTCACTGGTTCTTGACGTTCTGCAGATGTAGATGCCACTGGTTCTTCACGTTCTGCAGATGTAGATGCCACTGGTTCTTCACCTTCTACAGATGTAGATGTCACTGGTTCTTCACGTTCTGCAGATGTAGATGTCACTGGTTATTTAGTTCAACAGGTGTAGATGCCACTGGCTCTTCACGTTCTGCAGATGTAGATGCCACTGGTTCTTCACGTTATGCAGATGTTACTGGTTCTTCACGTTCTGCAGATGTAGATGCCACTGGTTCTTCACGTTCTGCAGATGTAGATGGCACCACCGCCATCTATTGCGCGGCGGTTGAACTCACGACTCTCGGTCCGAACGGGCAACTGGACATACGAACAGGTTTGTTCGTGTCTCTGGAAGTTCATAAGTCTGATGTTCCGAAGTAGAGGAGCACCTGTATATATACACACACGTATATTATGTATGTACGTTGATAGTATGCATGTTGAACTTCTTTCGCACCACTGTACGTAGCCTATGGGTAGTGTCAGTCTTAGGGCAGATCCCTACGTGACGTGCCAACCCTCGCGTTTCCAAAGTTACTGACCTCTTGACCCTGACCTCCGAGCGGTCCCAGAAATCCCCTTGCCCCAGGAAGTCCCTTGAAAAAGTACAAAACAAGGACAACGACATCAACCATATAACCCTGAAACCGTACTTGCAGGCAGGAACAATAACTCATAGCTTGCGCAAAGAAGTTCCTCTACAAAATTAACCCTTCCCCATTCCGATGACGTACTGATGACATCAGTTCACTTGCCCACTCGATCAATCATCCACTTACTCACCCACCCGTTCGTTCGTTCGCTCGCTCGCCCACTCACTCATTCACTCACTCACCCACTCAATCACTGGATCAACCGCCCAATCATCCACTCACCCACTCATTCGCTCACCCACCTACTCACTAACTCGCCCACTCAAACAACAATTCACGCACTCGCCCACTCACACTTTCACTTACTCCTTCACTCACTCACTTAATCAACCGCCCAATCACCTACTCACTCGCTCGCTCGCTCACTCACTCACTCATCCACCCACTCACCCCGGTCGCTCAAATCAAGCACTGGAGCGACCGGACTCCTGGCCGCGACGCGAAGACTCGTGCCCTTTCCCCAAGCGGGGACTCCTCACTCGATGCCGGGCAGGACACCGATCACAACAAATCGGATGGGGGGGGGGGGGGGTGCGGTCGACATTGCGGAGGAAGAACGACCCCCCACCCCCGGCAAATAAAAACAACGACAGAAAAAAGACGCGCTCCCACCTTCGGTCCTTCGGGACCATTGGGTCCAGGGAGTCCGATGTCTCCGGGAAAACCCTGATGGGGACACAGGGGAGGACAATCACGCGCCGCGCGCCGGACCCCCGTGACGCGTGCCCAACGCGCGCTCCTGCGAGTGCATCACACGGATTACACGACGAGTCCAATCGGCGAAGGGGAGCGTTGCGTCTCGGTGTGGCCGGCACCGCCCGCACCGTGTCCGCTCCTCGCTCTCGTAGGGAGAGGAGAGAGAGAGGACGACTCAGAGAGAGGGGACGACTCAGAGATAGAGAGAGAGAGAGAGGATGACTCAGAGAGAGAGAGAACGACTCAGAGAGAGAGGACGACTCAAAGAGAGGGGACGACTCAGAGATAGAGAGAGAGAGAGAGGATGACTCAGAGAGAGAGAGAGAACGACTCAGAGAGAGAGGACGACTCAGAGAGAGGGGACAACTCAGAGAGAGAGAGAGGACGACTCAGAGAGAGAGAGAACGACTCAGAGAGAGAGAACGACTCAGAGAGAGAGGGAGAACGACTCAGAGAGAGAGGACGACTCAGAGAGAGAGAGGGAGAACGACTCAGAGAGAGAGGACGACTCAGAGAGAGAGAACGACTGAGAGAGATGACGACTCAGAGAGAGAGGATGACTCAGAGAGAGAGGACGACTCAGATAGAGAGGACGACTCAGAGAGACAGAGGACGACTCAGACAAAGACAGAAGACTCAGAGAGGGAGAGAGAGGGGGACGACTCAGAGGCAGCAGGAGAAGGAACCACAGACGAGGAGCGGGAGAAAACCCACGCATGCAAGGGGGAAACGCTCGATCCCTTAGACGGAACAGGTGGAGTCCACGTTTTGCTCAGTACCGCCCTCTCCTGACAGAGCCGGGGCACGGCCCTTCGACGCCCACCCACGCGTGGATAGGGAGCTTCACAGCCACAATCTGTGCGGTGATCCACTAACCCCTCGCTGCTGCCTCCACAGTGATGGATCACAGTACAGAGACATGTCATGTGCAGCACCAGTGTAGCCACCACCACCATCACCACCACCAGCACCACAACCACCAACACGACTGTAATCACCGCCACCACCAGCACCACCACCGGCACCACGACCACCGTCACCACCACCACCATCACCAGCGCCACCACCACCAGCACCACCACCATCACCAAAAACACCATCACCACCACTACCACCATCACCGCCACTACCACCATCACCGCCACCACCGCCACCATCACCATCACCGCAACCACCATCACCGCCACTACCATCACCGCCACTACCACCGTCACCACCAGCACCACCACCGCCCAGTTAATAATCCGACCACCCACTGCAGACGGACGCCATGGAGGGGATACAACTGTAAAGACTGCATGCAGGGAAGGCAGAAACCTGCTTGCTGTACTGCCTCCTGCCGGCCTGCTCAGTTACCTCGGGTCCCTGCGGTCCTGCCGGGCCCACGAGGCCTTTGTCTCCGTCGATGCCCTGGCGATTCAAGAGTGACGCACACAACAACCATTACTAAAGTGCAACAACAACCATTACTACAGTGCAACAACAACCATTACTACAGTGCAACAACAACCATTACTACAGTGCAACAACAACCATTACTACAGTACAACAACGATTACTACAGTACAACAACCATTACGAGAGTACAACAGCCATATTGAGTCTATAGGTAGTGTTGAGTCTATGGGCAGTGTTGAGTCTATGGGCAGTGTTCAGTCTATGGGCAGTGTTGAGTCTATGGGCAGTGTTGAGTCTATGGACAGTGTTGAGTCTATGGGCAGTGTTGAGTCTATGGGTAGTGTTGAGTCTATAGGTAGTGTTGAGTCTATGGGCAGTGTTGAGTCTATGGGCAGTGTTGAGTCTATGGGTAGTGTTGAGTCTATGGGTAGTGTTGAGTCTATGGGCAGTGTTGAGTCTATGGGCGGTGTTGAGTCTATGGGTAGTGTTGAGTCTATGGGCAGTGCAGAGTCTATGGTACACTGTAGAGTCTATGGGCAGTGTTGAGTCTATGGGCAGTGTTGAGTCTATGGGCAGTGTTGAGTCTATGGGCAGTGTTGAGTCTATGGGCAGTGTTGAGTCGAAAATGCGTTATTTCGATTCCAAAATGTGGAGAGAAAAACCGAAGGGCCCGGAGAAAAAATCCACTCGACCATGGGGAGAGACAGAGATAGAGAGAGAGACGCAAATTCCAAATATACAGCAGCAGCAGGCGTCAGGGTTTGGATTGAACCCATGACCTCCTGCATACCGGGCGAGGTAGTTAACATCTCCTAGCCACTGACGGCCAAGCTGCCACCCCGGGCTAGGACGTCACGCCGATGGTGACCGCATCTACTGAACGGTCCCCCCCCCGACCCCCCGTTTCATCATCTGCTGGACAAAATAATTTCGCGGGGAGGGGGGCGAAAGAGAACCGCCACCCCAGTCGAGTGAGGGCGGGGTGGCGGAGGCGCTCCGACCCGACCGTGTGGGCATCCGTCCATCCGCAAAACAGCCGACAAACAAAGCGAGCTATGCAGAGTTAAGCCTGCATGTTGCTTGGAGGGGAGTGGAGTGAGATGAGAGGGGAGAGGCAGGAGACTGCGTGGAGGGGAGTGGAGTGAGATGAGAGGGGCGAGGCAGGAGAGAGCGTGGAGGGGAGTAGAGTGAGATGAGAGGGGAGAGGCAGGAGACTGCGTGGAGGGGAGTGGAGTGAGATGAGAGGGGAGAGGCAGGAGACTGCGTGGAGGGGAGTGGAGTGAGATGAGAGGGGAGAGGCAGGAGAGTGAGTGGAGGGAAGTGGAGTGAGATGAGAGGGGACAGGCGGGCAGGGGTTGAGTTCCTGGAGGATCGTGAAGCGCGTGGGCAGCGATGCAATCATTAAGTGATCAGTAAGTGGGGATCGGTGCGATCATTCAGTGATCAGTAAGTGATCAGTAAGTGGGCAGCGGTTCGATCAGTCAGTGATCAGTCAGTGATCAGTAAGTGGGCAGCGGTGCGATCAGTCAGTCGGCAGGAAGAACTCACAGCGAGCCCAACGTTGCCGCGGGGTCCTGGGAGGCCGGGAATGCCCTGATATCCCTGTGAACGCGACACAGAGAGAGGGAGGGAGAGGAAGGGAATCCATCAGGGCAGTGAACACGGCCGCCTTGCATTCCACAGTATCGTGGTTGGTAGCCGAGCCGAGTAACTCCGCTCGTAACCACCGGAATTCCGGGTGTTGTGATGGGTAGCCATGCGCAATGTAACGCTACGGCGGCAAGCAGATGTGAACTACCTCGTCTGGTATACAGGTCGCGTGTTCGAACCTGACCCAGACCGGAACGCCTGCTGTGTGTCTCGAGTTTAGAAGTTCTTCTCTCCCCGTGGTCGCGTGGATTCTACTCCGGGTCCTCCGGTTGTTTTCCCCCTCCTCGTTTAGAATCGACATCGCGAGTTTGGGCCGCTGTGCATTTCCACACGATGATGATGATGAGACACGTAATTGAGGCGATAATTTGCGATAGCTAGGGTCGCTTCTGGAAAAAAAGCTAAATAGCTCAGTGGGGGCTTACCTGGTAAAAGCAAAAACATTTTGACATTTTTTATTAGGTTTACATTGCTGCGATGAGAGTCCATACCTGTCAACCTCTTATCAGTGCCCTACCTTATTACAGACCAATTCAGACCATATTGGTCACCCCGTGCCAGTATAAATCTCAATGTTCCATCACAAGGGAGAAACACAAACAAACACACCAACAACAACATATGTTGCCCGTACTGAAACGGCTGTACGCCATATGGATGTCAAAACTACATTTTCCTGCACAAGAATACGGAGGAAACCGGGTGGGCCCCCTGCTGGCTTTGAAGAACCACCGCCAGTCTAGATTACTAAATTAGTGAAGAACCACCGCCTGTCTAGATTATTAAATTAGTGAAGAACCACCGCCAGTCTAGATTACTAAATTAGTGAAGAACCACCGCCAGTCTAGATTACTAAATTAGTGAAGAACCACCGCCAGTCTAGATTACTAAATTAGTGAAGAATCACCGCCAGTCTAGATTACTAAATTAGTGAAGAACCACCGCCAGTCTAGATTACTAAATTAGTGAGGAACCACCGCCTGTCTAGATTACTAAATTAGTGAAGAACCACCACCTCTCTAGATTACTAAATTAGTGAGAAACCACCGCCAGTCTAGATTACTAAATTAGTGAAGAACCACCGCCAGTCTAGATTACTAAATTAGTGAAGAACCACCGCCAGTCTAGATTACTAAATTAGTGAAGAACCACCGCCAGTCTAGATTACTAATTTAGTGAAGAACCAACGCCTGTCTAGATTATTAAATTAGTGAAGAACCACCGGCAGTCTAGATTACTAAATTAGTGAAGAACCACCGCCTGTATAGATTACTAAATAAGTGAAGAACCACTGCCTGTCTAGATTACTACATTAGTGAAGAACCACCGCCAGTCTAGATTACTAAATTAGTGAAGAACCACCGCCAGTCTAGATTACTAAATTAGTGAAGAACCACCACCAGTCTACATTATTAAATTAGTGAAGAACCACCACCTGTTTAGATTGCTAAATTAGTGAAGAACCACCGCCTCTCCAGATGACTAAATTAGTGAAGAACCACCGCCAGTTTAGATTACTAAATTAGTGAAGAACCACCGCCTGTCTAGATTACTAAATTAGTGAAGAACCACCACCTGTCTTGATTACTAAATTAGTGAAGAACTACCGCCTGTCTAGATTACTAAATTAGTGAAGAACCACCGCCAGTCTAGATTACTAAATTAGTGAAGAACCACCGCTAGTCTAGATTACTAAATTAGTGAAGAACCCCCGCTGGTCTAGATTACTAAATTAGTGAAGAACCACCACCTGTCTAGATTACTAAATTAGTGAAGAACCACTGCCTGTCTAGATTACTAAATTAGTGAAGAACCACCACCTGTCTAGATTACTAAATTAGTGAAGAACCACCGCCAGTCTAGATTACTAAATTAGTGAAGAATCACCGCCAGTCTAGATTACTAAATTAGTGAAGAACCACCGCCAGTCTAGATTACTAAATTAGTGAGGAACCACCGCCTGTCTAGATTACTAAATTAGTGAAGAACCACCACCTCTCTAGATTACTAAATTAGTGAGAAACCACCGCCAGTCTAGATTACTAAATTAGTGAAGAACCACCGCCAGTCTAGATTACTAAATTAGTGAAGAACCACCGCCAGTCTAGATTACTAAATTAGTGAAGAACCACCGCCAGTCTAGATTACTAATTTAGTGAAGAACCAACGCCTGTCTAGATTATTAAATTAGTGAAGAACCACCGGCAGTCTAGATTACTAAATTAGTGAAGAACCACCGCCTGTATAGATTACTAAATAAGTGAAGAACCACTGCCTGTCTAGATTGCTAAATTAGTGAAGAACCACCGCCAGTCTAGATTACTAAATTAGTGAAGAACCACCGCCAGTCTAGATTACTAAATTAGTGAAGAAACACCACCAGTCTACATTATTAAATTAGTGAAGAACCACCACCTGTTTAGATTGCTAAATTAGTGAAGAACCACCGCCTCTCCAGATGACTAAATTAGTGAAGAACCACCGCCAGTTTAGATTACTAAATTAGTGAAGAACCACCGCCTGTCTAGATTACTAAATTAGTGAAGAACCCCCGCTGGTCTAGATTACTAAATTAGTGAAGAACCACCACCTGTCTAGATTACTAAATTAGTGAAGAACCACTGCCTGTCTAGATTACTAAATTAGTGAAGAACCACCACCTGTCTAGATTACTAAATTAGTGAAGAACCACCACATGTCTAGATTACTAAATTAGTGAAGACCTACCGCCTGTCTAGATTACTAAATTAGTGAAGAACCACCGCTGGTCTAGATTACTAAATTAGTGAAGAACCACCGGCAGTCTAGATTACTAAATTAGTGAAGAACCACCACCAGTCTAGATTACTAAATTAGTGAAGAACCACCGCTAGTCTAGATTACTAAATTAGTGAAGAACCACCGCTGGTCTAGATTACTAAATTAGTGAAGAACCACCGCCTGTCTAGATTACTAAATTAGTGAAGAACCACTGCCTGTCTAGATTACTACATTAGTGAAGAATCACCGCCTGTCTAGATTACTAAATTAGTGAAGAACCACCGCCAGTCTAGATTACTAAATTAGTGAAGAACCACCACCAGTCTAGATTACTAAATTAGTGAAGAACCACCGCCAGGCTAGATTACTAAATTAGTGAAGAACCACCGCCAGTCTATATTACTAAATTAGTGAAGAACCACCGCCAGTCTAGATGACTAAATTAGTGAAGAACCACCGCCAGTTTAGATTACTAAATTAGTGAAGAACCACCGCCAGTCTAGATGACTAAATTAGTGAAGAACCACGGCCTGTCTAGATTACTAAATTAGTGAAGAACCACCGCCTGTCTAGATTACTAAATTAGTGAAGAACCACCACCTGTCTTAATTACTAAATTAGTGAAGAACTACCGCCTGTTTAGATTACTAAATTAGTGAAGAACCACCGCCAGTCTAGATTACTAAATTAGTGAAGAACCACCGCTAGTCTAGATTACTAAATTAGTGAAGAACCACCGCTGGTCTAGATTACTAAATTAGTGAAGAACCACCACCTGTCTAGATTACTAAATTAGTGAAGAACCACTGCCTGTCTAGATTACTAAATTAGTGAAGAACCACCACCTGTCTAGATTACTAAATTAGTGAAGAACCACCACATGTCTAGATTACTAAATTAGTGAAGACCAACCGCCTGTCTAGATTACTAAATTAGTGAAGAACCACCGCTGGTCTAGATTACTAAATTAGTGAAGAACCACCGGCAGTCTAGATTACTAAATTAGTGAAGAACCACCACCAGTCTAGATTACTAAATTAGTGATGAACCACCGCTAGTCTAGATTACTAAATTAGTGAAGAACCACGGCTGGTCTAGATTACTAAATTAGTGAAGAACCACCGCCTGTCTAGATTACTAAATTAGTGAAGAACCACTGCCTGTCTAGATTACTACATTAGTGAAGAATCACCGCCTGTCTAGATTACTAAATTAGTGAAGAACCACCACCTGTCTAGATTACTAAATTAGTGAAGAACCACTGCCTGTCTAGATTACTAAATTAGTGAAGAACCACCACCTGTCTAGATTACTAAATTAGTGAAGAACCACCACATGTCTAGATTACTAAATTAGTGAAGACCAACCGCCTGTCTAGATTACTAAATTAGTGAAGAACCACCGCTGGTCTAGATTACTAAATTAGTGAAGAACCACCGGCAGTCTAGATTACTAAATTAGTGAAGAACCACCACCAGTCTAGATTACTAAATTAGTGAAGAACCACCGCTAGTCTAGATTACTAAATTAGTGAAGAACCACGGCTGGTCTAGATTACTAAATTAGTGAAGAACCACCGCCTGTCTAGATTACTAAATTAGTGAAGAACCACTGCCTGTCTAGATTACTACATTAGTGAAGAATCACCGCCTGTCTAGATTACTAAATTAGTGAAGAACCACCGCCAGTCTAGATTACTAAATTAGTGAAGAACCACCACCAGTCTAGATTACTAAATTAGTGAAGAACCACCGCCAGGCTAGATTACTAAATTAGTGAAGAACCACCGCCAGTCTATATTACTAAATTAGTGAAGAACCACCGCCAGTCTAGATGACTAAATTAGTGAAGAACCACCGCCAATTTAGATTACTAAGTTAGTGAAGAACCACCGCCAGTCTAGATGACTAAATTAGTGAAGAACCACGGCCTGTCTAGATTACTAAATTAGTGAAGAACCACCGGCAGTCTAGATTACTAAATTAGTGAAGAACCACCGCCTGTCTAGATTACTAAATTAGTGAAGAACCACCGCCAGTCTAGATTACTAAATTAGTGAAGAACCACCGCCAGTCTAGATTACTAAATTATTGAAGAAACACCACCAGTCTAGATTACTAAATTAGTGAAGAACCACTGCTGGTCTAGATTACTAAATTAGTGAAGAACCACCGCCAGTCTAGATTACTTAA